CCCAGCTCCACTGGGACACGCCTTACCTGTGTCTCGTGGCACACCAGGAATACTGCGCAGATCACAGCGTAGTCACAAGCCTCCTGAAAGACTAACTCTGTAGTTGAGACTGAGAGACTCGTGGTGTTAGTGTTTGTTTGGACTGTCATTTTTTTGTTTTGTTTACATTTACAGTAACACCAGCAGAAGTTCTACAGTGTTGTGAAGTAAAGAAAAGAAAACACTGATGTGGTTTACTTGTTAACCTTATATTTTCCTTACAGGGGGAATTTAAATTGAGGGGGGAGAAGTGTTATAGTGTGGACACTATATAAATGATTACATTGAATATGTGTTGTACTTACCTGCAGTATAGAATGATTGCTATTCATGTGTGCATGGTTATTATTGGCATTGACCGTGACCTTTCCCCTTTGATGATGTCATCACCAAGAGTCAGATCTGTACAATGTGATTCTACCACAGGTTGAGTTGGCTGTATCGTTCTGCTGTTTTTGTACCGTTTGTACATGGCTGTACACCTTTTATTTATTGGGTTGAAAGTAAAGGAAAGTAATATTGAAATGCGTGTGGGCATTCCTTGTCAAGTTACTACAGTTACAGACCCAAAAACATTATATAGTATCCCCTCCTCGTGAAGAAAAGCTCATGAGCTAATTATAATACACAAAGCAAGCAAAACAATTAAATCATTCAAACATTGGCTAAAATTATGAATAAGATGCTAATGAGATAGACCTATATAAGCAATAGGCCGATAACAATTGAGATGTACAAACTATGGCATAAGTAAACAATGAGCGGATAAGAGGCAATCCATAATTTCGATTAAGACATTAATGAGCGAGCTAAGATGGACATAGTCAATATAACTATTTGTTCAACACTTTTTAAATGTACAGCAACAGAATTCAGAACATGGGCCATTCTTACAGTATTTTCCCTGTACACCAAGTCAGAACCTTAGGATTAATAAAGGGGGCATGTAAGCAGACAATGAAAGCTCTTACAATATTCAATGATGACATTTCTCTAAAACAGGCTATAGGCTACATGTGCACCACCAAGTCAGAACAGTAGGCTAAATTATGAGGGGGAAAGGGACCAAATGATTAGGGTGAGGCACATGGGCTACTAACAGCTTACGACACAACATACACTTAGTATTACTTTCTTAGCTACAGTATACATACAGTTGAAGTCGGAAGTTTACATACACTTAGGTTGGAGTCATTAAATCGCGTTTTTCAACCACTCCACAAATTTCTTGTTAACAAACTATAGTTTTGGCAAGTCGGTTAGGACATCTACTTTGTGCATGACACAAGTAATTTTTCCAACAATTGTTTACAGACAGATTATTTCACTTATAATTCACTGTATCACAATTCAAGTGAGTCAGAAGTTTACATACACTAAGTTGACTGTGCATTTAAACAGCTTAGAAGATTCCAGAAATTGATGTCATGGCTTTAGAAGCTTCTGATAGGCTAATTGACATAATTTGAGTCAATTGGAGGTGTACCTGTGGATGTATTTCAAGGCCTACCTTCAAACACAGTGCCTCTTTGCTTGACATCATGGGAAAATGAAAATAAATCAGCCAAGATCTCAGAAAAAAAATGGTAGACCTCCACAAGGCTGGTTCATCCTTGGGAGCAATTTCCAAACGCCTGAAGGTACCACGTTCATCTGTACAAACAATAGTACGCAAGTATAAACACCATGGGACCACGCAGCCATCATACCGCTCAGGAAGGACACGCGTTCTGTCTCCTAGAGATGAACGTACTTTGGTGCGAAAAGTGCAAATCAATCCCAGAACAACAGCAAAGGACCTTGTGAAGATGCTGGAGAAAACAGTAAAAAATGTATGCACTCACTAACTGTAAGTCGCTCTGGATAAGAGCGTCTGCTAAATGATTAAAATTTTAAAATTTAAAACGAGGCCTATATCGACATAACCTGAAAGGCCGCTCAGCAAGGAAGAAGCCACTGCTCCAAAACCGCAATAAAAAAGCCAGACTACGGTTTGCAACTGCACATGGGGACAAAGATCGTACTTTTTGGAGAAATGTCCTCTGGTCTGATGAAACAAAAATAGAACAGTTTGGCCATAATGACCATCGTTATGTTTGGAGGAAAAAGGGGGATGCTTGCAAGCCGAAGAACACCCTCCCAAACGTGAAGCACGGGGGTGGCAGCATCATGATGTGGGGGGGCTTTGCTGCAGGAGGAACTGGTGCACTTCACAAAATAGATGGCATCATGAGGAAGGAAAATTATGTGGATATATTGAAGCAACATCTCAAGATATCAGTCAGGAAGTTAAAGCTTGGTCGCAAATGGGTCTTCCAAATGGACAATGACCCCAAGCATACTTCCAAAGTTGTGGCAAAATGGCTTAAGGACAACGAAGTCAAGGTATTGGAGTGGCCATCACAAAGCCCTGACCTCAATCCTATAGAACTGAAAAAGCGTTTGCGAGCAAGGAGACCTACAAACCTGACTCAGTTACACCAGCTCTGTCAGGAGGAATGGGCCAAAATTCACCCAACTTATTGTGGGAAGCTTGTGGAAGGCTACCCTAAACATTTTAAAGGCAATGCTACCAAATACTAATTGAGTGTATGTAAACTTCCCACTGGGAATGTGATGATGACTATTATTCTGACATTTCACATTCTTAAAATAAAGTGGTGATCCTAACTGACCTAAGAAAGGGACTAGGATTAAATGTCAGGAATTGTGAAAAACTGAGTTTAAATGTATTTGGCTAACTTATATATGTAAACTTCTGACTTCAACTGTATCTCCCTGGCATATTACATAATTTATGCAACAGCATACAAGACATTTTTGGAATTACCGTTGTTGTGCTCACTTGAACAGGAAGGTGGTGCGGCGGTCCTTCTTGTGGGAAAAACATTTCAGCAAACTTTGTCATCAAAGTCTGGTGTTCTCTGGATTTATGGTGCTTTTAAGACAATTGGGAACTCAAAACTCAAAAACAAGGTTGAATCATGATGTCAGTGATCTTCAGGTCGGAGCTCTAGAAAGAGGCCCGAGTTCCCGACATGGAATTCCAAGTTGGATGACCGTTCAAAAGAGTTCCCAGTTGTCTTGAACTCACTGAAGTCTGAATTTCCCAGTTCCGAGTTTCCATTTATTTTGAACATGGCAGAAGTCATGCTGGATTGACAGAATGGCCAATGCATTCAACATTTTCTGGCCCATGGTGTTACGTGTGAATGTTTATCATTTTAAGCTTGGAAAAGAGACCCTTAAACCCAGATTTGGACCACACACCCTCTCCACCGAATAGAAGACAGAGGAAGCAAAATAGTGATTGCTTTGCAACGCTTGCAGTTAGCCACTGATTCCTTCCAAACCATTCATTGTTGAATTTGCGATTTCCAACTTGTTAATAACGGAAAAGAGGTGCGTGCATATGTATTCACCCCCTTTGCTATGAAGCCTTTAAATAAGATCTGGTGCAACCAATTACCTTCAGAAGTCACATAATTAGTTTATTTTATTTATTTATGACATTTAGCAGACACTTTTATCCAAAGCGACTTACAGTCATTTTTTGTTTTTTTTTGTGTATGGGTGGTCCCGGGGATCGAACCCACTACCTTAGCGTTACAAGCACCGTGCTCTACCAGCTGAGCTACAGAGGACCACCTGTGTGCAATCTAAGTGTCACATGATTTGTCACATGATCTCAGTATATATACACCTGTTCTGAAAGGCCCCAGAGTCTGCAACACCACTAAGCAAGGGGCACCACGAAGAGCAAGGAGCTCTCCAAACAGGTCAGGGACAAAGTTGTGGAGAAGTACAGATCAGGGTTGGGTTATAAAAAAATATCCGAAACTTTGAACATCCCACGGAGCACCATTAAATCCATTATTCAAAAATGTAAAGAATATGGCACCACAACAAACCTGCCAAGAGAGGGCCGCCCACCAAAACTCATGGACCAGGCAAGGAGCGCATTAATCAGAGAGGCAACAAAGAGACCAAAGATAGCCCTGAAGGAGCTGCAAAGCTCCACAGCGTAGATTGGAGTATCTGTCCATAGGACCACTTTAAGCCGTACACTGCACAGAGCTAGGCTTTACAGAAGAGTGGCCAGAAAAAAGCCATTACAAAAAAATAAGCAAACACGTTTGGTGTTTGCCAAAAGCCATGTGGGAGACTCCCCAAACATATGGAAGAAGGTACTCTGGTCAGATGAGACTAAAATTGAGCTTTTTGGCCATCAAGGAAAACGCTATGTCTGGCGCAAACCCAACACCTCTCATCACCCCTAGAACACCATCCCCACAGTGAAGCATGGTGGTGGCAGCATCATGCTGTGGAGATGTTTTTCATCGGCAGGGACTGGGAAACTGGTCAGAATTGAAGGAATGATGGATGGGGCTAAATACAGGGAAATTCTTGAGGGAAACCTGTTTCAGTCTTCCAGAGATTTGAGACTGGGTACTGATACCCTGTGTATATAGCCAAGTTATCGTTACTCATTGTGTATTTATTATTACTTTTATTATTACGTGTTTTACTTTTCTATTATTTCTCTATTTTCTTTCTCTCTGCATTGTTGGGAAGGGCCCGTAAGTAAGCATTTTTTAAGCAGGTTTTTGCTTTTGCTGACCTTATTTGTTTTATTGACATTTGTCAATAAAACGAATGAATGCAACTGTTTATGTCAAATTGTTTTGTGTTCTACTTGTAACCCTGGTTGTCCTTAAAATAAAATGGTAAAACACTTCATCGTGATTTTTGCTGGGGCCTCGGGACTGATAGGGTTAAAAACTGTGACGCTGTTCCTCACAGTAGGCAATGAGTTTGTCCATGTTCTTCCAATTCATGCGTTTTGTGTTCGAAATTAATAATCTGTGGACCCAGGCCCAGCATTATTTCAAATCCATTGGTGCCACTGGGGGGACTGCGCTTCCTGGCGAGTTCCGACGGTCGCCACCTACACACCGAGGGCGCTATTAAATTATTAACAGCCTAGACATTACGGTTGTGATGTAAAAGCGAGTTTATCACCTTCCTGCACTTTTCCGGATTACTGTACCTTGGTCTGACCTCGGTATATCTTTTAATATTCTACATTCTTGATATATATTTCACAATATGGATTTCTCTATTCGTGCTTCCACGCTGGAAGACTGCAAAGACATCGCGCGGATGATCTTGGTGAGCTGTCACAAATGCGCGTGTGCCTGGCCGCCCCGCACGTGCTTGGAATTTGGAGACAAATGAATGACACATTTGCATATAAATATTACGTCAGTATCTACAATACATAGATCGCTATTCCTCGTCATGAGAAATAAAATAATTTGTTTGCAGCTACTGTTAGGCTACATTGTATCCAAAACGTGTCTGGCAAGAACATATATCCTCTTATTCGATATGCTACAGTAGCCATATTTGTACAGTTATTTTTATACAAATGTTTATTCAAACCTGGCCCCGTTATGTTGCCAACGTTGTCGAACATTGCAGATACAATGCCATAAATTTAGCCAACATGATTCCTTGGTCTACATATCGGAGAGGCATGTTTGTTCTATATTACATATTTCTACCTGACCCTTCCAAAACGTGTCCACATATCGGCGAGGCATGTTTGTTCTATATTACATATTTCTACCTGAACCTTCTAAAATGTGACATGGGGTCTATTCATTATTCAGATTCCGTTGCAAAAGGTTTGGTCTGTTGCAAAACTTTTTGCAATGGACTCCTGCTGAACGTGCCCCTACTGTGAGAGAGTATTGTATACAAGCCTTCTATGATAGTTTCAGTGCTAAATCAAAGTTATCTTTGGAATCAATAACACTAATGCGATTTTGTTAGGCCTAATGTGTATTTTATGTCCTCATGTGTCCTCAGGAACTGGCTGAATACGAGAAAGTATTGGACCAAGTGAAAGTTACACAGAAAGGTAGACTAATTCAATCCAGCTATTTATAAAAATCCATATTTTTATTTTCTGAATTTAAATGCCATACTTTAATGAGCATGTTTTACTTCACTCAAGCCCCATAATGATGAGTTTACACTCTTAGAAAAAAGGTGCTATCTAGAACCAAAAATGGTTATTTGGCTGCCCCCATAGGAGAACCCTTTGAAGAACTCCCTTTGGTTTCAGGTAGAACCCTTTTGGGTTCTATTTACAACCCTTTCCACAGAAGGTTCTACATGGAGCCCAAAAGAGTACTACCTGGAACCAAAAGGCGTTCTATCTGCAACCAAAAAGGGTTCTCATATGGAGACAGCCGCAGAACCCTTTTGGAACCCTTTTTTCTAAGAGTGTAGTTCTAGTTCTGTAAATAGTTTACAACACTTTAACCCTTCCTGTCCTGTATCTTTGTCAACTCTCCTCTCCAGAGTTGGAGCAGGATGGGTTCATTAAAAACCCATTCTTTCATGGTATCGTCGCAGAAGTACCCGAACAACACAGGACCAAAGAGGGTGAGAGAAGAACTAACCATAGACACAGTTTTTATGTGCTGACATGACCAGGGTTTCGGTCAATTCCATTTGAACTCCATCAATTCAGAAAGTGACTGGTAATTCAATTAATGTATTTAAAAAGAGATTGGAGATCAATTACGCTTTCAATTCATGAATTGAATTTCAAATGATTTATGAAACCGAAATGGAATGGGCCGCCACAATGCTGGTTTTGATTTTCCCAGTTCAGAAAGCATGTTTCATGAACTTCCATCGTTTCTATCTAACCTCCCCATCTTCTCTATCTAACCTCCCCATCATAGTTACCAGGCTGGCTGCATATGTTAATTAGCTCTCTGTTTGTTACCTAACCATCCTCCGTCAGGGCTGACTCTGCTGCTCTCTCGCTGCCTACTCATTATCTAAGGGGTCTGACACCAGAACGAGAACATTATGCATTCCAACAGCTGCCAGGACTCATCTCTTTTTCCACATTCAGAACAGAAGCTGCCTGCCTGGCCACCTGGTTCATTTCACTAACAGACACCTCTTCACGTCTATTGCTCTGTCTTTATCGTTTCTCTGTGTGTATCTGTGTGTGTGTGTGTGTATCTGTGTGTGTGTGTGTGTGTGTGTGCCTGCGCACGTACCTACACCAGGGAGAGGTTTTAGTTATTCTGTGAGTGTGTGTCTGTTTGTTTGCGGGCGTAACACACGTATATGTGAGTCAGTTTTAAGTGTGTGTGGACATGTTTTTCTGTGTGTTCAGTATAACAGTATGTCCTGAGGCATAGACTTGACCTTACATTTACATTTACATTTTAGTCATTTAGCAGACACTCTTATCCAGAGCGACTTACAGTTAGTGAGTGCATTTTTTTTTTTTCATACCTTAGTGTCTGTCTGCTTGCCAACAGATGGGCCATATGTGTGTGTATATGTGTCTGCCTGTCTGTCCGCAAGCGTGAGCAGCATGTGTAAATGTATGTGTGTCTTAAGGGTGTGTGCAGTCAATATTATATTTGGAGGCGTTAACTTGACCTTGATACCTGTGTGTTTCTTTGCAGGCCATGCCAAGGTGGGCTACGCACTTTACTTCTATACCTACAGCTCGTGGAAAGGACGGGCCCTCTACATGGAGGACCTGTATGTGATGCCTGAGTTCAGAGGTTAGACAGCACTTAAGGGCCTGTATTCACAAAGCGTTTCACAGTAGGAGTGCCTCCCCCGTCACCACCCCCCCTTTATTCATTATGATTCTAGATCAGCACTCTTACTCTGAAACACTTTGTGAATATGGGCCTTGGTCTTGACTAGCTTTGCTTTAATCAAACTAGAGAGGAGGATTCAGCATATATACAGTGCTTTCGGAAAGTATTCAGACCCCTTGACTTTTTCCACATTTTGTTAGGTTACAGCCTTATTCCTCATCAATCTACACACAATACACATTTATTACAAAATAAAAAACAGAAATACCTTATTTACATAAGTATTCAGACCCTTTGCTATGAGACTCGAAATTGAGCTCAGGTGCATCCTGTTTCCATTGATCATCCTTGAGATGTTTCTACAACTTGATTGGAGTCCACCTGTGGTAAATTCAATTAATGGACATGATTTGGAAAGGCACACACCTGTCTATATAAGGTCCCACAGTTGACAGTGCACGTCAGAGCAAAAACCAAACCATGAGGTTGAAGGAATTGTCCGTAGAGCTCCGAGACATGATTGTATCGAGGCACAGATCTGGGGAAGGGTACCAAAAAATGTCTGCAGCAGTGAAGGTCCCCAAGAACACAGTGGCCTCTATCATTCTTAAATGGAAGGTTTGGAACCACCAAGACTCTTCCTAGAGCTGGCCGCCCGGCCAAACTGAGCAATCAGGGTAGAAGGGCCTTGGTCAGGGAGGTGATCAAGAACCCAATGGTCACTCTGACAGAGCTCCGGAGTTCCTCTGTGGAGATGGGAGAACATTCCAGAAGGACAACCATCTCTGCAGCACTCCTCAGTAAAAGGCACATGACAGCCCACTTTGTTTGTTTGCCAAAAGGCACCTAAAGGACTCTCAGTCCATGAGAAACAAGATTCTCTGGTCTGAATGCCAAGTTTCACGTCTGGAAGAAACCTGGCACCATCCCTACGGTGAAGCATGGTGGTGGCAGCAGCATGCTGTGGGGATGTTTTTCAGTGGCAGGGACATGGAGACTAGTCAGGATCGAAGGAAAGATGAACGGAGCAAAGTACAGAGAGATCCTTGATGAAAACCTGCTCCAGAGCGCCCAGGACCTCAGACTGGGGTGAAGGTTCACCTTCCAACAGGACAACAACCCTAAGAACACAGCCAAGACAACGCAGGAGTGGCTTCGGGACAAGTCTCTGAATGTCCTTGAGTGGCCCAGCGAGTGCCCGGACTTGAACCCGATCAAAATCTCTGGAGACACCTCCCCATCCAACCTGACAAAGCTTAAGAGGATCTACAGAGAAGAATGGGAGAAAATCCCCAAATACAGGTGTGCCAAGCTTGTAGCGTCATACCCAAGAAGACTCGAGGCTGTAATCGCTGACAAAGGTGCTTCAACAAAGGACTGAGTAAAGGGTCTGAATACTTATGTAAATGTCATATTTCAGTTTTTAATTTTTAATACATTTGCAAACATTTCTAATAACATGTTTCTGCTTTGTCATTATGGGGTATAGCGTGTAGATTGATGAGGGGATTATAAAAAATATATATATTTTAGAATAAGGCTGTAACAACAAAATGTGGAAAAAGTCAAGGGGTCTGAATACTTTCCGAAGGCACTGTACGTGAAGGTCTTGCAGTTCACCTATCCTGCTGTTAACTTCCTGCACATCTGTTAAACTAGTGTGACGCAACATGTGCCTGATCCACTAAGCGATTGCACAGTTTGCACCTGTTTCTCTCTCATTTCCACCAGTGTTTATACAACAAAACCAATTCTAAAAGCAGAACTCGCCTCGCACCCAAATACATTAGTCTTGCTGTTCTCCAGGAACAATATTTGTCCCAAAAAAAACGTGGACCGCACATTAATTAGCATTTGCTTTATCAGTTCATTTATACCAACAGAATTAAGACGATAAATAACCCTACGTTTCGTATCTCATATATGTCTCTCTTTTTGCATAACAGGTAAAGGTATCGGGAAGGCACTGATGAGCAAAGTAGCTCAGGTGAGTGATGCTGCCCTGTTACTCAAGTTTGCCATAAAATTAAACCCTATGGCTCTGTTGTTATTGTATTGACAAAGCTTCCCCTTGAGTGCAATTGATTTGTGTATGAACCTTTGCACATCTGTGTGTTTGTGCATATGTGAATATGTATGTACATCTGTAGTTTATTGTAGTTTATCTTGAAGCCTTTGCTTTTCTCGTGTGACAAAGTGCAAAATACACGTACATGCATGCTTTCATCCATGTATGCGCCGTGATGTATGGATTTTTGTTTGTATGTTTGTGATCATTTATGTTTGTGCAAATATGTCGGTTTATTTTATCCTGAAGCATTTTTTTCCCTCGTGACTTTATTTGACCTTTTCCTCTCCATGTTTCTCTCTCTCCCTCTCACACACACACCCCTGTTCTGTAGTTGGGCCTGGCTGCCGGCTGCACCCAGCTCAACTTCGCCGTGCTGGACTGGAATAAACCATCTCTGGATTTCTACCTCAGCCAGGGATGTTTTGATGTGACGGCAGACATGGGGTACCACTGCATGCGCTGTGAGGGGGCAGCACTGGAACAACTGGCCCAGGGGGACACCTAAACACACCCCACTCCCCACTAGGATGACATCTGACCTTTGCAATACTGATATCAATCTAGAACATATGCAGGGATAAAGAACCAACTCAAAGGCCATGTTCCAATACTTAAAAAATGCTCCTTTCCTTTCCTTCTTCTTTTTCTTTCCTGAAGTGAAGTAGTCACTGATTTAATATGATTGAATAGGTGAAAATTAGGGAATTCTTTGCATAGTTCTCATTAATCTACTAATATCAGGTCAGTGATTACCTTCAACGAAACGAGGAAGACAGGACGTATTTTCGAAGTGTTGGAACGATGCCAATGCAATGCAAAAAGGTTGTAGTTGAACTAACAGTTCACCGACTATCGTATAGTGGTTGACATTAGTTGTGTGTACAGTAATGTGTTGTTTACCTGTGACCCCATAGCACCTTTCCCTGCCTTCTAAGCTAAGGTAAGAGACACCGATTGATAATATGTGAGAAATCTGGTGAAACGGGAACCTATAGAATACTATACAATTACGTGTCTAAAACACATTGAGAGCTTGGGACTCTAAGGTTCATTTTTTGTCTAAATTGAGTTATTGAGATAGCCATGTTCTTTCTGTTCAAAGTACTCTTAATTCCCCAATTCATGTTGTTAAGTTCAAAAGAATACAGTATAAAAATGCCTAACACCATTCAAACCAAAGGTTTTGGAAATGTAAAGCCAATTATCTCAGAATCATCTTTTTGCAGATATAACCTTATTGTCCCAAGCTTTCGACAGGTCAATTGATGATTATAAGTACTGTAAAATTGTTGTTGTGATGAAGCACAATGTGATTTTTGAAACGGATTCCTGTTTCACCTTCAACAGGATTGAATGCCTGTTTAGGTTACTTGATGGATTCTGCAAGCTCAAAATGTTACTTTAAGCAAATACGACAAACCAAGGCTTGTCATTTGCAATAGTGATTTATGAACATATTTTTTAATAGATTTCTTTAATGAAAATATGTTCTTCATTTTCTAAATCTCGAGATTAATAGATGGTGTGCAATAACACAAAAAAAGGGAAATTAAATATGGCATTAGTTTATAGTTCTATTTATGGAATTTTCCATCAACAATACATTACAATATGTTATTAATATTCCATCAACCTATAAACTAAGCAAAAACAATCAAGCAAAGCAATTACATTAAATACTGTGATAAAGCTACAGTAGATCAAAGACCAATCTTACCAGCTATTATATTAACGTACCATATAAGATGATAGTCTGGATATGTATTATAAACAGTGTTTATGTCTATTGTAAATAATAACTTCGAGACCTGTCAAGTGTAGAGTAATGATGATGATGTTGTGGACTGGGCTCCAAGCCAGACCCCACAGCCATAGTAGCTCTATGTAGATGGTATTAACCTCGCTGTGTGACACACACAAACACACACGAAAGACTGAATCATTGAAACATACATGTAAATGTTACATTTTAGTGTCAGGTACAGTGAGATAGATAAGATACATGTATGTAAAGTCTTTTTTTACGATGTCTTCTCCACTCTCTCTCAAGTACACTTTATGGACCACTGTTAAATATATTGGTAGGTGTATAAAGTCAGTCACAGACTTCTAACTCCTCGATTGAGTTATCACTTTGTGGTATTTGTCCAGCGGCCAAATAGTTTGTCAGAAGCAAAGACGTCAATGTTGGTACATAGGCTTTTTTTTTTTTTTTTTTTACCTCCCTAGAGTTGGTGTTTTAAACAAAAGCCAATTAACCCCACTTCTGTTGTCACTAAGTAAAACAGTCAACCTATTACACTTTGAAATCACTGTAAGAACCTTATTTTTTGTGTAATCACACTTCATGTTGCATTGAAGATGACATTATAGACATAGGAATGTTACACACTGTTGAATAAAGTGATGTGCCAATACAGTTGTGTGTTCATAATATTTTATCATTCAATATATTCCCTTTACCCAACTCCAGCTATTGATAAATATAAATCTGATATAGAATTTTGTCATTAAGGAAATAATGACATTGGGTTATTCTGTACAATAGGCTATTTGCTAGAATAGCCACAACTACGCCTATTTTCTGGTAGAATGGGCTGCTTACATTAGATCCTGTGGTAGGTAGGGTACTTGTACTCTTCGTCTCTGTGGTTCCATTGATAGACGGGTCATTCCTAGAATCTTCAGGACTTGGACTGAAATAGGTTCCGGTACTAATTTTGGGTGCCGGTACTGTTAATATTTAGGTGCAGGAGCTCCACAATACTTTTGAGCTAATATTTTATAAGAGGAACAGGAGATCAAGCAGTAGAACATTTGAGGTGCGGGTACTCCGCTCCTGCCCAAGTCAAGCACTGACTATCTTGTGCCTTTTGGACTTTTGGAAGTATATATTTGTACTTTTTTGTATTCTATCAGAAAAAGGACATCCGAAAAACATACTGATCAAGCTCAGGCACTTTAATCCTAATTTTTCACCCCTGTTAGGAGCATTATCCTAACAGGGTGAAATTTGATTCATTTTCTCTATAATTTTGCCTAACAGGGTGGAAATGTTTGAGTGAGACATAGAGACTAACAGCATGACACATTGGGTCGTCACTAGCTTCCGCAACAGCAAAGTCATAATTATGGAGAAACCCTGACTACTTCTTCAATTAATCTTCTTAAAATGTGATGTTAGCCCTACCCTTACCCACACTGCTAACCTCATGTCTAGCCCTAACCTTAACCACACTGCTAACCTTATGTCTAGCCCTAACCTTAACCACACTGCTAACCTCATGTCTAGCCCTAACCTTAACCACACTGCTAACCTCATGTCTAGCCCTAACCTTAACCACACTGCTAACCTTATGTCTAGCCCTAACCTTAACCACACTGCTAGCTTTATGTCTAGCCCTAACCTTAACCACACTGCTAACCTTATGTCTAGACCTAACCTTAACCACACTGCTAACCTCATGTCTAGCCCTAACCTTAACCACACTGCTAACCCCATGTCTAGCCCTAACCTTAACCACACTGCTAACCTCATGTCTAGCCCTAACCTTAACCACACTGCTAACCTCATGTCTAGCCCTAACCTTAACCACACTGCTAACCCCATGTCTAGCCCTAACCTTAACCACACTGCTAACCTCATGTCTAGCCCTAACCTTAACCACACTGCTAACCTCATGTCTAGCCTAACTGAGAAATCGGGGGAGAAGGGCCCGATGGTCACACTGACAGAGCTCTAGAGTTCCTCTGTGGAGATGGCAGAACCTTCCAGAAGGACAACCATCTCTGCAGCACTCCACCAATCAGGCCTTTATGGTAGAGTGGCCAGACGGAAGCCACTCCTCAGTAAAAGGCACATGACAGCCCGCTTGGAGTTTGCCAAAAGGCACCTAAATGACTTTCAGACCATGAGAAACAAGATTCTCTGGTCTGAAAAAAACAAGGTTGAACTCTTTGGCCTGAATGCCAAGCTTCACGTCTGGAGGAAACCTGGCACCATCCCTACGGTGAAGCATGGTGGTGGCAACATCATGCTGTGGGGATGTTTTTCAGCGGCAGGGACTGGGAGACTAGTCAGGATCGAGGGAAAGATGAACGTCGCAAAGCACAGAGAGATCCTTGATGAAAACCTGCTCCAGAGTGCTCAGGACCTCACAATGGGGCGAAGGTTCACCTTCCAACAGGACAACGACCCTAAGCACACAGCCAAGACAACGCAGGAGTGGCTTCGGGACAAGTCTCTGAATGTCCTTGAGTGGCCCAGCCAGAGCCCGGACTTGAACCCGATCTGCAGAGAAGAATGGGAGAAACTCCCCAAATACAGGTGTGCCAAGCTTGTAGTGTCATACTCAAGAAGACTCGAGGCTGTAATCGCTGCCAAAGGTGCTTCAGCAAAATACTGAGTAAAGGGTTGGAATACTTATGTAAATGTGATATTTCTGATTTTTATTTTTAATAAATTAGCAACATTTTCAAAAAAACGGTTTTTGCTTTGTCATTATGGGGTATTGTGTGTAGATTGATGAGGAACTACATGTAATCCATTTTAGAATAAGGCTGTAACATAACAAAATGTGGAAAAAGTCAAGGTGTCTAAATACTTTCCGAATGCAATGTAGCCGATTTTGACTTTCTGGCTGAGGAATCTAGTGGAAACCATGTCATTGTGGAAAGGGGTTGTTTTCTTTAAGGATCATTACTGTAAACTAACAGGGTGGAAAGAGATACCAGGGACACACAGAAAATCTTAAATACTATAATAATAAAAATACAATACTCATGAAAATAGATGTTATTGAGAGAGATTTTAACTAAGACTATAAAATAATGAAGAAAGATTTGCTATATTTTATTATATGGCTTATATTTATTGTAGAAGTTGACGAATAACACCAGTGGACATGGCAAAAACGCCGACATGCGCTGAAAACAAAGTGGCCAAAATGCATACATTTCCTTTGAGATCCATATCTTTGGGGTTTTCTTTTAAATGAAAGCTAACCTTATATTTAAAGCCTTTTGGAATCCACATTTTACACTAAATAAGAACAGTCAAACTGTTCGCTGCTCTGGCACCCCAATGGTGGAATAAGCTCCCTCACGACGCCAGGACAGCGGAGTCACTCACCACCTTCCGGAGACACTTGAAACCCCACCTCTTTAAGGAATACCTGGGATAGTATAAAAGTAATCCTTCTACCCCCCCTTACCCCCCCCCCCAAATATATATATATATATATATATATATATATATATATACAGTGGGGAAAAAAACTATTTAGTCAGCCACCAATTGTGCAAGTTCTCCCACTTAAAAAGATGAGAGAGGCCTGTAATTTTCATCATAGGTACACGTCAACTATGACAGACAAAATGAGGAAAAAAAATCCAGAAAATCACATTGTAGGATTTTTAATGAATTTATTTGCAAATTATGGTGGAAAATAAGTATTTGGTCACCTACAAACAAGCAAGATTTCTGGCTCTCACAGACCTGTAACAACTTCTTTAAGAGGCTCCTCTGTCCTCGACTCATTACCTGTATTAATGGCACCTGTTTGAACTTGTTATCAGTATAAAAGACACCTGTCCACAACCTCAAACAGTCACACTCCAAACTCCACTATGGCCAAGACCAAAGAGCTGTCAAAGGACACCAGAAACAAAATTGTAGACCTGCACCAGGCTGGGAAGACTGAATTTGCAATAGGTAAGCAGCTTGGTTTGAAGAAATCAACTGTGGGAGCAATTATTAGGAAATGGAAGACATACAAGACCACTGATAATCTCCCTCGATCTGGGGCTCCACGCAAGATCTCACCCCGTGGGGTCAAAATGATCACAAGAACGGTGAGAAAAAATCCCAGAACCACACGGGGGGACCTAGTGAATGACCTGCAGAGAGCTGTGACCAAAGTAACAAAGCCTACCATCAGTAACACACTACGCCGCCAGGGACTCAAATCCTGCAGTGCGAGACGTGTCCCCCTGCTTAAGCCAGTACATGTCCAGGCCCGTCTGAAGTTTGCTAGAGTGCATTTGGATGATCCAGAAGAGGATTGGGAGAATGTCATATGGTCAGATGAAACCAAAATATAACTTTTTGGTAAAAACTCAACTCGTCGTGTTTGGAGGACAAAGAATGCTCAGTTGCATCCAAAGAACACCATACCTACTGTGAAGCATGGGGGTGGAAACATCATGCTTTGGGGCTGTTTTTCTGCAAAGGGACCAGGACGACTGATCCGTGTAAAGGAATTAATGAATTGGGCCATGTATCGTGAGATTTTGAGTGAAAACCTCCTTCCATCAGCAAGGACATTGAAGATGAAACGTGGCTGGGTCTTTCAGCATGACAATGATCCCAAACACACCGCCCGGGCAACGAAGGAGTGGCTTCGTAAGAAGCATTTCAAGGTCCTGGAGTGGCGTAGCCAGTCTCCAGATCTCAACCCCATAGAAAATCTTTGGAGGGAGTTGAAAGTCTGTGTTGCCCAGCGACAGCCCCAAAACATCACTGCTCTAGAGGAGATCTGCATGGAGGAATGGGCCAAAATACCAGCAACAGTGTGTGAAAACCTTGTGAAGACTTACAGAAAACGTTTGACCTGTGTCATTGCCAACAAAGGGTATACAACAAAGTATTGAGAAACTTTTGTTATTGACCAAATACTTATTTTCCACCATAATTTGCAAATAAATTCATAAAAAATCCTACAATGTGATTTTCTGGATTTTTTTTCTCATTTTGTCTGTCATAGTTGACGTGTACCTATGATGAAAATTACAGGCCTCTCTCATATTTTTAAGTGGGAGAACTTGCACAATTGGTGGCTGACTAAATACTTTTTTTCCCCCACTGTATATATATATATTGTAAAGTGGTTGTCCCACTGGCTATCATAAGGTGAATGCACCAATTTGTAAGTCGCTCTGGATAAGAGCGTCTGCTAAATGGCGAAAATGTAAATGTAAATGTGATCTTCCTTGGGACAGAGAAGGCAAAGGACAGTTGGGTGACCCCATTTAATTTTAACCATGATATACACGAACAATTATTGGAGGCTTTGAGTGTGATCCAGGTCATGCAGTGCCTGCGGGTAGCGCTCTGTCTTGCCCAATGGGTCTTGCCCTATACACCAGAACCACCTTGTGGACACTAATGAATTAGTTCAGTCCAAATAGATTCCACTAGCCAAGGCTACAGTTATTCCCTCCCTGCAACAAGTTGATGCAACTCTGTGTTTTGATTTGTGCAATGGAGCAAATATAGTGTGACTAATGCTTTAATATCTACTTAGTGGCTTTTGGGAGTGGATCCAAGTTGTGGGCTGAAGGCTTTGCATTCGTGCGTCTGGCACACCACCGGTGCACTAAACTAAACTGAAAGCCCCTTCCTGGAGAAGAAAAGCATATGCGACAGTGTGAGTGAAGGATCATACGTGGTATGTCTAAGGCAGATATGACCCCAGCAAGGCTGCAAAGGCAGTGGGAAGACAAGGAAGTTGACTCAACGAATCAAGTGGCAGAAGGATGCAATCATAGTGTATGTAAACTAGGCGACAACTTTCTTTGCACCCTTGCTGCAAATTTCTCAACATTGCGCATTTGAATACGACCTGCAAGCCAGACAGTCCAATATATTTCGTCTGTTTAAATTAATTGATTAAAACAACAATATTGGCTATTTAGTTGCTGTTTTGAAACCTATGCAATGATTTAATCTTTCACATGACTTCTACTTTTATCAATAGGGCTATTGAGATCTCATTTGTACTGCGGCCAGTAACACTTGCACGCCTTGCCGAAAATGTGAGTATTTGGATTGGATTTCACCAAGAAAGGAAACGTGTCGCTGGAATTAAGTTAATATGAACATTTCGAATAGTCTGCAATGGTAACCGGGGAATGTGGAACGACCATGCATCGAATTCTACCGAGGAGAAAAGTGCGCCAACTTCGCTTCGTCTGGGCATTCATGGCCATGGTGGCTCTGTCGGCCTCTGCCTGCAGCGCACTGTTTACGGCGTGGACCTGGAGACAGACGCAGGACCTGTCCCAGTCCTTAAAAACACTGCAAGACCGATTGGAGCAGGTAAGTAGCCGTGCTATGTAACAATGTAACAATTTTTCCAATGCACTTTGTATTGAATGTGTTACACACTGTCACCAGTTATTTTTTCAGTGATAACAATTTGGAGCTGTTGAAATTACTGTTACGCAACTACTTTGTGTCTGGTGACTAGTGGTTACGGGAACCCTCGTGGGGGACTATGGAAAATGCAAAGCCACGTTCATCCCCCTCTCCCTCTTCCTTCCATCCTGCGGAGTTAAATTGTTCACAAATAGCGGGCCTCTTCACTGCTGGTGTCCTGCGGATTCTGCGGACTGCAACAGAGGCCGTTTTATTGCTTACCAATAAGTGCACTCAAGCGGTGGAGTTATTTTTTATGCTGCGTCCACTGTCTCTCTGCCAAGTTGAATCGTTCTACCGCCAGTTGTGTTCCAATTTTAGCCCAATTTACTGGATCCCCTTGACTTTTTGTCTGACTTTGCACTGAAGGATTGAGCTGCGTAAAACAGAGTAGGCCTAATTGTGTGGCAAAATGATATGCAGTATGTAAAGCCCACTAATTGCAGGTAGGCTAGGCTTCCACCAGTGGAAGAATTCTGCAGTCCTAATGGAATCTGAAGTGATGCTTTCTAAGGCATATTACACTGTAATGGACCCTGTATTACATTGTGACAATGCACCCAGCACTGGACTTTTAACACGAGTTGCTGGTCTTTTTATTCATTCAAAACTTTTCTTATGAATAATACATTATGCATGTTGCAGTCTTAGATAGCCTACTCATGCACTTAATATATCTTATGGTGGGGTTGACAGACCCAGTGGCCTGCTCCTGCCCATCTGTCAACCCTTTTTGCTAGCACTCAATGAGCCAGCCGGGACAGTTCAAGTCCCCAGTAAACGCAACCTCCAGTCCAGGCAGACTTCCTCAGTAGGTACTATATCAAAACCACCCCATAGGCTGCACTGCCCAGCACACAGAGAAACAGTAGCTGTTTATTGAAACCTACCTCTAGCCTCCCCCTCCATCTCTCTCTCTATTTCAAGCAATAGGGCCCCTTTGGCATATAGTAGGCCCCAGTACTTCAGAAAGTACAAGTTCAACTTTGCAAGCTTGACACATTTCAGTAGTGTTTTTTTCTTCCTGCTTCTCAGTCTCAGCAGGGGAGTTAAGAAATGTGAGGAATGCAGGGCACTAAAAACACGTATTAGGTGTCGCAACCAGTTTAGGAGGAAGTGGTTGACATATTCTAAGCTTTGGCATTGCAGTGGCATACTGACAAATACTTGGAGTCTGTTTGTTTATGTGGTTTTGCAGAAATCTTCTGTCTGTGTAAATTCGCAGCAGGAGCCAATTTGACAACTGTCATAATAAACTCAATGGTCTCGCTCTTCCTTTCTCTCTCCCTTTCTGGCTTTACTTTTCTCTTCTCTCCTTTCTGCTCCATCTCTTGTCTGTCTTGTTTTGCCTTCTCTTCCATTTCTGCTCTGCTTTCATTCTCCATCAGTCTCCTTTCTACTCATGCCCTTTCTCTCCCTTGTCCTCTCCTTCTCTCTCTTCCTTTCTTCTCTTCGTCCTTTCCTCTTCCCTTTCTCTCTCCCGTTTCTCCTCTTTCCTCTCCTTTCTCCCCTTCTCTCTTTCTTTCTCTCTCCCTTTCTCTCTCCCTTTCTCTCTCTCTCCCTTTCTCTCTTCCCTTTCTCTCTCCCTTTCTCTTCTCCCTCTCTCTTCCTTCTCTCTTCTCCTTTCTCTCTCCCTTTTCCCTCTCTCTCCTCTTCTCTCTCCCTTCTCTCTCCCTTCTCTCTCCTCTCCTCTTTCCTTCTCTCCCTTTCTCTCTCCTTTCTCTCTTCCTTTCTCTCTTCCTTTCTCTCTCCCTTTCTCTCCATTTCTCTCTCCCTTTCTCTCTCCCTTTCTCGTTTTCATGCTGTCTGTCTGTCCTGTCTGTCCCACTCTCTCTCCCTCTCTCTCTCTCTCTCTCTCTCTCTCTCTCTCTCTCTCTCTCTCTCTCTGCAACAGGTGAATACTCAGCGCAAGACCATTGTCCAACTCATCATGGAGAAGAGAGAGTTGCTGGTGGGCCAAAGGGTGAAGAGAGATGGTACATGCATGTGTGCCTGCATGCTGGTGTGTGTGAGACTGTGTGAGACTGTGTCTGTGTGCATGCCGGCAAAAAAAATGATTCATATAGCACTACACCTCATTTACACTCCACCGCAGACAATGCCTCTTTCTCTGCCTCCCAATCATCATACATGCAATACATAATCAACAAAAACCTAACGGTCACAATAGATCAGAGATGATAGATCCCATTGATGGTGCTCTGCTCTGTTTTTTTTTTATGGCGCAGCACAGTATTTAACTACAGGGGAATCTTGGCTCCGCATGGCACCTTGGTTAGGCCCCATGGGCACTCGCTGCCTGCTGCTAAAAGTTGACACAGGAAACAGTAGGCAGCTGGGTGACTGATGCAGAAATTACAGGTCTGCTCTGGACTGACGAGAACCCAGAGAAACCATCTGGCATGAGGAGGGAGACCACGTTGCACGCTTCAGGGACCTAAAGGGATCTTTCCCCCGATGAGACTGACAGCAGCTATGATTTGTTGAGAAAGATTGAGCATATTGGCAATTTTTTGATGATCAAGCATTGGATTATATATAGGCTGTAATACCTACATGTTTCAAGCAGACCACCATAGTCCCTGTGCCCAAGAACACCAAGTTAACTGTCTAAATGACTATTGCCCCGTAGCACTCACATCTGTAGCCATGAAATCCTTTGAAAGGCTGTTCCTATCACGTTTCAGAAGAAGACCCAGATGCAGACAGTGTCGAAGTAACAAAAGTTTATTACAAAAACAGGGGGCAGGCAAACGACAGGTCAAGGGCAGGCAGAAGTCAATAATCCAGATCAGAGTCCAAAAGGTACAGAACGGCAGGCAGGCTCAGGGTCAGGGCAGGCAGAATGGTCAAAACCGGGAAAACTACAAAACAGGAACTTGAGAAATACAGGAGCAAGGGGAAAACCGCTGGTAGGCTTGATGAAACAAAACGAACTGGCAACAGACAAACAGAGAACACAGGTATAAATACACTGGGGATAATGGGGAAGATGGGCGACACCTGGAGGGGGGTGGAGACAAGCACAAAGACAGGTGAAACAGATCAGGGTGTGACAGTTCCTGGCTCACATCAACACCATCATCCCAGACACCCTTGACCCACTCCAATTCCCATACCGCCCCAACAGATCCACAGATGACGCAATCTCTATTGCACTCCACACTGCCCTTTCCCACCTGGACAAGAGGAACACCTGTGTGAGAATGCTGTTCATTAACTACAGCTCAGCGTTCAACACCATGGTGCCCTCCAAGCTCATCACTAAGCTAAGGACCCTTGGACTGAACACCTCCATCTGCAACTGGATCCTGGACTTCCTGACGGGCCGCCCCCAGGTGGTGAGGGTAAGCAACAACACATCCGCCACACTGACCCTCAACACGGAGGCCCCTCATGGGTGTGTGTTTAGTTCCCTCCTGTACTCCCTGTTCACTCACGACTGTGTGGCCGCGCACGACTCCAACACCATCATTAAGTTTGCCAACGACATGACGGTGGTTGGCCTGATCACAGACGACGATGAGAAGCCTATAGGGACCTGGCAGTGTGGTGCCAGGACAACAACCTCTCCCTCAACGTCAGCAAGACAAAGGAGCTGATCGTGGACTACAGGAAACAGAGGGCCGAGCGCCCCCATTTACTGTAGTGGAGCGGGTCGAGAGCTTCAAGTTCCTCTGAGTCCAAATCACTAAGGATCTATCATGGTCCACACACACAACACAGTCGTGAAGAGGGCATGACAATGCCTTTTCCCCCTCAGGAGGCTGAAAAGATGTTGCATGGGCCCTCAGATCCTCAAAAAGTTACACAGCTGCACCATTGAGAGCATCTTGACTGGCTGCATCACCACTTGGCATGGCAACTGCTTGGCATCCAACCACAAGGCGCTACAGAGGATAGTGCGTATGGTCCAGTACATTACCGGGGCCGAGCTCCCTGCCATCCAGGACCTCTATACCAGGCGGTGTCAGAGGAAGGCCCTAAATCATAGACTGTTATCTCTACTACCGCATGGCAAGTGGTACCGATGCACCAAGTCTGGAACCAACAGGACCCTGAACAGCTTCTACCCCCAAGCCATAAGACTGCTACATAGTAAGTCGCTCTGGATAAGAGCGTCTGCTAAATGACGTAAATGTAAATGTAATAGTTAGCCAAATAGCTACGTGGACTATCTGCATTAACCCTTTTTGCTCTAACTTTTTTGACTCATCACATATGCTGCTGTTACTGTTTTCTTTCTCTCTGCATTGTTGGGAAGGGCCCGTAAGTAAGCTTTTCCCTGTTAGTCTACACCAGTTTTTTTTACAAAGCATGTGACTAATAAAATGTGATTTGATAACATTTGATTTGAGGATAGACAGTGCACACGTCATCTCTGTGCATCGTGAAATAATGCTGAGGACGGGCAATAGTAAACCTGGCTTGGAAATCACTAGGAGGAGACTACTCAAGTCTCAAGAGTTGATGCATGTTCAGTTCAGAAGCAAGATATATATGAAACAAGGCAACAGTAAACACGTAAATGACGGATCTCTATGGCAAGACACATCATTCACCCAAGTTGAATCAAAATCAGGCCAGTGGTGTCTGAGATATTTTGTGTGACTAACGCCCTTGTGCCAATCAATTTAGTAAATGGCCGATCTCTATGGCAAAATCGGGCCAGTGGTTTCTGAAATATCACGTGGGTTAGCTAGACTTATATCCCTGAGCATGTGTGCCAAATTCCATCACTCTGAGTTAAACAGATCAAGAGATATAAACACGTGTCCATTATAGCGCCACCGTCTTGATAGTGTTTGCAACATGTGCACCAAATGTTGTTACAATACGAATATCCTTGACTGATTTATATGCATTTATGTGCCAGACCACGCCCACGTGAATGTTTATTGGTCTATGTTGTTTTAGGTACTAGTGTGCATTGTATTGAGAGACCTTTGTCCATAGATGCAACATGGCAAGACACATTATTCACCCAAGTTTCGTCAAAATCAGGCCAGTACTGTCTGAGATATTGCGTGTGATAAACTAACGTACTAACGAATGGAGACAGATCCATAGTCCCCTCCCTGATTTCATTGTGGGGGACAATTATCCCCAAATGATGAATGGCCACTATTCCCAACATTACAGTTATATGTGAACTTAGTTTTTGATTGACAGCATTATCAAAAAACTGTATCGCTTGAGGCTCACCCACAGAAAATCCTAATGCTATGGGGTCACCCACCTGCTAGTCATTTCAGCAGGGGCAATATTTTCCTAAGCTAAGCAGCCCCCCCAGTGTTCAATGTTTGCCACTCTTTTCCACAACATATCCTACAGTGAATACATACTGTGTGTGTGTAGCCAGTATCAAGGCCTGGAATCACTCCCTGCAGGCCTGAGACTGGAGCTAAAACAAACCTCTGGAGAACAACGAGGCCTGTCTTACCCCCCTCTCTCCCACAGTTTTTGAGATGGATTTTATTTATTGTATTTATTTGAACGGTGGCCATGGCTGTTGCTCTTGCCTATTTTTCCTGAAAGGGCCTTTACAGTTCATTTGGGTCATAGGACAGCCAAAGGCCTCCCTCCCTCTCTCTTTCACTCTCTCCCTAACTGTCTTCTGTCTCTCACTTTCTCTCTTGCTTTCTCTCTCTCCATCTGTGTGCCTCTCTCATCTGTCTCTTTCCCTCTCCTCCCTTTCTCTCCCTTTCTCTCCCCTTATCTCCCCTTCTCTACTCTTCTCTCTTAATCTACTATGTTTTAGTTGACTGGACCCAGCTGGCACAGAAAGTAGTGAGAACAGACAAGAGACAAAAGTAGGCTACACTTACTGAAAACAAGAATAAAAAAAGACTGATATCCTAGCAGAGCAGAGCTGAGCAGAGCCGGAAGAGAGGAGAAAGGAAATCCTTCTCCATCTGTTAGAGCCGTTTGAGTATTCAGGTGGTGGATAAACGACCACAAATTAATACATTATGCTTGCTACGACACGCACCACAGCTGTGACAAACAATATTATCTCCTCTAGTTGGAACGAAAACAAAAAAACCTCTGAATTTTTCTCGTCTGTCATATTAACTAATTATTTCTTCATTTTTCTCTCTGCAAGGGGGAACTGGGAAAGGGAAGAATGGAAATGGAAAGAAAGTGGCTTCTCAGTTTGAGAGTAAGTGACTTGGCAGATCTTCATAATAGGTGCATCCATAATGGCACCCTAAAATGGCACCCTATTCCCTAGATAGTGCACTACTTTTGACCAGGGCTCTGGTCAAATGTAGTGCACTATATAGGGAATTGGGTGCCATTTCATACGCACCCACAGTGTTATAATGTAGCATCTGTTGAAGTGGTTTGGATTGGATTTGGATTAGCTAACAGTTCTAAAATCCTAATTCCACTTTTCCCTCTCTCTCTTTCCACTAGTAACCAAAGAGTCTGTTCAGAAAGGTAAGCTTTATAAACGTGGATGATGACATTTATGATGGAAAAGTTTTCTGGATTTCTGGAATTGGTCTCGTAAGATCTCTGTCCCCGATGACAGTGTTACAAACTGTAAAAAATCAACCCTACACACACAAACCTACAGTATAAAGAAAGAGAAAATAATTTGTTGTTATATTTATGCGTGCACCGGTTCCTCCCTTTCAGTGCTTTAAATGTGTGTGTGTGTTTGTGTTTCAGTGGGAGAGGACGGCTTAATAAAGGGATGGACGGACTCTGATCACTTGAATATGAGCAAGGCGGTGAAGTACAACGCAGATAGAGGCACCTTCACAGTGGAGAGAACTGGAGTCTACTTCCTGTACTGTCAGGTGATCTTCTGGGAGTTGTAGTCTTGTGTCCACCTGTCATCCGAAACTACAACTGTCAAACTACATAGGCTTAATCAAATGCTGATTGACCCCTGTTGGTCTGCTCTCTGCTTCTTCTTTCTTCGTTTTCTCCATCTCTCTCTCTCCCTCCATCTCTCTCTCACAGGTGTTGTTCAATGAGAACCAGTCTCAGCTGGTGAAGCTGGACGTGGCGGTGGTGAGGGGGAGCCAGCGGCTTCAGAGGTTACAGTGCATGGAGGGCTACGGCACTACGCCTGCAGCCGGATCACACCAGTTCCACTTCCTCAAACCTTGCCAGGTGTCCGGCCTGCTGCGGCTGGAGAAGGGGGTGGAGCTAATAGCCATCACAGGCCCCACTTTCAGCCTCCACATCACGGGAAAGCACTACTTCGGTCTGTTTAAGGTCAACTGAGCTGCCGGAGAGGATGGAAATGTTAAAAGGAAGGAGGGGAAAACTGTTTAAAGGAAAAGGTTTGTCTTACTCCGACCTGTATCAGAGACACACCAATGTGATATTTCTGGATTCGTTTTTATTGTGAAATCTGGACCAACGATCTGAATCGTTGGAATAACTATAAATCATGTTACCTACAGACACTCTGTATGATACCTTTTCAAAGACAGAAACTGTAAGGAAGACTTTAAAGGGAAACTATATTATGCACTTCTAGACTCTCCTATTTTCTACCCCTGCTTCTTTGAAGGAAAAACTCATGGAATGTTCTCTGGATCAGTTGATGGTGCTCTTCTGGAGCAAAACTCATCCACCAGACTCTTCTTTCACCGTGACTTAGCCTGAGGACAGCAGGTGCATGGTGCACCTCTCTGAGGAGCTAAGCTGGTGAACTACTGAATGAGAAGGATTCTGGATAATGAGCTGTACAACTCTGTCTCTTATCCACTGTAATCCTTGCTTATATTATCTCAGCAGCCTTGAATTAATATTACAGTTTTTCTCAGTACATGTCTTTCACACACAGGAACTTTATATAAAAAACGATGACCCCCCCCCCCCCCCCCCCCCCCCCCCCCCACCCCTCAATTTGTCAGGGCATGGACTCTACAAGGTGTCAAAAGCGTTCCACAGGGATGCTGGCCCATGTTGACTCCAATGCTTCCCACAGTCAAGTTGGCTGGATGTCCTTTGGGTGGTGGACCATTCTTGATACACATAGGAAAGTGTCGAGTGTGAAAAACCCAGCAGCATTTCAGTTCTTGGCACCTACTACCATACCCCGTTCAAAGGCACTTAAATCTTTTGTCTTGCCCGTTCACCCTCAATCCATGTCTCAATTGTCTCACGGCTTAAAAATATCATTCTTTAACCTGTCTCCTCCCCTTCACCCCTTCATCTACACTGATTGAAGTGACATTGAATTGAACAAGTGACATCAATAAGGGTAGGGATCATTGCGTTTTTACGTCATGGAAAGAGCAGGTGTTCTTAATGTTTTGTACACTCAGTGTATATCATTTTACCAAAATTATGCATCTCAATCTGTTAACATTATAGGCCTATCATATATAATTTTCAGATGTAAATATTGTTCTGTTGAATCACATTGAAATATGTTACATGATTTAAAGTATCGAGGCACTAGGGCTGGGATTCTTTCCAAGATGTGTTATAGAGCACTGCACTAAACAGCCGATAATTAACATTTTAAAGGCTTTTTCCCCAAAGTACACCAAGTTCGCATTCACGGTAAGCGATGCGCACCTCGGCACAAGCCTAAAAAAACTTCAGAAGTCCATTATAGTGCACTGCGCTATGAGGCGCATTGGATTGGATCCTGACCTGTATGTGAAAATAAGGGTTAACCTGTGGAGATATGTCATGGTGGAAATAGAAATGATTTTGTATATTGTAATCGCAATACTTGTACTCATTCCAAGCTCTCTTATGTGCCATTTGCAGCAAAATGTTTTGAATACAGACAGTACAAACAAAGTATTTCTAGCAGGTGGTTTGGTTTAATGTTTTACCACTCCTACTCTGGTTTATAAGTAGTGTGTGGGGGACCACATTGGCTTCTGCTCAGCAATTTCCACATGTGCACGCATGCACACACACAAATACACAAATACACACACACACACACACACAGCAAAAGTCATGTTATTCTGGTTTCCAGCTCAAAACGTCATTTCTCATCATTAGATCACAAGTGTAAAATGTGGTATTGTAATGTAGACATATTTCCTGTTTGATTTCCTAATCCTTCTCCGCTTCCCTTTTGTTTTTACTGCATTTACCCCCTTTGCACCTCACCTCACAGACACACTCACACACACACACATACACACACACACACAGCTCCTCAACTCTCACTTCCTGATTCCGATCTTGAACCAAATCGCTGAAAGCTCCCCAATTCCTATTATTTGAAATGTCAAAATTTATTGCTACTTTAAAAGCCTTATTTTGCACAAAGAGGCCTGTCTGTGAGAAGTCAAACTAGTAGGGCAAGGTTGAAGAACCAGTGAGGGGATATTGTGTGTATACATGTTTGCAAAATGATGTCTGCAATGCTGGTTGTTGTTCTAAACTCACTTCCTATACAAATGTTTACCTTTTTAAACCTTTTCCTGTTTAAATCTCCTTGTGTTCGCTTTTGACAGACCAGGGATTACTACTGTACAGAGGTAGGATCTTAATTTGAGCCAGTTTGCTAAAGCAGGAAAAAGAATCCTGAAGCAACAGGAAATGTGAATTATTATGTTGATAATTATTCCAAAAAATTGTAGGGTTTGATACATTTTTCGGAAGGGAAATTCAAGTCTGAAATTTGAAATTTGAAATTACAAACGTCAGAAGCCTTTTTAAACCTCAAACAACACTACAATGTTTAAATGTCCTGAATTGCAGGAAAGTTATCCTGCAACAGGGTGATCAAATTAAAATCCTACATCTGTACTATGATACAGTATGACACAAAACAAATAAATCATCTTCTTATCATCTTCTAACCCCATTCTTCTCCTGCTTCCCTCGATGACATCACTGTATGCGTGGAATGCTGCTCTATTCTAGTTCTTTAATCATGACTCACACACTACTGTGTATTCAGTCGTCACCACCCATGATTCATAGATCTGTAGCTTCTCAAGGTCTGGGCTCAGTACAACACAGTGCAGACAGACTGGGATGACCTCATGTGGGGGCTAGAGGAGAGGACTCAGTCACTACTGATCTGCGTCACGTTATATCCTGTAGCATCACTATCCTCTCTATCCTATAGCAGTATCCTATAGCATGGTAAAGTATCCTACAGTAGATTTTTACCCATGATCGCTGAATCAGTGTGTGTGTGTGTGTGTGTGTTTTCCTCACTGTTGCTATTCAAGCATCCATTCACAAATATTTTTTTGATTTTTATTACAAACAAAACCCCAAATAAAAGACAGAAATGCATTATTATTGTGGCATCACTGCCATTCATTGTTTCATGGATCGGCACCACCACAACGTACACAGTGACACAAGATATCGAGGAATTAAAAACAAAACACAAAATCTGAAAAAAGAACAAAAAAGAGAGAGAAAATAAGTGATTTGACAGTATACATTTTAGTTAAGGGGTTGCAAAACACTTCCTACGAAACGTAATCAGTGAAATGTGTTCCAAGTTTAGACTCTTCAACTTGGAACACCAGTGTGGAGTATCCAGGGTTTTAGCTAAATAAATTAAATGTTTCTACTTTAATTATTTGAAATAAGTCCAGGGAACTAACTAAAAGTGGACTGTTTCAACTAGCATGTATAGAGTTGACATCTGATCTCTTCAGGCTTAACACACTTAATTCAGACATAACTTTCTTTACAGTTATTTCAGCTATGTTATGTTTAAGGCGTATTTGTGGATACAGTATATAAAATTGAGTCGATTCTACTAACAGCCTCTGAGTTTCCAGAGAATAATGAATTGATGTACTTTAACTGTTAAGATAGTACACGGTTTCATTTTGTCTTAATGCATTTAGGGTTACATATGTAATCTATTATAAAGGTTATTTGCAAGCCCCAAATCTAGAATGTTATATATTTTTTTGTATTATATCTATTTACGAAGTTCAAAGGTAAACCTCTGTTTGCTTTCTGTTCTGATTATAAGATGTCAGATGCAGTGTAAGAAGTGCACCAAATCATAAGATTGTATCTTTTTCGGAATTTCTCATTTGGTAGAAGCTCTTTTTTCAAAGACAACAGCAACGTCGACAACAACAATAATAATCATAGTCGCAGTAAGGTAACAAGAGTAAAAACACAAGAGAACACGAATGAGCCAAGTTTAAATATGCAAAGAATATCACAGAATTCGTAGAAAGAAGTAGAAACTCGAAGAAAAAAAACAAGGAAGAAAGGATTGATGGAGAGGAGGAAGAGGAGGAAGGGAAAGGGGGATAGAAGCCATAGGAAGGGAGGTCGGAGAGAGCAAGGGGAGAGGAGGACTGTAGTTGAGGGTAGTCGAGAAGCTTTATAACACTGTATGAATTGCCTATGAAAGGTTATGACCATTCGCAGGGGTACTGAAACTATCTATTTGATTGCTGTGAGTGAAGCCTATCCTGAACCAGCACCGGAACCTCCCATCCCAATAAAAAACAAAACATGCACCCGGGTCTGTAAGAACATCCACTGGCATAGGGGCTATACGCTATACCTCATTCAGTCAATATAATGCTGAGTTGGAGTTGGACTGACTGACTCTTCAGTATTTCTACATGTTCCATCAGGTCAACATGAAAGGGAAATGGGCTGAGAGTTTACTGCCAAGTTTAGAGCCCCCTGAGTCCTGTAATACTTCACATCAATTCAACGGGAAGAAATACTGTAGGCACAGCTTGAATGATAACACACCATTTTTAGTGAGTATTCATATTGCATGCGTCAGAGGAAGAATGGCAGGAATGGTGTTAAGAGTCAAATGTTATACTGTTATATTATGCAGCTTCCTCTTACTGGAGTGACCCATGGAAGGGTCAAAGGTCAAGGGTCGGGTTCTGTAGTGGTTATTAGTTCTAGGTATTTGGTGTTGAGGTGTTGAGAGGTTGAGGGTCTGTGAGCGGTGCCAGGATAAAGAGGTTCTAGCTTACGGTACTACATGTATATTGTTCTGGAGTATAGGGGAGGAGACCATCTATGAGAACTAGTAGGCTGCTTGTGAGGAGTTTCGGTTGGTTTGAGGCAGACAAGAAGAGATTGAGCAGGTGAGAGTATTTATGTAACAGCGTGGACCACGTGTGTGTATGTGTGTGTATGTGCGCACATGCGTATTATGTTAATCTGTTTGTATGTGTGTGTGAGAGTGTGTGTGTGTGTGTTAAGGTTATTATAGTAAATGAAAACTGAAACGAAAAGGAAAACTAATCATGAAAAAACAATTTTGTAAACTGAAATTAAATAATTAACACATCTGTTTGAAAAACTAAAACTATACTGAAACTATTATCTTTGACTCCAAAACTAATTAAAATAAAATAAACTTTGGGCAAAAATCAAATGGAGTTTTCAAGCTTCTGAATCTGGTTGGTAAATGCTGACAGGAGATGTCGATGTTACAAATAGACCTAACTTGTGCATCACTATAACTAGTTATTACCAGAAATACTCCATTCGATTCGTATTAACGGCCATTGTGTATGTTGCCTGTACGTTGTCAATGGGCTGTGCGGTGCATTCTGAGCGATTCTGGGACAAGGAGTGCACTCCTTCAAGGATTGAAAGGGAGTCAATTGGGTGCTAGCAAAAAATAAAAAAAACATTAGCATGAATTAGCCTACGGGAACAAGAAACACAACATTACACATATTTTCAGAGATGTGAGATAATGAACTTGTTCTCTGTAATATCGTATAGCTTTGAAATAGTGACATTACGTACTTTCGAGGAAAATAGGCAGTTTTCTAGACTCATACCCTGACTTTTACAAGGGATTGCGTGACGATTAGCTTAGCAACCACATTACGCAGCATGACAACGTCAACACGATTGGTCGACAGTTTGATGGGCTGGGTGTTATACGTTCCTTCATTCATTGACCAATGAGATTCCCCTCCTCATTTCTTAAAGTATTTCTGCTATCACTAGCTAACAGGGAAGAAATACCCTACTTTATGTCCCTATAACTAAAACTGAAACTAAATCATATAAAAACAAAATATAAATATTTGTATAAAACTCAAACTTAATAAAAACCAGTAAACCAGGTCTGAAAACGAACTAAACTGAATAAAAATCGAATATAAAAGCACAAAACTATAATAACCTTGTTATGTGTGTGTGTGTGTGTGTGTGTGTGCGCACGCGCATATATGTTCATGTGTGTGTGTTCGCGCTGTGTGTGTGTGCGTGTGTGTGTGTGGTCAGTGAGTGGTGTTATTCAGTCGTCGATACAGATTACTTCCCCAAAGCGCTGGTCTCTCCTGTTCAGGAGTAGCTCTGCTTCCCTTTCCTTCTTCACTGACAAGGGAGGCCCGTTCAACACTGTAGGGGGAAGAGAACACACACATTAGCACACACCCACACGAGCATACACACACACCCATGTATATGGCAGTGGAGGCTGCTGAGGGGAGGATGGCTCATAATAATGTCTGGAACGGAGCAAATGGAATGGCATCAAACACCTGGACACCATGTGTTTGATGTATTTGATACCATTCCACCGATTCCACTCCAGTCATTACCACGATCCCATTCTCCCCAATGAAGGTGCCACGTATACGTATACGGTATATGCTTACTGTACATTCAGAAACATTCGGTCAAACACACACACACACACACACACACTCACTCACACACACTCACTCACTCACTCACTCACTCACTCACTCACTCACTCACTCACTCACTCACTCACTCACTCACTCACTCACAGAACACGTCGAACCCTTCACTTTGTTTGATGTCCTACTTTGAACTTTTCTCCATTCCATGATTAACTGAGGTTAAGGCATTATGTGCTTAATCAAAGCACCGTCCTCCACAAGAATGATCACAATGTCACTCTATCGCTCTCTTAATTTTTACCCTGAACTCTCAGCTTCAAGTATGTGGGAAGGAGAGAGAGAGCAAGAGAGAGAGAGAGAGAGAGAGAGAGAGAGAAACAGACACACACAAACACAACATAACAAGACGCACACACACACACACAAACACAATTTAGATTACACATACTGCACTGATGAATAGATTGACACACACCGGCTACCGAGCACTTATGACAACCTTTTTAATGAGCGAGTTTGCATATACATTCAGAATATCATACATTATATGTCATGGTAACAATACTAATACAAAACCGAACGAAAACCAGCTTATATAGTTTAATGGGGGTCTGCTTGAGGACACACACACACATACTGCTTGTCATTAGTCTGCACAGGAAGCCTACAACAAGATACATGTCCCTTTCCCTTTAGATGTTACTGTCAACATTCTAAACGGACCGTGACATCAAACTCACGGCTGGAGGCTAAATTCTCCTCACGGTGGCGTTCTATCAGAAACAGTCCCAGGCAGCTCCTGTCTGCTCTGAGCGGAGTGTCCTGTGTCGACGGGAAGGCATAAATTGTCATAACACCGCCGTATATCAAAGTACTGATAGTGTACTGTACGAGAGTGGTGGGTGTGATGATATGATAACTACTGCTGCAGCTGCTGTACATACAGTCTAGCCAGAGAGAGACAGAGGGGGGGACAGGGAAACCTTATGGCATGTGGCCCAGTGGAGGCCACTGGAAGGGAAGGAAGGCAGAGGGACTACTTAACTCAGTGCTGTGTGACTGTGTGTGAGAGTTAAAATCTGATAACCAGCAATAAAACTGGAAAGTTGGAGTGAGGGGGAGAGGGGTTAGGAGAAAGAGAGAAAGAGATGGAGAGACATGTACAAAGTGAGAGATAAAAGAAAGAGAGAGGGAGATGAAAAAAGACTAGAGAAAAAGACAGAGAGAAAGAGAGGGAGGGAGAGAACAAGAAGGAGAGAGAAAGAGAATGTGAGTGGGGGGAATGTAATGGATCACGTGTGCTGTTACAAGATATAGGCTTTTCCCCTCAGATACTTCATATCATATACTTCACTTTCACTCAAATCCCATCCAAGCATATCGCTTTCCCTCTCTCTCTCCTCCCTGTCTCTCTCCTCCCTCTCTGACTCCAAAGTCACCCCTTGCACTCATCCAACACTTTCACCTCTTCACTCCGACCCATCTCTCCCCCTCTTTTTCGCCTCCCTCTCTCCCTTCTCAGGAGTGTAGTCTGATCCCTCGTTCATTCTGCTCTACCTGTTTCCTTTGTTCAAGCAGCTGTTTCTGGCCTATCAGAGAGAGAGAGAGAGAGAGAGAGAGAGAGAGAGAGAGAGAGAGAGAGAGAGAGAGAGAGAGAGAGAGAGAGAGAGAGAGAGAGAGAGAGAGAGAGATTAGGTGAGAGATCACTGACAGCCAAGACTTTCTGGGCCTGATTCTCTAAACAGCCAATGCGCTGGTGCAATTTATCATTCACCTCAGAGAGAAATGAAAACCAGAAAGAGAGGGAGGAGGAGAAGACCTGGCAACGAAAATGAGAGCAGGCAGCAGATGTTTTGTAGTCATAGTTGTCCATTTAGGACGAGAGCAGTCTTGGAGAGACAGACTTGCAGCTTCACTTAGCATAACATACATGAATATCCACAACTACTCTATCAGAGTTTATTTAGTGTGTGTGTGCATGCCCAAGCATTTGCATGTGTGTGTGTGTATGCCCACATGTGTGTATGCCAACACTTTCGCACATGCATGAGTGTGTGTGTGTGTGTGCACAGGCATGTCCTGTACGATATCACATTCCCTTTTGCAGATCCAACCTAATCTCTTTGTAATGTCATTCCATTTGGGCCGACAAGTCAAGCCACGCTTTGTGCTTTGAGGTACAGGAAACCCCAGCTGAGAACTTTTCCACACAGACACACTTCATGAAACTACACCACATCCTCGTCCCAATACCAGACCCCCTATTGCCCGCGTTTCCTTCTTATGTCCATCAAGATAAAGTGACCCCATATAAAGGTGCTACAGTAAGTATGATTGGCCAATACAGTACAAAGAATACAGGCCCCTACGCCAAGCTCTCTTCCCATTGGTCACTGTCCTCTTCACATCTCATGTTGATTGGTTAATTACGATGACAACAATATAAAAACAGGAAGTGCTTTTGTTTCTAAATTTGTGCTACTTTACGGTTGGTTGGGCTTGGAATCTGGAATGCCGAGGGGTGAGGGAGTCCAGGGAAAGTCATTCATTTCTCTCCCTCTTTTTTCTCATTCAAATTTTTTGGGTTGAAATGAGGAAAATCCAGGATGGTCCACTTTGGCTTGCATTTACATGGCAGTGCCTTGTATTGAACAGAGGAGGGTATTACAGAGAGAGACTAGTCTTAGTAGGTTTAGGTAATGTTGTGTGCGTGTAAGAGAGAGGGAGAGGGGGATGAGGGGGAGTGCAGGACTGAGAGAGGGATTGTGGAGGAATGAAGGAGTGCAGAGTTGGAGTACAGAGTCATTCACTCAGCCGTCGGATAAAGAATGATTCCGGAGGGGAAACGTTGGGGCCGGGGTCGGGAGAAGAACAGGAGAAAGAAAGGAGAGAAGCGGGCCAGTAGATTTGTCTGACGCAGAGAAGGAATGAAAAAGAACAAATCTCCACTTTCCTTGCATTCTTCTCTTTCAGCTGCTCATACCTACATTCTTGAAACCCTTCTCTCTTGATTACATTAGCATACTCTCTCTATTTTTCCTCATTACCCTTTTCTCTCTGCCAACACTTCTCCCCAGAGTCAGTTTTCAGGCCCCTTTCCTTCTTTCCTCCCCCCTTTCTCCCTATATTTTTTGGCCAGACAATTCACCCTCCTCTCAATATAAATTGTCCATGTTTTACTTCAAAGCAGTGCCTTTCGGATTCTCTCTCTCTCTCTCTCTCTCTCTCTCTCTCTCTCTCTCTCTCTCTCTCTCTCTCTCTCTCTCTCTCTCTCTCTCTCACTCCCTGCCTCCCTCCATCTCCCTCTCTCTCTCACTATCCATCGTCCATGCTTTACTGCAAAGTGCCGTCTCTTCTCCTCTCCTCCTTTTGGATTCTGTCTCTCTCTGTGCCTCTCCATCTCTCCCTCCATCTCTCCATCCCTCCATCCTCAGGGTTTCTTGGGCCGTCCGTTGCGGGGCAGGTTCTCCACGGTGTTACTGAGGCGGTACTTGACGATGATGCTGTGCACCGTGGACTTAGGCATCCTCAGCTCTTGCCCGATGGACCCCTCCGACTTGCCGTCCTTCCACAGGTCGACCACGCGCTGCCGCTGCATGATGTCGTGCTCCTTGGTCTTCAGGAAGCCGGCGCCGCCACCACCCGGGGCTTCTGGGGCTTCTGTGGGGGCAGACAAGCGGCAGAGCTGTAGAGACTGGGTGGGACTGGGAGGGAGAGGTAGGGGTCGCCACGTCAACGCCACGGCAACACCCCGGCAATGCCATGGCAACACGAGCGACAGTCAGTCACTTCAGGCAGTTCAGGCAGTCTGGCCCTCAACACTCCACTACTGAGGGTCAGCTTCCTCGAGGTGTCATGGAAACAACCACAACCACAACATTACTGTTACACTTCCCAAAGGGGCAACCCATTTTGAGGGACAGTCAATGTTGTTGAAAGTTTGTGTTCCACAATTCAGGTGTGTTGAAAAAGCACCAAAAAATGAACTGAGTCCAATGTGTCATTACGTTTTGCTTGGAGTTCACGAGGTTAGCTACAGTTAGACAGTCAGAAAAGAAGCAGGGCAGACAGAAGTTGTTTATTTTGAGGCAGTAGCAGCTTTGCGTACTCAGGACTGGGATGAGGTGACCAGACTGTTGAATTGATGTTATTATCAGGTTATTATGAGGTCACAAAAGTGTTTTTTCCAGTCACAGTTTTTCCTCACTCTCTCCCTCTGCTCCTCTCCTCCTCTCTCTCTCTCTCGCACTCTTTCTTCCTCTCTCGCTCTTCTCTCCCCACTCTCCCATCTTTCTCCCCCACTCCTATCACTCCCCTGCTCTCGCTCTCCCCCTCTGCTCTTCTCTCTCCTCTTCCTCTCTCCCCTCCCCTTTCCTCTCCCTCTCTCTCCCCTCTCTCTCCCCCTCTCCCTCTCTCTTTCCCTCTCTCTCTCTCTCTCCCCTCTCTCTCTCCCTCTCTCGCTTCCCCTCTCTCTCCCTCTCTCTCTCTCCCCCTCCCTCTCCCTCTCTCTCTCCCCCTCTCTCTCTCCCGCTCTCTCTCCCTCTCTTCCTTCACTCTAAAAAGGGGTCATCAACCACAGCAAGCCTAATCAAGACAACAAACCCAAAGCACCCCCATATACCAAATATTTATAGCTCTACCCAGAGAACGCATTCATTCGTTCAGACTGTCTGTGTGTTCAGCTGCTTAGCGTTCATCTCAGCACTGTCCACTCAGACTCAACACCCACAGAGGACAGACAGACAGCGTTTGATCTAGCGACTATTTCTGAACACCAGCGTTCAGCCCAGCGTTCAGTTCAGCCAAGCCTCAGAGAGTTCTGGTTCACAAGTCACAACAAGGAGTTTACACAAGCAACTTCTGTGTGGTTTGGTGTCCTCTTAAAATACCTTTGTACAAAGTCCATGGAGACTGAATTGCATCTTGGCTCCGCGACTCGGTACGACATGAACTAACTGCACATTTTCAGAAAAAGAAAAAACGCATCTCCCAGACAGATGGGTCCCACTGCAATGACATAACTCAAGATGTAGCAAGATGTAATATCTCTTCACTGCATCTGTTACATTTCTGTTACACACTCCAGAGCAGACGTATCTGGTCAACATCTGCTGTAGCCAAACTAATGGAGGGAAAATAAATTATCTTGTTGCCAGTTGGAGTAGACTAAGAAATGCTGAAGGAGCTGGACAATAAGCCCCAAACAAAGGTGGAGAGTTTGAGAGGGAGAGTTTAGAATATTTTAATTACGCTAATGAGTAGAATAAACCTTTAGGAGGAAAAATCTACATCTGCAAATATTCTTCCAAAATTGTTTGTGGGGTTCCAACGTACTGGACACCTTCATACTCTTGCAAGCTTTGTTCAGAATAGCTAATAGAAAACAGTTTGTAGGTTTTTAACAGTTGAAAAGATAAAAGGGAGAATCCTTACTTCCACCAAGTTGACTTTTTAAATCTCCCAATATTGACATCAATGCATGACTCATTGAAAGTTCAACTTAAGTGGAAGTTAGGATTCACCATAGAAATAGAATGACATCATTCCAGTTCTGAGGGATCCGCCCCAAAGTTTTAAAAAAATGTTGACATCAGAGATTGTGATTGGCTGTGAACCTGACTACTTCAGGTGGCCATCTGTCAACACTAACAGCAATGAAAACAGAGACAAAGTGGATCTCACTGATCTATGTGTCTCCGGCATTGCCAGGGTTTATTCTCAACTCAGTTTTCTTCAGTAAATAGTGCTTAGAAGGCTGTTATAAACCATGGAGTATTCCCATAGTACCATTTGAGAAAAAACAGGTGATTATTACACACTGCCTTCTAGGCGCGTTCACATGGCACCTTAGTAGCCCAGGGCTAAGAGAGATTTTAGCCCAGGGCTAATCAAGTGTTCACACATGCACATTCTAAAGTGGGCTAGCACCAACCTTAGCCCAGGGCTAGCCCCAGAAACACGGTGCCAGAATAGCCAGTGTGAAACGGGGTCAAGAACAACGCATAGAATTGTCACTGTCCAATCACAAAAGCTGCACTTTGCATATGCTTGTGATGCCTGTGATGCGTTCTGCACACTATTTTGATAAGTAAATGTATACTATTTCATCTTTCCACCTGAGGACAAAAACCCCAAAAAATTATACTTTAATCCGTGCAAAAACATTGGCTGCTATGGCTAACAAAAATGGTTGCTATGCAGGCTGGCCAACGTCTTCCCACTGGGCACACATGGGTTGAATCAATGTTGTTTCCACATTATTTTAATGAAATTACATTGAACCAACGTGGAATAGATGTTGAATTGACATCTGTGCCCAGTGGGTTTTATTTAGCTAGCCTCTGAAGCCACAAACTCTACAGCTGGAAGGGCAGCAAATGCTCCATTTCCATCTGTTTTCATAGGTTTTCTATTGACATTTAATTGTATATAGCTATCCATGATAATAATATTGTTGCATGATTTTGCCTGGATCAGAAAAGTTGATGTATCTTCCTTGCACAGCATTCTCTATAAGATCGCATTTCAAGGGTGAAAGATTGTTTCCGAAGGTCGGACAGGCAGACAGCAAGGTTTATACAAACCATCACTGTTGGAAATAAAATGCTAGGCTGGAAGCAATAGGAAAAAGAATGTGTTAATAAATGCCTTATTGCTTATAAAATTGGTTGCGTGGCAGAAACAGAATGCTGGTCGCTTGTTGTGTTTGTCCATTATCCCAGGGCTTTGGAATACAAGTGTGAATCCTTAGCCCAGGGTTAAAGCTTAGCCCAGGGTTAAGAGATGCTTATGTGAACACAGGATAAGCTAGCCCAGGGCCAGTCTTAGCCCGGGGCTAAGAACAATGCAGTGTGAAAAGGCCTAGAAGCATTAACCTCACCATAATGATCGATATAGCAACAGATGCAAATATCTCACTACAAAATGTATGACCATATAAAAATGCTACATTCCTCATTCATATCTGGAACAGATTTGACCCATCTGTCCAAGTTGCCAAAGCCAGAAGCCAATGCATTCTAAACTATACCTTATTAGGTCTACATTAACACAAATATAGTGGAATACTTAAGCAATAAGGCACGAGGGAGTGTGGTATTTGGCTAATATACCACGCTAAGGGCTGTTCTTATGCACGACGCAACGCGGAGTGCCTGGATACAGCCCTTAGCCATGGTATATTGGCCATATACCACAAACCCCCGAGGTGCCTTATTGCTATGATAAACTGGTTACCAACGTAATTAGAGCAGTAAAAATAAATATTTTGTCATACCTGTGGTATCCGGTCTGATATACAACGGCTGTCAGCCAATCAGCATTCAGGGCTCGAACCATCCAGTTTATAATCTAGTATAATACATACTCTCATAGGTACTGCAGCTTAAGCTAAATGGATTTGTCTTCTCCGCTTGGAACAAGTACACACACACACACACACACACGTAAACCACATTTTTTCCAAAGCTTCCCTGATTAAGGATTTCTAGTGACTTGTTGACTTTATCAGATAATAAATGAATGATTTCGGCAAGAAATGCAGCTGCTGCAGAGTAGCAACCCAGAAAAGCACGTCTAACTGATAGGAACAGTGAATCATTCATTAGTAGTTTTGGAAAGCCCTTCTCAGTGAATGGGTGTTACAACACAGTGTAGCCACTGACCTGATACGAAGGATCCAGGGGGCATCTGGCTGTAGTTGGCTCCTCCCATGGGTAAGACTCCCGGGGGGACGGGGGTGAAGGTGGGTCCAAAGTTCTGAGGAGTGGCGTAGGGTCCTGGAGGGATGGTCTGGAGGAGAGGGAGGGAGGGGGGGACAGACTGTCAATTTGATGATCGATCGAAATCAAAAGGAATAATCAGAAGCCTGAGTGTGTGTGTGTGTGTGTGTTCACAGGTAGTTTGTGTGTATGCGTGTGCGCGAGCTTGCGTTACTGTGTGTGTATGTGTGTGTGTGTACTCTGTCTACTCACCGGGGGTGTGTGTGTGTCGGTACCCTTGCTGGCTAGTCTGCTGAGGATGCTTCTCTCTGACATCTGCAGGCGTGCGGCGATGGGCGGGACCCGGGACAGTGTGGCAGGGAGCCGCGTCACGTCAGCCTTCATGTCACTCAGCAGCTCCTCCAACTGGTTCAGCACTGACATTACAACAACTCAACAGTCAATTCATTCCATTAACCATTCCAAGCAGCTATTAGATTAGTCAATTACTGTTAACCATTACAAACAGCTATTGGTTTATTAGTATTAACCATCAACTACATACTCTATCAGTCTCCCACTAGGTTTGAGGTAAAGTCTGGGAGATTGTTTCTTTATCCTTATTTCTGATATAAACGCGTACAGACACACACCACACACACACAGAAGGGGGAGATTTGAGGTTTGTGTGTGTGTCCCTCACCCTTGTGCAGCACTGCGTTGGCCGGTTTGTTCCCGGCCAAGGACTCCTTGCTGAGGTGCTGGTGGGACTCGGCCAAACACTCCACCTCGGCGAAGCGGGCGTTCAGGGCCATGGCGGGGTGGACTGGGTCCTGGGTCATATTCAGGTAGGCTGCCCTCCTCAGCTGCTCCTCGATCACCAGGGCCTGCTCTAATAACTGGGGGGAGAGGGAGGGGGGAAAGGGGAGAGAGGGGGGGGGGTGAGTCAGTTCTTTCATCAAGGATCGTCATAAAACTCTTCTGCTTCTTGACATATATCTGGCCAACATGTACAGTAGGTTCTACATTTCATTGCAAGAAGGTTTTATTGAGTTTAATTTATCTGAATCGTAATGAGGAAGATGTTCGAGAAAAATAGTAAGAAAGAGGAGAGAGATAAACAGAAATTGAGGATTGCATGAGAAGAAGAAGAATTTGTCAGAAAAAGACAGATGATGTCTGGATACATTCTAGAGAAAATATTCATATTTACAGTGTTATTTTAGCCACTGTCATTGCGTGAGAGAGAGAATGCGGATGTTGAGGTCAGGGCATGAAACATGTGAGACCATCAAAAACAGGATGAGTCCCATTTCACAAATGCACCGGTCAGCAATACCACCCTGGTATCTGTCTGTCAACCCAATATCTGTCTCTCATCCTTCAAACAGATGTTTTCTATTAGGTATTACATTTTACTTAAATACAGTGAGCTCCAAAAGTATTGGGACAGTGCCAATTTTTTGGGGCTCTGTACTTCAGCACTTTGGATTTGTAATGATACAATGACTATAAGGTTAAAGTGCGGACTATCAGCTTTAATTTGAGGGTATTTTCATCCATATCGGGTGAACTGTTTTGAAATTACAGCACTTTCTGTACATAGTCCCCCCATTTTAGGGGACCAAACGTATTGGGACAAATTCACTTATATGTGTATTTACATTTACGTCATTTAGCAGACGCTCTTATCCAGAGCGACTTACAGTTAGTGCATACATTATTCTTTTTTATTTTCATACTGGCCCCCCGTGGGAATCGAACCCACAACCCTGGCGTTGCAAACGCCATGCTCTACCAACTGAGCTACAAGTGGTATGAAACACAACTAAAACAAACAGCAATTGTATCTCACATTGGTAGAGCCACAAGCTTGATGTAGTCATTGCGTGCTAGGAATATGGGACCAAATACTTAATACACATATAAGTGATTTTGTCCCAATACATTTGGTCCACTAAAATGGGGGGACTATGTACAAAAAGTGCTGTAATTTCTAAACGGTTCACCCGATATGGATGAAAATATGCTAAAATTAAAGCTGACATTGTACCATTTTAAATCCAATGTGCTGGAGTACAGAGCCAAAACAACACCAACAAAATGTCTGTCCCAATACATTTGGAGCTCACTGTATGTCCTGAATTGTGTTAATCTTGTCTGTGTCATGGTTGTGTTGTGTCATAGTTATGTGATGGTTATCTTATAGTATGTCATGTGATGTGTAGGGCCCAGAGTGTTTCCTGGCCTTTTAGTTATGCTACGCTATGTATGCTATGCCATGCTATATTGCTATGCTACAGTGAGGGAAAAAAGTATTTGATCCCCTGCTGATTTTGTACGTTTGCCCACTGACAAAGAAATGATCAGTCTATAATTTTAACGGTAGTTTTATTTGAACAGTGAGAGACAGAATAACAAAACAAAAATCCAGAAAAAATCATGTCAAAAATGTTATAAATGTATTTGCATTTTAATGAGTGAAATAAGTATTTGACCCCTCTGCAAAACATGACTTAGTACTTGGTGGCAAAACCCTTGTTGGCAATCACAGAGGTCAGACGTTTCTTGTAGTTGGCCACCAGGTTTGCACACATCTCAGGAGGGATTTTGTCCCACTCCTCTTTGCAGATCTTCTCCAAGTCATTAAGGTTTCGAGGCTGATGTTTGGCAACTCGAACCTTCAGCTCCCATAGATTTTCTATGGGATTAAGGTCTGGAGACTGGCTAGGCCACTCCAGGACCTTAATGTGCTTCTTCTTGAGCCACTCCTTTGTTGCCTTGGCCGTATGTTTTGGGTCATTGTCATGCTGGAATACCCATCCACGACCCATTTTCAATGCCCTGTCTGAGGGAAGGAGGCTCTCACCCAAGATTTGACGGTACATGGCCCCGTCCATCGTCCCTTTGATGCGGTGAAGTTGTCCTGTCCCATTAGCAGAAAAACACCCCCAAAGCATAATGTTTCCACCTCCATGTTTGACAGGTGGGGATGGTGTTCTTGGGGTCATAGGCAGCATTCCTCCTCCTCCAAACACGGCGAGTTAAGTTGATGCCAAAGAACTCCATTTTGGTCTCATCTGACCACAACACTTTCACCCAGTTCTCCTCTGAATCATTCAGATGTTCGTTGGCAAACTTCAGACGGGCCTGTATATGTGCTTTCTTGAGTAGGGGGACCTTGAGGGCGCTGCAGGATTTCAGTCCTTCACGGCGTAGTGTGTTACCAATTGTTTTCTTGGTGACTATGGTCCCAGCTGCCTTGAGATCATTGACAAGATCCTCCCGTGTAGTTCTGTGCTGATTCCTCACCGTTCTCATGATCATTGCAACTCCACGAGGTGAGATCTTGCATGGAGCCCCAGGCCGAGGGAGATTGACAGTTCTTTTGTGTTTCTTCCATTTGCGAATAATCACACCAACTGTTGTCACCTTCTCACCAATCTGCTTGGCGATGGTCTTGTAGCCCATTCCAGCCTTGTGTAGGTCTACAATCTTGTCCCTGACATCCTTAGAGAGCTTTTTGGTCTTAGCCATGGTGGAGAGTTTGGAATCTGATTGATTGGTTGCTTCTGTGGACAGGTGTCTTTTATACAGGTAACAAGCTGAGAGTAGGAGCACTCCCTTTAAGAGTGTGCTCCTAATCTCAGCTTGTTACCTGTATAAAAGACACCTGGGAGCCAGAAATCTTTCTGATTGAGAGAGGGTCAAATACTTATTTCCCTCATTAAAATGCAAATCAATTTATAACATTTTTGACATGCATTTTCTGGATTGTTTTGTTGTTATTCTGTCTCACTGTTCAAATAAACCTACCATTAAAATTATCAGTGGGCAAACGTACAAAATCAGCAGGGGATCAAATACTTTTTTCCCTCACTGTATGTCATGTCATGCTATGTCATGTCAGGTTATGTCATACTATGTCATTTTATGTCACACCATGTGTTGTCGTACCTTGAAGCGGCGGGCCAGGAACTTGTTCTTCATTTCCAGGAAGTTGCCCTTGTTGGCCTGCGACTTGAAGGGCTCGTTGACAATGGCGAACTGGGGGTCGTTCTGGATGTCCTGCCACCTCGCGTACCCATGACTGATACGTAGAGGTCAAGGGTCATACAGCTCAATACATAATTGGCCAATCCCAAACCAACATCTAGCCTGTCAGTAGTATTTAGTATTTTAGAACAACTTCTACCAAGCCTATGAATAGGGCTATCATCATCAAGCTTATTCCTATCGAATTCTTTCAGATCATTATTGTGTTTCTTGTGTTAGGGGGCATTCTAGTGAAAGACATAGAACAAACAGAATGGACTTCCAATCTCTATTCCGTGTGCAGATCTCTGCAGACACAATCTAATACTTCTCTGCTACACAAAGGCATCAGTGGGTGGACTTGTTGACGTCTAACAAGAAGCCACTGTCGCAGCAAGATCGATAAATAAACACCACAAGACAGTCTCCTTGGCAACCGCCGTCAAGGATACAGAACGATTCCCGCCAGCAGCCAGAAGTCGTGCCGCCGGTGCCAGATCTCATTCATCTTCCCAGAGGAGATGGCCGCCCGCTCCTCATTCTGCCACAGCGTATGCAGCTCTGCAGGGTGAAATGTCAGCATAATGTAGGGTCAATGTTATAACAATGTTAAAACAACCTGTGAGTTCTGCCACAGCGTGTGCAGCTCTGCAGGGTGAAACGTCAGCATAATGTAGGGTCAATGTTATAACGTCAACATAATGTTGTTTTAATGTTAAATGAACAACCTGTGTTTTCTGTCACAGTGTGTGCATCTCTGCAGGGGAAAGTCAATATAATATTGTATCAATGTTATAACAACAACCTGTGATACTGACTGAGGGTGTTCTGGACCATGTTGTGTCAATGTTAAAACACTCATGTTAAAACAACCCACGATACTGAATCACTGTGTGTGGAGATCAGTGTGTGGGAACATCAACATAACGTTGAATTAATGTTGAAACAACCCTTGATACAGAGTGAGTTCTGCCACAGCTCTAACACACAGTACCAGATATGACAGGGGTCAAATGAGAGGGGTAATTTACCCGTGAAGCCCCCGTCAGCGATGTTGAACATGAAGCGCCGTCGCTCGGGGGGGATGATGGGGGGTCTCGGCAAGGTGTCTTTGGCAACCTCCTCCTTCGCCACTTCTTTCCCAGCATCCTTTTCACCTTTTACTTCCTCTGTGAGCAAGACAAACACAAGCAAGTTCCTTTAGATCAGTGGATGCCACTGAAATATACCTAAGAGTGTACATTTACTTAGTGAGTCACTAACTAACTGACTAACTAACAGACAGGTACAGATGGATGGACGGATGGACAGACAGGTGAGGTCACTCACCTTTCATCACGTCAGAGGGTTGCTGTCTGTCCATCTTTTCCTTGTTGTCTGACGCTTCTGTGGCGACAGGGGCTTCCTCGCTCTTCTCCGTCTCTCTTCCCTTCTCCTTCTCCTCCTCCTTCTCTCCAGGCGAGAGCGTTACACTACCTGGTTTCTCATCTTTGACCTCCGACCCTTGTTTAGTTGTTTCTCCCGGTGTGCCCTCCGTACTCTCCTCTTCCTCTTTCTTCTCCTCCACTGGGGCCGGAGGCGTGTCAGTCGTTTTTGTTTCTTTCCACTCCTCCTCTTTTGTACCACTCTCTTCCTTGTCTGTTGTTGTACTAGGGGATAATTCTTGTGGAGCTTCCTTCGTAGGGATTGGAGGCTGTGGACAAGACAAAACATAGTGTTCAGTGACAGTTGTTGGTATAACTGTACGTAGGTTAGCAAGATTTATTAAGACTGTGAACTGTGTAATTAATAACATTCAATCTCTCACCTCTTCAGGATCTGCACTCCTGTTGCTCTCTACCTCTTTACCCCCTTCCTCCTCCTTCTCTCCATTTTTCTCTGGCTCAGACGGGGCCTTACCCTCCTCCTTCTCTCCCTCCTCTCCATCTTTTCCGTTCTTCTCTAGTTTCTCTGAGGGAGCAGGGGTAGCTGACCACAACACACAGGCAGAGGGTCATCTCTCGCTCACACACACACATATTACACACACACATACACACTCACATATTACACACACACACTCACATTTTACACACACACACACACACACACACACACAAGTTATCACAGTCAGACTTGGAGTGCCCTCTGCTGGATATGTTTTGAGCTGCGTGCCTGCCTGTGTGTGTGTGTGTGTGTGTGTGTACATGTGTCTTTGTTCACCCACCTGGTTTAGAGGTGCAGGGGGTGTTGTCTGAGGTACAGCTGGGGTCAGGGGTGGGCGTGGCAGTCTTCATGGTCCCTCCAGGGGAGGAGGCTCTGGAGGAAGAAGACACACTGACCTCTGGTCTCAGAGCCTCAGGCTTCATCTCTGGCTTCAGCTCTGGGAGACTCCACCGCCCGTTGATGTGCTCAAACTCCTGGATCTGAGGTGGAGAGAGGAGGGGAGGGGATGCGGTTCAGTGACAGGACCAAGCAGCTGTCAATCATTGTTGACTGGCTATAAAGTATTCTATTCTGTACTGTACTGTTCTGTACTGTTAATAATAATATTAATAATATGCCATTTAGCAGACGCTTTTATCCAAAGCGACTTAGTCTGTTCTGTACTGTTCTGTACTGTTCTGTTCTGGTCTGCATGTTCTGTACTGTACTGTTCTGTTCTGCATGTTCTGTACTGTACTGTTCTGTTCTGCATGTTCTGTACTGTACTGTTCTGTTCTGCATGTTCTGTACTGTACTGTCCTATCCTGTACTGTTCTATACTGTCCTATACTGTTCTGTACTGTTCTGTACTGTTCTATACTGTCCTATACTGTTCTGTACTGTACTATACTGTACTGTTCTATACTGTCCTATACTGTTCTGTACTGTACTATACTGTACTGTTCTATACTGTCCTATACTGTTCTGTACTGTTCTGTACTGTTCTGTACTGTCCTATACTGTTCTGTGCTGTACTGTCCTATACTGTTCTGTTCTGTACTGTCCTATACTGTTCTGTACTGTTCTGTGCTGTACTGTCCTATACTGTTCTGTACTGTCCTATACTGTCCTATACTGTTCTGTTCTGTACTATACTGTCCTATACTGTTCTGTACTGTCCTATACTGTTCTGTGCTGTCCTATACTGTTCTGTGCTGTACTGTCCTATACTGTTCTGTTCTGTACTGTTCTAATTCTATTCTAGCCAACAGTCTCTGTCCCTGGGAAGAAATGGGCCCTAATTTCTGTGTCTATTCATTGATGTATCTTTATGTCACGAGGAAGTCACAGCCTGGAAAAAAAATGTCCTTATATGATTTCCTTTGATAGATTCTGGTCTGATAGGTCTGAATGGTTGACAGATGTGCTAAAAAAAACGACAGTTGCTATTGGTTGAAATGTAGCTAGCTAGCTAGCCTGTTAGCTTAGCATTATGGTTGCTAGGATACACTTTGACCCCTGACCTTCTTCTTGACCAGGGACATGACCCCGATGCGGGTCAGCACGGGCTGACGGCACAGGCCCTCCCTCGGCACGCCGTCGGCAAACGTCTCGGCGCCGTCGGCCACGGGCTCACACAGGTGACGCATGAACAGAGACACATACGCCCTGAAAGAGAGAGAGGAGAGGAGAGGGGAAAGAGAGTGACACAAAAGAGGAGAGAAGTGAGGGAGAGAGAGAACCAGACAAAGAGAGAGGCAGTAGGAGAGCAGAAAAAGGGGAGGGGGGAGAGAGAAAAAGGTTGAGAAAACAGCAAACAGAGAGGGACCAGACCAGCAACTACATTGTAGTATGAAGATCTTAGTGTAAGCGCATACTGTAGCCTATGACGCAAACAATCACAGTCCCTCTCCACTCACTTGAACTCCTTCTCACTCTTGCCCCTCAGGTCTCTGACCAGCCACTGGCAGGAGAAGGCATCCTGGGCGGGCATGCCCCAACGCATCACCGCGTTTAGGAAGGCCTTCCGCTGGCGTGTGTTGAAGCCCAACACCTAGAGGGGTAGAGGGGAGAGAGGACATAAGGACATTATAACCCATACACATTGCATTCATATGCAGTTCATAAGCCATAAGAAGGGGGACAGCGAGAGATTGGTGTCCAGGTGAAGGGTACCTACATAAGGACTTCATAACACATTCATAACCCATATACAGCATTCATAAATGTCAGCAAGAACAGCAGGTTATTGTGTCTAACCTCCAGGTTGCCGGCCACTCTGGCCAACAGGGGGGGCAGCGGCTTGTCTCTCTCATTCCTCATCTGGCGGCGAGACTGTCTGCGAGAACCTGGAGGGAGGGAGAGAGAGAAGAGAGAGAGAGAGAGAGAGAGAGAGAGAGAGAGAAGAGAGAGCGAAGAGAGATAGAGATAGAGAGAGAGCTCCTATCTATCCGAGACTCCTATACTAAAGCTATCGCTCTATACGCTCTCTCTGCTACTCTCTCGGATTCTCTCTCTACTCTACCTCCTCTCCTCCTCTCTAATATCTCTCTCCACTCGCTGTGTGCTTATCTCATCATCGCCAATCGTCCTCTCTCTCTCTCTCTCTCTCTCTCTCTCTCTCTTCTCTCTCTCGCTCTCTCTCCTCTCTCTCTTCGCTCTCCGCGCTCTCTCCCTCTCCCCTCTCCCCTCTGTCTCTTCCTTAGAGTGGGTGTGGGTAACCAGCGTGTAACTTATGATAGTCACGACCCTGCCTTTTACACAAAAGCGGCACAGGTCCTAATCCAGGCACTTGTCATCTCCCGTCTGGATTACTGCAACTCGCTGTTGGCTGGGCTCCCTGCCTGTGCCATTAAACCCCTACAACTCATCCAGAATGCCGCAGCCCGTCTGGTGTTCAACCTTCCCAAGTTCTCTCACGTCACCCCGCTCCTCCGCACACTACACTGGCTTCCAGTTGAAGCTCGCATCTGCTACAAGACCATGGTGCTTGCCTACGGAGCTGTGAGGGGAACGGCACCTCCGTACCTTCAGGCTCTGACCAGTCCCTACACCCAAACGAGGGCATTGCGTTCATCCACCTCTGGCCTGCTGGCTCCCCTACCTCTGCTGAAGCACAGTTCCCGCTCAGCCCAGCGGGAACTGTAAAGTGGTTGTCCCACTGGCTATAAGGTGAATGCACCAATTTGTAAATCGCTCTGGATAAGAGCGTCTGCTAAATGACGTAAATGTAAATGTAATGTAAATGTAGTTGACTTGGACTGAAATAGGTTTCCGGTACTCATTTTGGGTGCCGGTACTGTTTATACAGTATTTATAATAATATGCCATTTAGCAGACGCTTTTATCCAAAGCGACTTACAGTCATGCGTGCATAAATTTTTGTGTATGGGTGGTCCCGGGGATCGAACCCACTACCTTGGCGTTACAAGCGCCGTGCTCTACCAGCTGAGCTACAGAGGACCACTATTTAGGTGCAGTAGCTCCACAATACTTTGGAGCTAATATTCAAGCTCCGCTGAGCTCCTGCCCAAGTCAAGCACGGGTACTAATAAAGTAGACATAATATCAATCTAGTCTCTCCTTTAAAATCTATTCACTAAGTTGAGAATAAAATAACCTATCTATCACAACGCATTCAACAGAGAAGGCTTCATTCCAAATGTGTTGTGCCTTCTGTACTTAGGCCTACCTTCTGGCCTCTCGTCGAAGTCTTCATCCTCCTCCTCGGAGCCCACAGAGTACTCGGACTGGTTATCTGAAATACCAGCATGCCACTCTGAAACAGCACATGGTGTACCGTCAATAGGCTAGGCCCAGTATCCCCATGCAGCTACTACTAGCAAAACTTTAGCAAAACTTTAGCATTACTTTAGCATTCTTTTAGCATTACTTTAGCATTACTTTAGCATTACCTAACGTATTGCACAGAGACCATGTATGAAATGATCTAAATCTATCAAAGAGCACAAGTTTTTTTTATCAACCATGAATGAACCAATATATAGACAAGACACAAAGTAGGAGAAGTCTAACACGTATTTTATCAACAAAAAAGTTTATTCAGAATGCCCCCAGGTTGCCATAGTGATGCATGCTAGTAACAACTAACAACGCCTACATCCATCTCTGTGACAACCACGACTGATGGTTACCAACTACCTACCTTGGTCCTCCTGTGCTGCGTCGTTGTAGTTGACAGGCTTGCGGTTCCTCTTGCCCTTGCCCAGTTTACTGGCCAGGTCCTCCTGCTGCTGCTCATAGTGGTGTCTCAGCAGCTTCTCCCAGTATTCTGGGTCCACACACTCCTCCTGCTTAATGATCTCACGCTCCACCTCCTCAATCTGGATACACACATGCAAGAACATGGAAGAACAGTTTACATACAACCAATGTGGTATAATCTACTTATAAACTCTTCTATAGTTCAATGGAAAGTGTTAACAGTTTAGATCAACATTAAAGGAACACAAATACACCAACGTGCTATATAATATTTTTGTATAGATGCAAGCATACAAAAAGTTACAATCTGAAACAGTAATGTTATCACTTCTCTCTCTCTCTAACCCGCTCTCTCCATCCCTCCCACCCTCTCTCACCTTATCCTCCTCTCTGACCATGTAGCGGGCCACTTTGAAGGAGCTCAGGTATTCGTTCATGTTCTGCATGTCTGTGTCGTCCGTAGCGTCCTGGCTCCGGTCCAGCAGCCTCTCGATGGCCGAGCTGTCGTAGTGGATCACACTGCCCTCATCGTCCCTGTTGTCCCCCGCTGGACACCGTAGGGGAGAGAGGGTGGACATACGTGGTGGTGAGAGGACTTTGGGGGAATAGGAAACGGTGGTGAAACAAAGATGAGGATGTGACAAAAATCATTCTATATACAGATGTATGTAACAACCCCAAAAAAAGCTAGTTTAGTCCCTAACGAACCGCTCATATTACAGAGTTTTTCCAAATCTCTGACATATACCCAAAATAAAAGCAACGAGGTCTCCACCTCCTATCCTCACATATTTCCATCTGAAATCCCTCCATCCTCCTCCTGCTCTCCTCCTATACTCCTCCCATCCCTCACAATCAGTCATCAATCAAATCTACTTCACATCAACAGGTACCACAAAATGCTTGACAATAACTCACATTCGATCTCGTCCTTGAACAGCTCCTCAGTGCCGAACTTGAGGATGTCGTCCAGTTCCTGTTTGGACATGGATCCCGCCTTGGAGCCCAGGCCGGGCCGTACCACCAGGTGGGTCAACATCATCTTCCTTTTGGCCACCTGGGTGATGCGCTCCTCCACACTGGCACGGGTCACGAAGCGATATATCATCACCTTGTTGGCCTGCCCGATGCGGTGGGCGCGACTGAACGCCTGTGGGGGAGGGAGGGTAGAGGGGGAGGGAAGAGGGAGACAGCAGGTTGGGACAAGGGAGAATGAAAGAAGGAGAGGAGGAGTGAGACAGAGAGGGGTAGAGAAGAGAAAAAAAGAAATGATGAAATAAGGGGTAAAAAACCATACAAGCTTTTAGAAATATTTTTATTATTTCTTATTGTTGTCACATTGTCGAGAGGGAACCTGCAAGTAAGCATTTCATTGTACATGTGTATCCTGTGCATACGACAAATAAACATGACTTGATTTGATACAAGAATGCTGTCAAGACTTATTTCTATTGATGGACATTATTTCAACATTTCATGTAGATTCATGGCAGATCTGAGTACATTGTGGGCTATAGAATGGCAGACATTCTACCTGGATGTCATTGTGGGGGTTCCAGTCTGAGTCGAAGATGATGACGGTGTCAGCTGTAGCCAGGTTAATACCCAGACCCCCTGCCCTGGTGGACAGCAGGAAACAGAACTGAGGAGCACCAGGAGCTGAGAGAGACAGAGGGAGGGGGGGGGGGGGGGGGGGGGTTGTATTACACTCACCCAAATCTCACAAGAAACTGAAAAGGCCCCTTTCATCTACAAGCTCGGCTTTTGTTTCTAGAGCCCTTAGACTATGAGTGTCTGCCTCACCATTGAACCTGTCTATGGCCTCCTGTCTGAGCGCTCCTGTGATTCCTCCATCGATCCTCTCGTACTTATAACCCTCAAAGTCCAGGAAGTCCTCCAACAGGTCCAACATCTTAGTCATCTACCAGAGAGAGAGGAGAAAGGGGGAGGAGAGAGAGAGAGAGAACAGAGAAATGGTTACGGAAGTGCTAACAGTGCATGCGTGTGTGTGTGTGTGTGTGTGTGTGTGTGTGTGTGTGTGTGTGTGTGTGTGTGTGTACCAACCTGTGAGAAGACCAGCACGCGGTGTCCTTGGTCCTTCAGTTTCCTCATCATCTTCTGCAGAAGAGTCAGTTTCCCAGAAGCCTTTGTGAGGTCCGTGCCCTCGTACGCTCCGCTTGCAGTCTTACGGGCTTCCTAATACCACGGTAAAGAGAACACACCATGACCATATATATTGCTAGACTTTTCCCCCTGGACTGTAATAAACTGTAATAGGCTGGATACATTTGTATCTATAATACTCAAACCTACCAGAAGGTGTCACTGTACTGCATTTCAGAGGTGAATTACTGTCTTACAGTGGAAAATGTTGATATTCCTGTAACATAAGTTAATATATAATTATGATGATAGTTACCATGGAGGCGACAGGGAAGAGGTAGGGGTGGTTGGCACACTTCTTCAGGTCCATCATGATGTTGAGTAGAGACACCTGGTTACCTCCTCTAGAGTTCAGAGCCTCAAAGTTCTTTGTCAAAATCAACTTGTAGTATTTCCTGTTATAATACATCAATCGAGAATGACACAGTTAGTGTGTGATTGTTTTTATGATTAACTGGTCAAATACTCCCCCTCTCGCTCTCTTTTTCCATCTCTCCATCTCTCCATCCCTTACTTCTGCATGGGGCTGAGTTCCACTCGTACGATGAGCTCTGTCTTGGCCGGCATGTTCTTGAAGACGTCAGCCTTCAGCCTCCTCAACATGTGGGGGCCCCAGCAGGTCATGGAGTTTCTGGATCTGGTCCTCCTTGGAGATGTCTGCAAACTCCTCCAGGAACCCCTCCAGGTTACTACAGAGAGAGGATGGGAGGGGGCAGGGGGAAAGAAAGGACGTCAGGTGAGTGGGGGACATTTTGGTTGAAAACATGTAGGTAGAAGTAGAGATGTGGGACTGTTTATGTTTGTTTGCGTGTTTATATGAGTGTGTGCATCTATACATACAGCACGTCCAAGTGTGTATCAGTCTATAAGTACATGTTATGTGTGTGTGATTCTATGGGTGAAGATGTGTGTGTGAGGCTGGCCCTACTTGAAGCGGTTGGGAGTGAGGAAGTTGAGCAGGTGGAACAGCTCCTCCAGGTTGTTCTGTAGAGGAGTACCAGTCAGCAGCAGCTTGTGGTCAATCTTATAGTCATTCAGACGTCTGAAGAACTGACCAGGGAGAGGAGAGAAAGCGCAGGCAATAATACATTGATTGATTGATTAATGACATGATTGATTGATTTATGACTTTTCTTGTCTTTCAAGAGGAAATTCACACACACACACACACACACACACACACACACACACACACACACAAACAGTGGCAGCCAACCTTGCTCTGATTGTTCTTGAGGCGGTGAGCCTCGTCCACCACTAGACAGGCCCAGTCTATAGACTTCAGGGAGGTCTGGTCTATCGTCACCAGCTCATAGGAGGTCAACAGGACATGGAACTTTATAGGGGCTTCTCTCTGGAGAAGAGAGAAAGAGAGGGAGGGAGGGAGATCGAGAGGTGTATGGGGGAGAAGAATTGAGATTGTATTGGGAGAGACAGGGAAGGAGGATGGGGGGAAGGAGATGCAGAGATTAGTTGAGGTCGTCATCAAAGGACACATAGGTCAGACCTTTCTCTCATCTCTTTCTATTAGCCTTGTCCTTCCTCCCCTCCCTCCGTCCCCTCCTTCCTCACCCTCAGTTTGAAGGCTTTCTTCCCTCCTCTAGCTACTGTGTCGTCGAAGGTCAGCTCGTTCTCTCTGATGATGGCTCTGCTGTCCTTGTCCCCTGTGTAGGTCACCACGTAGAAGTCTGGGGCCCACATCTCAAACTCTCTCTCCCAGTTAATGATGGTGGAGAGGGGGGCGCTCACCAGGAACGGGCCCCGGGTATGGCCCTTGGTAGGGGGGAAGGAAAGAACCATATTTACAACAGTAACTGTGATGCAGAAAGACCCATTGATAATACATAGAATAGAACAGAATGCGTTATTACCCCTCATGAAGGAATTTGCCTTGCACATTAGAATTTACATTTTAGTCATTTAGCAGACACTCTTATCCAGAGAGACTTACAGTAGTGAGTGCATACATTTTCATACCTTTTTCGTACTGGTCCCCCATGGGAATCGAACCCACAACCCTGGCGTTGCAAGCGCCATGCCCTACCAACTGAGCCACATGAGACTAGAAGCCCTGGCAAGAACTAGAAGGGACTAGAAGCACAGGCAATACAAAATACAGGTGTACATAGTACACAGAGTTCCCAACGGTGCCGTCCTACCTCTTTGAAGAGTGAGTAGAGGAAGACGATGGTCTGGATGGTCTTGCCCAGCCCCATCTCGTCTGCCAGGATGGTGTCAGTGCCCTGTGCCCAGCTGAAACGCAGCCAGTTGAGCCCCTCCAGCTGGTACAGGTGCAGAGTGCCCCCCGTCGCCGTCACAAAGTCCGGCTGCTCCTCGTACTTTATCGTAGGCTGGAAGGTAAACACAAGGAAAGTGGAGGAGGGATGGTGATGTAAGGGGAAAAAAAGGAGATCATATAATTGACATACAAGTAAAGAAGGATACTGGAGTTTTGACTTGGAAGTCTTAGTTGATTGGCTACCGGAATGACGACCAATAGATGTGGCTGTTACAGAGTGAATGAGCCAATCAGAACTCACGTCGTTGACAGGTGATCTGTGGGGGTCTTCGCTCTCCTCCATCCTCATGCTCCTCATCCTCCTCGGCATGTCTGGGGCCTCCTTCATCACCTCATCCCTGAATCAATCAATCAACCTATCAATCAACCTATCAAAAATCCAGTGTTCTAGAACCATATACAATAGCCTACAGAGTTGGGCAAACTTGGTTTGAGATTAACTTCCACGGTTGCCATATTGACTCTATAAATACAAAGAGAGTTTGAATGTTTTAGTGTTTGGTGCCAACATGGATGCCAGTTGGCCAGTACAGTAGTCCAGTACCTGTGTGCCCAGTAGTTGGCCCTGTGGATGACAAACTCTGGCATCTCCAGATTGTCTCTCTCCCATGTGCACTGGTCGTAGGTCAGGTCTCTCCACTTGACCAGGTAGTGGTATATCCCCTTCTTGTCCACACTGGGAAAAACACACACATTACGGCCTGAACTGCAGACATACCAATCAATAACCCCCCCCACACACACACACACATACCTGTGGTTGATGATGCGGTGGACCATCATCCATTCAGGCTTGATGCCGTATTTATAGAACTTGTCATCCAGGGCAGCATAGTCTGGATCTTTAAGTCTTCTCTTCTCACTCTTAACACTCTCCTCCTCTCCCCCTGACCCATAGTCCAGACTGGGAGGCTCATCCATATCTGTCTTCCTCTGGTAGTTACGGAACATCACCGAGTGGAAGATCTCCAGCTAGACGGATTGAGGGATGAAAAAGTCGAGAGGAATAGAGAGAATTTGTTCAATGAAAACAAGGAAGGCAAGACAGTAAGGTGGTAGACACACTTGCATGCCAAGCGTCTCCGTTTTTCATATTGTTTCATCAGCCTCTTCTCCAACTGTTTCACTCTCTTTCTCAGCCTCTCCCTCCCTCCCTCTCTCACCTGTAGTTCAGTGATCCAGGTGCAGTGCCAGTAGGACTGTCCGGTCAGCTTGACAAAGAACTCCCTCTCAGCTCTGCCCTTCATGGGGGGCGGCGGGGGAGCATCAGGAGGGGTATCGGGGGCGGGGGGCACGGGTACAGGATCGGGGGGCTCGCCCCATCGCCAGTGGAGGATCCTCTGTACCCTGCCCTTGATGGCAGGACACTGGGGGAAGAAGGCAAAAATGAAGGATAGAATAGAATCAAAGCGTTCCACAAAAAGTGGAAACAAACAAACATGACTTACAGTGCAGCGCGGACACAGCCACTCTCCGTTGGGGATCTCAGGCAGGGGCGGGTTGAGGCAGTGGATGTGGTAGGAGGAGGGACAGGTGTCGCAGCATAATAGCTCCCCCCCATCCTTACAGACCCTGCAGAACTCCATGTGCTCATCCTCCTCTTCCTCTAGTCCTACCAGCAAGCCAACCCCAGGTACTTCTGGTACCACAATGTCCTCACTCTCCTCCTCAAACTCCTCAAAGTCCTCATCCTTCGCTTCCCACTGGATCCCCTCTTTCTCCTGCAGGAGAGGAGAAGAGGAGAGGAGAACGAGACCATGGAGAATTAATAGGTGGAGGAGCACTTAAAGGAATAGTGTGTATATGGTGCGAAATGGTAATACATTATTCCATACAATAATATAAATCAATCGTAGACATGAAGACTACCACCCATTTTGAGCAATACAGTAACTCACACAATGGGGGCAGCTCCACTTGCCCTTGGGGGCCTTCTCCAGCTCAGGCTCCAGACAGACCAGGTGGTAGGCCCTGGGACAGGTGTCACACAGAATGATCTCCCCTCCCTGCTGGCACACCTCACAGTAGTCCTGGTGGTCTGTCTCATAACCATCCCCCTCCACATCACCCTCACCCAGCACTGATAGAGAGAGGGGTGGGGGAGAGGGAGATGAATAATGTGAGGGGAGAGAGAGGGAGAGATGTGGTGGAGAAATAGAGAACATAGAGAGAATATACACATTTAGGGAGAGAAAGATAAGAGGGAGAGAGACGCAAGGTACACTCTTAGAAAAAAGGGTTCCAAAAGTGTTCTTCGGCTGTCCCCATACATAGGAGAACCCTTTTTAGTTCCAGGTCGAACTCTTTTGGGTTCCATGAAGAACCCTCTGTGTAAAGAGCTCTACTTGGAACTCAAAAGGGTTCTACCTGGAACCATAAAGGGTTCTTCAAAGGGTTCTCCTATAGGGACAGACGAAGAACCCTTTAAGGTTCTAGATAGCACCTTTTTTTCTAAGAGTGTAGTGAGGGAACGAGATGTGGCAGAGAGAGAGAGAGACCCGGGAGAGAGAGGACGAGAGAAAGAGAGAGAGAGAGCTAGAGAAGAGTGAGAAAGAGAAAGAGGGAGAGATTGAGAGACACCAGATTAGAATAGAGAGTTTACTTTTCTTCTTCTTCTTGGCGGGCCGTCCTCTCTTGTTCTTCTTGACGCGGGGCGAGCTGTCGGAGCGGACCGAGGAGCTGTGGACACTGGAGTCCTCCTGCTCCGAATCCTCCTCCTCATCAACATCATCACCACTCTGAGCGGAAGTGAGGGAGGGAGGGAGGGAGAGAGAGAGCGAGAGAGAGAAACACAGTCAGATCTCTCGACGCTCACATACCTGCATGCTCCCACAGACAGTAGCCTACACAGCACATCTATAAACCCATATAGAGTACATAGCATAGTTAAACTCACAGAGCTGCTCTTCTTCCTCTTGTTGCCTAGCACCCCCAGTTTGATGCGTATGGGAGCCATCTTCTTGGCCTTTGCTGCTGCTGCCGCGGCCACCGCCTTCTTCCTTTCAGCCAGAACACGAGGACTCTTACTGCGACTCTTCTTATATCCAGGGCCTGACAAACAGGGAGAGGATGGGGGTAAATGGTTCCAATTCAAACCCTGCTACTGTACACATACTATTACAACAGACGCCTCCACCCTCCTCATCTTCTGACCTTTAATATTTCAGATAGATTGTAACTTCCATCAATGTAATTGTCTGCATCACTTCCAATCCCCCAAATGTTTTTTTTCTCGCAAATATATATATATACATACATATATACATATATATACACACATACACATACACATATACACATACATACACACACACACACACACACATATATATACATACATACATATATACATACATCCATACACACACACATATCCTTTTTTAAATTATATTTCCCTTCATTACTTTCCAACCCCACCACCCCTTCCCCAATTGGAGTAAACTAGTGAACAACAACGCTCAGGCCTCTACTTCCAGCCCATACATACTATATACATTTTATGGACACAGTCAAATTCTACAATAATTCTATTTTGTTTGTTTTTACTCCTGAACCTCCGATCATTTTCATGATGTCCATCTGGTTTGCTTCTATATGCCATATTTTTCTAACTGTGCTCTTTCACAAAAGCTCTCAACCTATAACCTATATACTTATTATGGACACAGTATGCTTTACATTAGTTATCTTGTTGTTATTAGTTGTTGTTATTAGTCCCATCCTTCAGCTCCATTCAACACCTCCCATCTATCTCTTAACACCATCCATATTGGATTTCTATTTGCCATATATTTTTCAACTGTACTGTGATGTTTTACAAAAGTTCTGAACCTTTCTATTTTCATTGTTTCTACAGATCGTAAATTAAAAATAAACATTTTTGCTAAAAGTATTATTATATTATTGATCGATTGACTATGACTTTTCAGATCACCCAGTAGTGCTATCTGCAGGGTTAGCTCCAGGTAAATATTGCAATCCTTTAGCCATTCCTGGACCTGTGTCCAAAAACAAGCTACAAATGGACAGTACCAAAACAAATGATCTAATGATTCTGTCTCTTCGCAGCAAAATCTTCTGACCTTTGCCTTCTTTGGTCTTGGCCTTGCGGAGAGGGAGCGGCGGGGTGGCGGCTGGGGGGCCGGCCGGGGGGGTTGGGGCTGCTTCCTGGGCGGAGGGGGCTCCGGGGATGGGGTTGCCGCGGAGACCTGCTCGGCGACGGCAATGGCGGCGGCTGCGGCTGCAGCTGCCACGGCTGCAGCACCAGAGCCCTTGAAGGGATTGTTGGAGCTGAACTCCCTCCACTTGACCCCCAGGATAGTCATCATCTTAGACATGGGGATCTTAGGGTTCTTCTTGGCGATCATGGGCCTGCGAGGGGGAGGAGGAAGATGAGGAAGAGGAGGAGGAGGGGGAGAGGGAGAGGGGGAAGCTAAATGAGTATGTTATGAATCTAATCTCAATCAATAACTCAGTAAATTGTCCCCTTTGACTGAGAACAAGACGCAATAAGCTACATGTTTCTAGGCTAAACATTCTGCCACCGGCCCTGTCTGATTTCAAGTTAAATAGAGTCATCTGCGTCACATCATCACAGTACCTCATGGACTGGCTGAAGGCTTTGTAGTTGGTGAGTGTGCGGTAGTCGTCTTCAGTGAAGGTATGATCCACATCCTCCAGACCCCAGTCTTTAGCCAGCTGGGCCGACGTCTTCTGTTCTATTGGCTGGTGGAAAGAAACAACCAATCAGAGAGCTAGACTAGAGCCATCAGAGTGAGGCCAAGTAGAAGCAAAACAATGACAACACTTTTTTGTTGTGTCCTTACCTTTGTTGTCTCCTCTTGCGTGCTGTCCCCGTTGTCTTTTTTCATCTTTTGGTTTTTTTTCTCCTTCTTCTCCTTGTGTTTCTTCTTCTTCTTTTTCTCACCAACGAAGTCGCTGGCTGCACTGTCGGAGTTCTCGCCATAGTCTCTCTCTCTCTCCGAGTCTCTCTCTACATCACTGTCCTGAGAGGGGAGAGGAGAAGAGAAGGGGAGAGAGGGAAAGTGAGAGAAAATAAAAGAGAGGTCGAGGGAGAGGATGCAAAATCAATACGTAATGCCACAGCTATTTAGACAAATGACTTCAATCAAGCAATGAAAATAGAATGAAGTGTCATCAGAATGTATGGCAATAGATGGCGTGATATTGTAATGTCTGAGAAGCTTACAATCTTTGTCCGTTTTTTAGCTTTGGAGAGTTTTCCTTCTTTCTCTTTCTCCTTCTCCCTCTTCTTTGTCTCCTTCTTCTTCTTTGGCCCTCGTTTCTTCCTCGCTAGACTGTCCCTGTCCGATGCCTCCCCTTCTTCCTCTATGGCGGGGTTGAAGACAGGAGATGGGGATGAATGGAAAGAGAGCGAGTTGTGACTAAATCATATTGACTATAATCCTCTTTGAAGGCTTTGAATCATCTATCTAATCTCTCCTGAACACAATTAAGCACAACAAAAGCATCTCACCAGCCCGCTGTGATGTGTGCATTGACACCATGTGTGTCATATGGGAGGGACTATAGTGTCTTAACATGTCTTTCTACCTTGACTGAATTCTGACAAACACTCAATTAGTCCCAGTCAGTGTGTTTGACAGCTGCTTGGTATCAGTTCAATGAAAAGCAAAGCCATAACTGGCATTATTATTATTACTATTACATTATATGTCAATGAGTGTTGTATAAAACACAATAATAGTATTCATGGTGGTATTTGAAAACTGAGGCTGAGTCATTAAAGTAAGGCATATAAAAAATGTACATCCATTGCAATATATTTGTCCTGCGATCAAAAATTGGGGAAATAGAAACCAATCAAACATGGCATAGCTTTATTTAGAAGACAACATCACTGAACGTTTCGAGGATCAGTTAGCCAGTATTCAAGGGCTTCCCAAATGAGTCTTTCAACACTTTATTCAAGTTTTTCACTGGGCAAAGAGAGAGACAGCAGCCTCTTTCAGCGTGAGAGAGAGATAAGCCTATGTATTGTCAGGAAGGTGGAGAAAAGGGGGAAAAACATCACCAAGAACTATCGCTTGCGGCCACCATGCACTTGGTATAAATTAGTTCGTTTTTATTGTCTGTCTTTGTTGGGCACCTAGAGTAGGGTTACAACACGCAGCGCGCGCACAAACAACGTCTCCGCATATGTCTGCTGCAGAGTGCAGCCAGAGGCGGCAGCAGCACGCACGCGGAGCTCGGTGATTCTGAGGCCGCAAGCCAGTCTGTCTATATCTGATGAACTGAAACAGAGACGAAGAGGCGAAGCGAGAGGGATAACTGGGCCCAAAATCTGGCTTCTCCAGCAGGTGGCGGTTTTTCGTTTTTTTTCGCTGTCCAAGCAAGAGGTTTTTGTATGGAGATCAATGAGTGTCGAATTTGGTTAATCTTCTTTTATATAAAGGCTTATTTGTTACGTGTGGCTTATTTGATCGAATATACGTTTCGTAATGCTTAGGTTGCTACTAGTGTACTGATATAAGTAGGACACGTGACATCCCGGCAACTTTGAGAAAAAAAACACTTTATATCGGAGTTGTGCCGCTTGTTCACACGCGTATCTGCCCTCTCATTGGATAAAATGGTCCCATCTGATCTTGGCTCCTCCCGACTGCCTTCCATTTTTTTGACATGTATTTTTATTGTTAGAGCGGCGACTTGAGTATCTAGTTAATATAATGGATAATCTGTGACTGAAACGACTCCCTACCCTAGGCTACTTCCCGTTAATTCCCAAACCTGGGTCCAGACCACAAGAGCAACAACCGCTGGCGGAGGTCGCTGGGGGGTTAAGGGCCACGGCGGGAAGCGTACTAATTGATTCGCGCGCTTGTCTGTCTCGAGACAAGCAACACAGGCTACAAATTCAGTGATGCTAAAAGGGCCCTTGTTGAATATCCCAAAATCATGATATGCAATAGCCTATCGAATGCCACTATTGAATAGGCTACATGCAAATGCATTTAATTTAATTAGGCTAATTCGAATTAACTGTAAAATAATGCAAACATGTTATTTGGTGTGCAGGAACCAGGTAGGCCTGATCATAGTCCCTTAAAAATATAATTATTTGGAGAGAAAAAAGCTGTCTGTTGATAGTGTTTTGCACATTACATTGTTGTGGGCAAGTCCTTTCTTTTATGTGGCTTTACCATATATTTATTATGTTTATTACAGGCCTACTTGTTAAATATTTGTTCGTCTGCTATGACAACGAAAAGAGAGGGAAAACAAAGGCCCTCTAGGCGACACATAACGGTTCTATTCAGAACTTGAGTAGAGTGTCAGTGTCCTATCATTAACCGTCCCTGTCAGTGTGGAGACAGTCAGTGGGTAGGGTCAAGTTTATTTACACGCTGTCATACCAGCACTCACTCCATCATCCGGTTTTAATGCTTACGCCTCCGCAACACATCACATCACTATTCTAAAGATCACTATCAGAAAGCGTATTGCTGGGGAGTCCATGTTTTCTAACAGTGATGTCGTGAGCTTTACCCTTCACGTCGACCTATTCATATTGAGATATTATTTATATTTATGAATGTGGCACCATTCTACGGATGAAAAGAAAGTCGAGGAGGATGAACTTTGTTAATTGTAGGCAATATATATGGGATAAAACGAAAAGGGCGGTCTCAAATTGGTTTCGAAGTTGGAATCCTCAACTCTTTCTATTTCAAAGCTGCGCTCTCCTCTGGAGCAACGGGCGCGCAACTAATGATATTGTAGCAACAGATAACTATTGAGATGAGCGGCACAATGTGTCCTGGCTTACTTTTTTCACAATTTGGAGTATGTGTTTCTATTTTGTGTGCGCGCTCCCGAGTCTTTCGCCAGTGTCTGTCTCCTGTAGCCTACTATAGCCTACCTGGCGCGGCTAGTGTTGCAGTTTCTCGAGGCGCCGCCGGCGAGTTTATGTCGCTTGCGTTCTCGTCTAGATCTCCGTCGTCCTCTTCTTCATCAAAATCTCCTCCCTTGGAATTAACCAACATGCCCTTGTCTTCCTCACAGGACCGGAGAGGAGAGGACATTATATTCCTGTCATCGGCTCCGTCCTCGAAATCAGAAATCCTCCGGAATTATGATATTTATTTCATATTCAAATCGACACCAGAAAAAAGTGGGGGGCGTTTTGGAATATTTTACACTACAACGCAAGGAAACAAAGATGGCCGCCCTTATATTTATTTTTTAACAACCCCCCCCAATAAGAAAAATCCCCTTACATAAAAAATGGCTGACTATATTATTGCAGAACGCCCCCCCCCCACCCCTCCTCCTCTCTCTCTCTCTCTCTCTCTCTCTCTCTCTCTCTCTCTCTCTCCCCCACCCCTCCTCCCTTCTCTCTCTCTCTGCCTGTCTCTCCCTTTCTCAGCGCACCCCTCCCTCCTCAAATAACATTCACATTGTTACAAGAAAGGGTGAATGACTGCTTGTATAAATTGTTACTTGTTTGTGTCGTCGTCGTCGTTGTCCCCCCCCCCCCCCCCCAAGATCAGACACGAAGGCAGACTTGCCTGGTAACTGTGCCTCAAGATCAATCACACGAAACAACGCTCCCTTTCTACACTGCAGAACACTACACAAATCTATCAAATATTCTTAAAGGCCCCCACCGTAGTATAAAATTATACGTGTGTGTGAGAGAGAGAGCGAGTCGGGGAGGGAGCTTGAAAGCGTGTGTGTGTGTGTGTGTGTGGGAGAGGGGGGTTGGAAAAATCTGCCGCAGCCATGCCCAGACTTTACATCAGATTGGATTGCTTAAAAATTAACCACTTGTGGTAGGGATAAAAACAATGCAATATGCAGACCATCATTTTTTCAACTGGAATTTATTTCGGATTAAAATATAAATCGAATAAATTATTTTCAAGACGGTGAACACAGAGAAATGAAAGATGACACATTTTATACGCATCTTACACTGTTTCACTACAGTCACCCTGATCTGAGTGACAGTAAGGCAATGGGAACCTCTAGTAGTCAGACTGCCTGGTCTCCCCTTCAGGCAGCTCAGTTTTGACAAAGGGGTCTACGATCAGACATACAGTCCCTTCTGAAAGTATTCACACCCCTTGACTTATTCCACATTTTGTTGTGTTACATTCTGAATTTAAAATTGATTAAATTTAGATTTTGTGTCACTGGCCTACACAATACCCCATAATGTCAAATGTTTTTAGACATTTTACAAATTAATTAAAAATGAAAAGCTGAAATGTCTTGAGTCAATAAGTATTCAACCCTTTTGTTATGGCAAGCCTAAATAAGTGAATGAGTCAAAATTTGCTTAACAAGTCACATAATAAGATGGACTCACTCTGTGTACAATAATAGTGTTTAACATGATTTTTGAATGACTACCTCATCTCTGTAATCCACACATACAATTATCTGTAAAGACCCTCAGTCGAGCAGTGAATTTCAAACACAGATATTCAACCACAAAGACCAGGGAGGTTTTCCAATGCCTCGCAAAGAAGAGCACCTATTGGTAGATTAGTACAAATAAAAAAGCAGACATTGAATATCCCTTTGAGCATGATAAAGTTATTAATTACACTTTAGATCAGGGCTCTCCAACCTTGTTCCTTGAGAGCTACCGTCCTGTAGGTTTTCACTCCAACACTAATCTAGCACACCTGATTCTAATAATTAGCTGGTTGATAAACTGAACCAGGTTAGTTACAACTGGGGTGGGAGTGAAAACCTACAGGAGGGTAGCTCTCCAGAAACAGGGTTAGAGACACCTGCTTTAGATGGTGTATCAATACACCTAGTCACTACAAAGATACAGGCGTCCTTCCTAACTCAGTTGCCGGAGAGTAAGGAAACCGCTCAGGAATTTCACCATGAGGCCAATGGTGACTTTAAAACAGTTACAGAGTTTAATGGCTGTGATAGGAGAAAACTGAGGATGGATCAACAACGTTGTAGTTACTACACAATGCTAATCTAATTGACAGAGTGAAAAGAAGGAAGCCTGTACAGAATAAAAAATATGACACAACATGCATCCTGTTTGCAACAAGGCACTAAAGTAATACTGCAAAATATGTAGCAAAACAATTAACTTTTTTCCTGAATACAACGTGTTATGGTTGGGGCAAATCCAATACAACACATTACTGAGTACCACTCTCCATATTTTCAAGCATAGTGGGTGTGCTTGTAATGGGTATGCTTGTAATTGTTAAGGACTACGGAGTTTTTCAGGATAAAAAAAAAAACTAAATGGAGCTAAGCACAGGCAAAATCCTTGAGGAAAACCTGGTTCAGTATGCTTTCCAACAGACAAGGGGAGACAAATTCACCTTTCAGCAGGACAATAACCTAAAACACAAGGCCAAATATCCACTGGCGTTGCTTACCAAAATGAAATGGAATGTTCCTGAGTGACCTAGTTACAGTTTTGAATGAAATCTTCTTGAAAATCAATGGCAAGACTTGAAAATGGCTTTCTAGCAATGATCAACAACCAACTTGACAGAACTTCAAGAATTTTTAAAAGAATAATGTGCAAATAATGTACGATCCAGGTGTGCAAAGCTCTTAGAGATTTACCCAGAAAGAATCACAGCCGTCATCGCTGCCAAAAGGTGATTCTAACATGTATTGACTCAGGGGTGTGAATACTTATGTAAATTAGATATTTCTGTATTTAATTTTCAAATCTTTACAAATTTCTAAAAACATGTTTTTACTTTGTCATTTTGGGCAATTTTATGTTGATGGGTGAGAAAACAAATCAATTTAATATATTTTTAATTCAGGCTGTAAGACTACAAAATGTGGAGTCAAGGGGTATGAATACTTTCTGAAGGCACTGCATGCACATTTTCCAGTAAAAAATGTGTGTGTGAATAATTGTGAATAATGATAAATAGACTAGATATTGATAACAATGACACGTCACTGATTAATAGAAATATGGGTAACATGGCTTTTCACGACTGACTGAAACTGTTACAGTAGATTTGGTTTCCTGCACATTCTGTAGTACAGGAAATTAAAACTCAGCAGAGCCACAAAGGAGCTGTTGAGAGGAAGTAGCCTAATATTAAATATCACATCAATGATTACCATGGTTACCATGCAGTTTTACATACAGTTTTGGCAGACTATTGTTAATTTATTAATGTATGTAGGCCTATTGTAGATGCAATAAGCTTTGAAGGAATGACAAAAGGAAGACACTGGGATAGAATGGCAAGGAAGGATGTTGATTGTGAGGTTTCGAGTTCTAGTCCTTTATGGGCTTAAATTCGCTGTAATAAAATTGTAATAACAATATCATAATACAAATAAATAAAGGACATGTATTTTGTAAGTCAACCTTTTAATAGATTGCTCATATTGCTCATCACCATTTTCTGACATCCTTACATATGGGGTCAAAGTTCAGTGAGGTCGTCGTTGAGTAGAGACAGATGGACTGGGAGAAGAGGTTTCCGTCCATGTGTCTGCTGTAGAAGTCCTCATCCTTGTCGGGGAAACTGTTGAGCATGAAAAACCCAGCAGCGTAGCAGTTCTTGACACAAACCGGTGCGCCTGGCACCTACTACCATACTCCATTCAAAGGCACTTAAATATTTTGTCTTGCCCATTCACCCTCTGAATGGCACACATACACAATCCATGTCTCAATTGTCTCAAGGCTTAAAAATCCTTCTTTAGCCTGTCTCCTCCCCTTCATCTACACTGAATGAAGTGGATTTAACAAGTGACATCAATAAAAGATACAGCATTCAGCTGCATTCACCTGGTCAGTCTATGTCATGGAAAGAACAGGTGTTATTAATGTTTTGTATACTCAGTGTATAGCTTATATTTATGATACAGTATACAAATCGCCATTGTGATCAGCCATTGTCCTCTAATGATAAGAGGATTTGAGTATTTCTAATTCAAAAAACAGTAGTTTCCATTGGTTTCTCTATGAAAATCATTCTGTTGACTATGGGCAAGTTTTGCAAAAGGCAGATAAACCACTCTAGCTTGGCTTCCAGGATTTAAAAAAAGAAGAAAGGAATTTGTTTATGCAGGGTCCAATGGGCACATTTGCCAAGAACCACTAGAGAGAAAGTGAGGGGGGAATGAGGGAGGAGGTAGGAGGCAGGGTAAGAGAGAAGGAGGAGAGACTGTTTGAGGGAGAGAAAGAGAGGGTGAGTATGTGTGTGCAGGGAGATAGAGTGTGGGAGAGAAAGAGAAAGAATGTGTGTGTTTTGTGTGTTTGTGTGAGAGAGAGAGAGAGAGCATGTGTCTGACTGTTAGTGGAGAGTGGAGCACCCACACTAAGCCTCTAGCCCAGTAGAAGACTAGTAGTGTCAGCTGGGGCGGGTTGGCGGGAAAACCTGCTCTCCCACCGCGCTGGAGAGGGGAGGCGTGCTCTACTGGGGGTGTGAGTGTGTTGTGTGTGTGTGTGTGTGTGGATGGGCTGCAGGGGGAATGAGTGAACCCAGCCAGGACTCACTCATACGCCCCAAGGGTTTGACAGTGACACAGTGCACTACTCACTCCACCTCGCCGTGTCCCTTTGGAAGCGAGTCATGTACAGGCCAGGGCTCCCTAAAGTGCCGTGTGGTAACCCATATTTTATGCAGCCAGTCGCACACAGAGGAAGGGACAAACAGCACCCGTGCTCCACTCAGTGATATTATGCTGTGTAGGTGAAACCGTGCCAGATGAATGACTCACTCCCAAAAGACTGCTACTGTGATATGCTGAGGGGTAGAGGGGAGCGAGGGGGGTAGGAGGATAAAGCGTGAACAGCTAGAATAGAATGCATGATGTTTATTTTTATTTTTTTATTTAACCTTTATTTAACCAGGTAAGCCAGTTGAGAACAAGTTCTCATTTACAACTGCGACCTGGCCAAGATAAAGCAAAGCAGTGCGATAAAAACAACAACACAGAGTTACATATGGGGTAAAACAAAACATAAAGTCAAAAATACCACAGAAAATATATATACAGTGTGCAAATGTAGCAAGTTATGGAGGTAAGGCAATAAATAGGCCATAGTGCAAAATAATTACAATTAGTATTAACACTGGAATGATAGAGATGATGTGCAAATAGAGATACTGGGGTGCAAATGAGCAAAATAAATAACAAAATGGGGATGAGGTAGTTGAGTGGGCTAATTTCAGAAGGGCTGTGTACAGGTGCAGTGATCGGTAAGGTGCTCTGACAACTGATGCTTAAAGTTAGTGAGGGAGATAAGAGTCTCCAGCTTCAGAGATTTTTGCAGTTCGTTCCAGTCATTGGCAGCAGAGAACTGGAAGGAATGGCGGCCAAAGGAGGTGTTGGCTTTGGGGATGACCAATGAGATATACCTGCTGGAGCGCATATTACGGGTGGGTGTTGCTATGGTGACCAATGAGCTAAGATAAGACGGGGATTTGCCTAGCAGTGATTTATAGATGGCCTGGAGCCAGTGGGTTTGGCGACGAATATGTAGTGAGGACCAGCCAACAAGAGTGTCCAGGTCACAGTGGTGGGTAGTATATGGGGATTTGGTGACAAAACGGATGGCACTGTGATAGACTACATCCAATTTGCTGAGTAGAGTGTTGGAGGCTATTTTGTAAATGACATCGCCGAAATCAAGGATCGGTAGGATAGTCAGTTTTACGAGGGCATGTTTGGCAGCATGAGTGAAGGAGGCTTTGTTGCGGTCACGAACGTTGAGAGACGGGTCGGACCAAGGTGCCAGCAGCGTTCGATTGAAGAGCATGCATTTAGTTTTACTAGTGTTTAAGAGCAGTTGGAGGCTACGGAAGGAGTGTTGTATGGCATTGAAGCTCGTTTGGAGGTTTGTTAACACAGTGTTATGTATGCATGTAGGTGATATGTATGTGATATGTATGTGATATGTAGGTGATATGTATGTGATATATATGTCATATGTAGGTGATATGTATATGTGCAGAATGTTGTCTGCATATCTATTGCACATGTATGATGCATGTATAATACATGCATGCAGCATTTATGATATCTATGTAAGACACTAGACCTCGCTTGCCAGGGGATGTGAGATTAGTATGATAACACATGTAGCCTATACACGTGTCATGTACACATGTAGCCTCCTGTAGCTCAGTTGGTAGAGCATGGCGCTTGCAACGCCAGGGTTGTGGGTTCGATTCCCACGGGGGGCCAGTATGAAAAATGTATGCACTAACTGTAAGTCGCTCTGGATAAGAGTGTCTGCTAAATGACTTAAATGTAAAATGTAGCCTCTTATGATCTATGCATGACATTCTCCCTAATCCAAATAAGGATATCTTGCCCCTGCTCCTGGGATGTGAGGGTGTTGATGATGCAGATCCACCTGGTCTTGGCAGAATAGTCCCACCTCATATTACGTATCCCTCCACCAGGGTTGCCCAAAGTCATTGGTCCAGTCAGTACTAGGGAAGGGAGGCTGCACGTGCACAAAGCGCCCCCTAGGGGTGTAGTACATCACACAGTCAGATAGTGTGTTGAGGTGGGTCCGAATCTGAGAATACAAATTGGGAATTACTCATCAAGATTATTTTTTTTAAGAAGACAAATATGCTACATTCTTGATAAACGTCAGATTATTTTTTCACTCACGTCTTTTGTCTTTAGGTCAAACCAGTGACTGATGTCCTTTCCTGCACAGTCAATAATAGGCTTCAGAAGTAAAATCCGCTGAAAAACAATTGTGTCATTTAGTAAACGTTTGTAGCCTAATAATAGCCTATTTGAAATGCATGCATCTGACAACTCACCTTTAAACTCACTCACCAATAGTGTCAGGTCGTACACCTTGCCCAGATATGACACCACAAGTCGCCAAGGGTGTTATGAAGGGACACCTAGTTTGGAGTGAAATACTTTGGTCGCCACATTTGTATTACTTCTGAAAGTTTACCCAATGTATGAAGACCTATAAAAGGTCATGTAAAATTTTGCAACTGAGTATATGTCAGAGATATAAAATGTAATTTATCTTGTTTATTTGCAAGCTCACTCGCTACATTGTATCAACAAACATACCAGCTAGAGCTCCGTTACTGTGGTAACCACGGAAGCGTCTGGTACAGAGACAGCACGACACTCAGATCAGCCTTGCTGTATCTCACGAGCGGTTGAACAGTCCATAAATCACAAGACAGACATTTGACAAATGGAATGCTCAATTTAAAAACCGAATAGGTGAAACGTTTAAGCAAAGTTTTACCAAACCTCTGGTTTAACATACTACAATCCCCATTGCAATGTATTCCCTGATGCATTTCCGGTTGTACGTCAGATAAATAATTCCGCAAGAAAAATACAATCAAGAAAGGGTGGAATGGCAACAATGATTGAAGAAAATGGTCCATCAACTCATGTAGGGGTGATATACGTTTAATATTGTCGTATTTTACACACTTTTAACGCATTATATTCACTTTGCCAAACTGAAAGGAGAGCGTGCGTAACTGATCCATATATTTGTTGGGCAAGTTGAATCCACTAGCTAGCTAGGCTAACGTTAACGTAGCTAGCTAGCTAACGTTATTTGTCTCTGTCCACAAGCTACAGTACCATTAGCCAGCAGATCCGACCTGCTTGCTTACAGCTACACTAGGGTCAGACAGACTTTGTGTGTAGATTAAAGGATTTATGCGTTGTTCTCCGAATTGTCCCATTATCCCAACTATTACAGTGAGAAGATTGAACAAGATCTGCTAGTTTTGCTGGAAAACTGTCAATTTCGTCCTCATGCTAGCAGAAGCCACAGCAGCAATTTTGGAATGGCAATGTCAGCCAATCAGCTCCTTTGTTGTTCAACACCAGCACGTGCCATTCCATAATGGCTGCTAGTGCTGTGGCTACCGCTAGCTAGCATGATGACGAAAACGAGCAAATCATTCTTTCTTCTCGGTGTAACAGTTGGGATAATGGGACAACACATTTCTCATCCCTGGATTGAGGTACGTTTTCCGAGCCATATCTCGTGCCGGCTGCGCAGTGTCTTAATCTACCCAGGAAATCTGTCCGACCCTAGTGTAAATAGATTATTCTCCTTAGCTCTAATCTAACCCAAAGGCCGGCAGATGGCGATATTGAGTCGTTTCATCTTAAAAGCTAATTTATGCTTGTTCCAGAAATGTGGACCGCAGTTGCGGCCAAATCAAGCTCAGTACCGCATCGCTGTGCACCTCCCACATTTTGTAAAAATGCGGAGGGCTCCGTATAGCTCCGCATTGACATGATTGGTTAACGGTAGTTGGGGGCGGTATGTCTAGTATAAACACAAACTCACTTCCTTGACAACTTCCTTCACAACAGCTCTGCGAAGCGCAAGAAGTATAAATGCCCTGACTTCTGCAGAGGCCGCATAGCAGTAAATGCTGTACGGCAGGGATCATCAACTAGATTTAGCCGTGGGCCGATTATTTTCTTTAGCGGATGGTCAGGGGGCCAAAACATAATTACACATCATTTGTAGACTGCAAATTAACCGCAAGAAACCAGAAGAGATAATATTTGACTAAGTCATAATAATTGCAAACCTTGCTTACATTTGTATACAATCAGTCTCTCTATTATGTGTGTGAATACTTGGGAACAGATTTCCAAAATTAAAATCACTTGGAGCTGATTTCCTGGTGTTTTGACAGTCTTTTATGTCCAAAAATGTAAATTACTTTTTTTTATTAAAAATTTTTGCTCAGAAAAAAATAGAGATGATGTGCAAAGAGAGATACTGGGGTGCAAAGTTGGGGAACCCTGCTGTATGGCCAATGCAGACTCGGAATGACCATAAATCGCTTTACTGTCCATTTAATGGCTAGAATGCATACTTTCTTTATGAAACACAATTTCCCACCACCATGCTAGAGTGGCTAAAGCTAGTCCCGGATGTTGCGTATCACATTCAGCCAATCAGGTTGCAGCAGTATGTTTTTTTCCCCCCTGGTCTGATTGGCTGAACGCAATACGCAACATCCGGCACTTCTACAATGGGCAAATACGTATAGAAGGTTTCGTTCAAACCAGAAGTGGAGCTGTCAAAAAGTGATCGAATTCAAATGGATTTACCCACAAGTAAAGGAAGCATAATGGTGATACTGGGTGCATCTCAACCGTCTGGTTTCCTCTCCTTGTATGCTTGTCAAACTTCCCATTGGCGAGGTTGACAAGGTGACACGACTTTTGAACACTTAATTTACGTAGCTCTAATCCATGCACATACGTCGGATACGAACGCATGCGCATGGACCAGAGCTAGTTTGACTGTAAACAAAATGCTCAAAAGTAGTTTATTTCGTATAGTCCCGGATGTTGAGTGGGACCGTCATGGTAGCCTACATAAGGAGAAGGCCGTTTTTAGGCCTAGAGATAGGCTACAGAAATCCACAAGGACTTCAGGAGTAGTTTATTTAAAAAAACACAGGGAACAAATCAAAAATCTGAGGGAATGGATTTTTTAAAAAACAGATTAGCGTGGATTTATTTTCACCACCATGACCTAAGGTGTGCCGTAGAAAGTGACTTTTTGGATCTGAATGCCAAAACATTCAAGAGATAAAGGTGCTCAAAGTTGACCAATTTTGCATACTCCACCATACCATGAGACATCCACGTCTTCATCACTGAAAAATATAAACGATTGATATAATTTAAAAGCTTACAAACAGGGTTGTCAAACTATTATATAATTTCCCCCACACACATTTATTTTAACGTCAATTATCAAATAATGCGTAAACTCCGATTTTTTTCTGATTCGCATATGTTGTAGCTAAGACCCTATTTTACATCATTTAAGGTTTTTGTGTTTTGTCCGCTAACGGTTGAGACACAACATGCTCTTGAATACAGGGTGAGTTTCATGTTTTGGCTGATAAAATGGGAATAAAAAAATAGACATTTCTACTTTCAATTGGTACCACAGAGATGGTTGGAGGTCCACACATCAGAAAATGTTGACTTGAATGGGAATATCTGTTGTTTTAAATTATACTGTCATACCTCTATAGGAAACCTATTGAAATCATAGAAATATAGATAATAGAATAGACATGACGTTTTAAATTGGCATTCGACGATGGTGGACCAGCGGCCATCTTTGTGATAGTAAATAGAAGTTAAAATGTAAATGTCAATGCTGTACCAGCTAAATTGCAGTGGTCTGAACTGGGATAGGTCCATTCTTTGAAATCAATTTCTATGATTGAAATGACACCCACCCTGTATTCAAGAGCATGTTGTCTCAACTGATGGCGGTCACAACACAAAAACCTCAGATAATGTGAAATAGGGACTAAGCTACAACATATGCGAATATGCATTTTCTTTTAGTTTATGCGTTTTTTAAAATAATTTACGTTAAGGTTTAAAAATGACAATTTATGATTTTTTTTCAAGAAATAAAATAGTTTGACAACACTGTAAGCTTTTAAATGATATCAAACTCAACCATTTATCTTTTTCAGTGATGAAGACATGGATATCTCATGGTATGGTGGGGTATGCAAAATGGGTCAACTTTGTGCACCTTTATCCCCTGAATGTTTTGGCATTCAGGTTCAAAAAATCACTTTCTGACCAAAAGGGATGCTGTCAAAAAGTGATTGAATTCAAAGGGATTTACCCTTGTATGATTATAGGCCTATCATCTAATTTCTCCCCAATCCCTATTTCTAGGGGCAGAGTGAACTGTCATCCTCTTCTTCCAGAGCGCGTCAGAAGCTGGAGAGCCTACTGAACAAGAACATGAGAATCAGAATGACAGACGGACGGACGCTGGTGGGACTGTTCCTGTGCACCGATAGAGACTGCAACGTCATCCTGGGATCCGCTCAGGAGTTCCTAAAATCCTCAGGTACAGTGCCTTGCAAAAATATTCATCCCCCATGGCGTTTTTCCTATTTTGTTGCATTACAACCTGTAATTTAAATGGATTTTTATTTGGATTTCATGTAATGGACATACACAAAATAGTCAAAATTGGTGAAGTGAAATGAAGAAAAAAACCTACAAAATAAATAACGGAAAAGTGGTGCGTGCATATGTATTCACGCCCTTTGCTATGAAGCCCCTAAATAAGATCTGGTGCAACCAATTACCTTCAGAAGTCACATAATTAGTTAAATAAAGTCCACCTGTGTGCAATCTAAGTGTCACATGATCTGTCACATGATCTCAGTATAGATACACCTGTTCTGAAAGGCCCCAGAGTCTGCAACACCACTAAGCAAGGGGCACCACCAAGTAAGCGGCACCATGAAGACCAAGGAGCTCTCCAAACAGGTCAGGGACAAAGTTGGGTTGGGTTATAAAAAAATATCTGAAACTTTGAACATCCCACGGAGCACCATTAAATCCATTATTAAAACATGGAAAGAATATGGCACCACAACAAACCTGCCAAGAGAGGGCAGCCCACCAAAACTCACGGACCAGGCAAGGAGGGCATTAATCAGAGACGCAACAAAGAGACCAAAGATAAACCCTGAAGCGGAGATTGGAGTATCTGTCCATAGGACCACTTTAAGCTGTACACTCCACAGAGCTGGGCTTTACGGGAGAGTGGCCAGAAAAAAGCCATTGCTTAAAGAAAAAAATAAGCAAACACGTTTGGTGTTCGCCAAAAGGCATGTGGGAGACTCCCCAAACATATGGAAGAAAGTACTCTGGTCAGATGAGACAAAAATTGAGCTTTTTGGCCATCAAGGAAAACGCTATGTCTGGTACAAACCCAACACCTCTCATCACCCCGAGAACACCATCCCCACAGTGAAGCATGGTGGTGGCAGCATCATGCTGTGGGGATGTTTTTCGTCGGCAGGGACTGGGAAACTGATCAGAATTGAAGGAATGATGGATGGCGCTAAATACAGGGAAATTCTTGAGGGAAACCTGTTTCAGTCTTCCAGAGATTTGAGACTGGGACGGAAGTTCACCTTCCAGCAGGACAATGACCCTAAGCATACTGCTAAAGCAACACTTGAGTGGTTTAAGAGGAAACATTTACATTTCTTGGAATGACCTAGTCAAAGCCCAGAGCTCAATCCAATTGAGAATCTGTGGTATGACTTAAAGATTGCTGTACACCTGCGGAACCCATCCAACTTCAAGGAGCTGGAGCAGTTTTGCCTTGAAGAATGGGCAAAAATCCCAGTGGCTAGATGTACCAAGCTTATAGATACACCCCCAAGAGACTTGCAGCTGTAATTGCTGCAAAAGGTGGCTCTACAAGTATTGACTTTGGGGGGGTGAATAGTTATGCACGCTCAAGTTTTCTGTTTTTTTTTCTTCTTCAAAGTGGTAGGCATGTTATGTAAATCAAATGATACAAACCCCCCAAAAATCAATTTTAATTCCAGGTTGTAAGGCAACAAAATAGGAAAAATGCCAAGGGGGTGAATACTTTCGCAAGCCACTGTAACTAAAGTACATATTAGGTCTACATATTCTAGCAAGTTCACTGCTCTTCACCGCTGTTCCAGCAGAGCAGTGGGTGCAGGGTTTTGTCCCAACCCAGCACTAACACACTTGATTCAGCTGATCAGTCAATCATTAGTTGATTTGCTGTAAAAACCTGCAGTCAGAAAGTATTCACACCCCTTGACTTTTTCCACATTTTGTTGTGTTACAGCCTGAATTTAAAATTGATTAAATGTATCTGTTTTTGTCACTGGCCTGCATACAATACCACTTAATGTAAAAGTGGAATTATGTTTTTAGATGTTATTTTTCAAATTAATTCCAAATTAAAAGTTGAAATGTCTTGAGTAAATAAGTATTCAACCCCTTTGTTATGGCAAGCCTAAATAAGTTCAGGAGTAAAAATGTGCTTAACAAGTCACATAATACGTTGCATGGACTCTCTGTGTACAATAATAGTGTTTAACATGATTTTTGAATGACTACCTCATCTCTGTACCCCACACATACAATTATCTGTAAGGTCCCTCAGTCGAGCAGTGAATTTCAAACACAGATTCAACCACAAAGACCAGGGAGGTTTTCCAATGCCTCACAAAGAAGGGCACCTATTGGTACAGTGGGGAAAAAAGTATTTAGTCAGCCACCAATTGTGCAAGTTCTCCCACTTAAAAAGATGAGAGAGGCCTGTAATTTTCATCATAGGTACACGTCAACTGTGACAGACAAAATGAGAAAAAAAATCCAGAAAATCACATTGTAGGATTTTTAATGAATTTATTTGCAAATTATGGTGGAAAATAAGTATTTGGTCACCTACAAACAAGCAAGATTTCTGGCTCTCACAGACCTGTAACTTCTTCTTTAAGAGGCTCCTCTGTCCTCCACTCGTTACCTGTATTAATGGCACCTGTTTGAACTTGTTATCAGTATAAAAGACACCTGTCCACAACCTCAAACAGTCACACTCCAAACTCCACTATGGCCAAGACCAAAGAGCTGTCAAAGGACACCAGAAACAAAATTGTAGACCTGCACCAGGCTGGGAAGACTGAATCTGCAATAGGTAAGCAGCTTGGTTTGAAGAAATCAACTGTGGGAGCAATTATTAGGAAATGGAAGACATACAAGACCACTGATAATCTCCCTCGATCTGGGGCTCCATGCAAGATCTCACCCTGTGGGGTCAAAATGATCACAAGAACGGTGAGCAAAAATCCCAGAACCACACGGGGGGACCTAGTGAATGACCTGCAGAGAGCTGGGACCAAAGTAACAAAGCCTACCATCAGTAACACACTACGCCGCCAGGGACTCAAATCCTGCAGTGCTAGACGTGTCCCCCTGCTTAAGCCAGTACATGTCCAGGCCCGTCTGAAGTTTGCTAGAGTGCATTTGGATGATCCAGAAGAGGATTGGGAGAATGTCATATGGTCAGATGAAACCAAAATAGAACTTTTTGGTAAAAACTCAACTCGTCGTGTTTGGAGGACAAAGAATGCTGAGTTGCATCCAAAGAACACCATACCTACTGTGAAGCATGGGGGTGGAAACATCATGCTTTGGGGCTGTTTTTCTGCAAAGGGACCAGGACGACTGATCCGTGTAAAGGAAAGAATGAATGGGGCCATGTATCGTGAGATTTTGAGTGAAAACCTCCTTCCATCAGCAAGGGCATTGAAGATGAAACGTGGCTGGGTCTTTCAGCATGACAATGATCCCAAACACACCGCCCGGGCAACGAAGGAGTGGCTTCGTAAGAAGCATTTCAAGGTCCTGGAGTGGCCTAGCCAGTCTCCAGATCTCAACCCCATAGAAAATCTTTGGAGGGAGTTGAAAGTCTGTGTTGCCCAGCGACAGCCCCAAAACATCACTGCTTAGGGAATTAGTTTAAATACCAGAGTTGTTTTTGAAGGACTTACAAAACGTTGACCGTGTCATTGAGGGTATATGCTTGTTATTGCAACACAAATAATTTGCTAATCATAGACCAAATGTGATTTCTGATTCTTTCCTTTTGTTGCATGTTGAAGTGACCTATTGAAAACAGCCTTCCACTTTTAAGCTTTGCTGACAAATATTTCCCCATGTAGATGGCAACAACAAACAAAAAGCAGACATTGAATATCCTTTGAGCCTGGTGAAGTATTTCAATTACCACTTTGGATGGATGTCCAATACACCCAGGTCACTACTACAAGATATACAGGTTTGTCCTTCCTAACTCAGTTGCCGGAGAGGAAGGAAACCGCTCAGGGATTTCACCATGAGGCCAATGGTGACTTTAAAACATTTACAGAGTTTAATGGCTATGCTAGGAGAAAGCTGAGGATGGATCACCAACATTGTAGTTACTCCACAATTCTAACCTATTTGACAGAGTGAAAAGAAGGAAGCCTGTACAGTATTACCTTAGTGCAACAAGGCATGAATACAAAGTGTTATGTTTAGGGCAAATCCAGTACAAATCCAATACAACACGTTACTGAGTCATGTTATGGGTATGCTTGGAGTTTTTCAGGATAAAGAAACAGAATGGAGCTAAGCACTGGTCAAATTATAGAGGAAAACCTGGTTCAGTCTGCTTTCCACCAGACACTGGGAGATGAATTCACCTTTCAGCAGGACAATAACCTAAAACACAAGGCCAAATCTACACTGGAGTTGCTTACCAAGAAGACAGTGAATGTTCCTGAGTGGACGAGTTACAGTTTTGACTTAAATCTACTTGAAAATCTATGGCAAGACCTGAAAATGGTTGTCTAGCAATGATCAACAACCAATTTGACAGAGCTTGAAGAAATTTGAAAATAAAATGGGCAAATGTTGCACAATCCATGTGTTTAAAGCTCTTAGAGACTCACAGCTGTAATCGCTGCCAAAATTGCTTCTACAAAGTATTGACTAAGGGGTGTGAATACTTATATAATAAGATATTTCTTTATTTCATTTTCAATACATTTGCAAAAAGGTTTTATTTTTGCCATTATGGAGTATTGGGTGTAGATGGGTGAGAAAAAATATTGAATTCATTTTGAATTCAGGCTGTAACACAACAAAATGTGGGATAAGTCAAGGGGTATGAATACTTTCTGAAGGAGCTTTAGCTCTCTGGGCCTGGGAGTAAACACTACTCTAGCTTCCCCACATGATATGCAGTTTCTATTTTGTAACATTGTAACATGACCATTATTACACAGTGTGCACAGATCCATATTTAAAATGTATTTTGTTTGCTTGTTTTGCATCAGACTCCTTCTCTCAGGGTGAGCCCAGAGTGCTGGGGTTAGCCATGATTCCCGGCCACCACGTGGTCTCCATCAAGGTGGAGTCAGACAGCCTGGCCGACACACAGGGGTTCGGGGGCAGCCACTGAAGAACAAGCTGAGCTCACCCAAAGTTGGAGGACACTAGCCTAGAAAAGGCTACAGTACAGACTTGAAATGGAGAATTAAATCAAAGGAATTCCAGATGCGGCTGATATCTGGTGCCAGTGTCATAGGTTTACAAGTCAGAGCCAAGATGTGTGCGAGATGTGACCAGGCATCCCCAGTGACATTACAGTGTGTGTGAAGTTAATACTGAGCATAAAAGGTTTTCAGACTGTACAGTATGTGTCTGTGTGATAAATGTTTTTCAATACATTTCAGTATCTAAACCTGTGTCTGATCTGTCAATGAGGAACGATGCAGACTGTCCTTATATACTGTTAGTGCAGCAGTTACAGATAGTTCAGAGCATATGAATAGCTAAACTGAATTACTTACTTGACTTAAACCCTTGGCTCCTATTAGGTGCATAGGTTATTGACGAATGTCCTCCATCTCACTCTTCAGGGCAAGTCTTTCCAGGTTACACCATTTGAGGCCATCAGTTAGCTGTTCAGTTGAGAGTTCAAATCAAATTGTATTGGTCACATACACATATTTAGCAGATGTTATTGAGGGTGTAGAGAAATGCTTGTGTTCCTAGCTCCAACAGTGCAGTAGTATCTAACAATTCACAACAATACACACAAATCTAAAAGTAAAAGAATGGAATTAAGAAATATATACATATTAGGATGAGCAATGTCAGTCGGAGTGGCATGGACTAAAATACAGTAGAATAGAATACTGTATATACATACACTACCATTCAAAAGTTTGGGGTCACTTCGACATTTCCTTGTTTTCGAAAGAAAAAGCATTTTTTTTGTCCATTAAAAGAACATCAAATTGATCAGAAATAGAGTGTAGACATTGTTAATGTTGTAAATGGCTATTGTAGCTGGAAACGGATGATTTTTAATGCAATATCTACATAGGCGTACAGAGGCCCATTATCAGCAACCATCAGTCCTGTGTTCCAATGGCATGTTGTGTTTGCTAATCCAAGTTTATCATTTTAAAAGGCTAATTGATCATTAGAAAACCCTTTTGCAATTATGTTAGCACAGCTGAAAACTGTTGTGCTGATTAAAGAAGCAATAAAACTGGCCTTCTTGAGACTAGTTGAGTATCTGGAGCATCAGCTTCATTAAATAGTACCCGCAAAACACCAGTCTCAACGTCAACAGTGAAGAGGTGACTCCGGGATGCTGACCTAGGCAGAGTTGCAAAGAAAAAGCCATATCTCAGACTGGCCAATAAAAAGAAAAGATTAAGATGGGCAGTCTGAGATATGGCTTTTTCTTTACAACTCTGCCTAGAAGGTCAGCATCCCGGAGTCGCGTCTTCACTGTTGACGTTGAGACTGGTGTTTTGCGGGTACTGTTTAATGAAGCTGCCAGTTGAGGACCTGTGAGGCGTCTGTTTCTCAAACTAATGTATTTGTCCTCTTGCTCAGTTGTGCGCCGGGGCCTCCCACTCCTCTTTCTATTCTGGTTAGAGACAGTTTGTGCTGTTCTGTGAAGGGAGTAGTACACAGCGTTGTACGAGATCTTCAGTTTCTTGGCAATTTCTCGCATGGAATAGCCTTAATTTCATAGAACAAGAAGATCTTTGTTTCTGGCCATTATGAGCCTGTAATCGAACCCACAATTGCTGATGCTCCAGATACTCAACCAGTCTCAAGAAGGCCAATTTTATTGCTTCTTTAATCCGCACAACAGTTTTCAGCTTTGCTAACATAATTGCAAAAGGGTTTTCTAATGATCTATTAGCCTTTTAAAATGATGGGCCTCTGTACGCCTATGTAGATATTCCATTAAAAATCAGCCGTTTCCAGCTACAATAGCCATTTAAAACATTAACAATGTCTACAATGTATTTCTGATCAATTTTATGTTATTTAATGGACAAAAAAAGTGCATTTCTTTCGAAAACAAGGACATTTCTAAGTGACCCCAAACCTTTGAACGGTAGTGTATGAAATGAGTAAAGCAGTATGTTAACATTATTAAAGTGACTAGTGTTCCATTATTAAAGTGACCAGTGATTCCATGTCTATGTACAGTGGGGGAAAAAAAAGTATTTAGTCAGCCACCAATTGTGCAAGTTCTCCCACTTAAAAAGATGAGAGAGGCCTGTAATTTTCATCATAGGTACACGTCAACTATGACAGACAAAATGAGATTTTTTTTCTCCAGAAAATCACATTGTAGGATTTTTAATAAATTTATTTGCAAATTATGTTGGAAAATAAGTATTTGGTCAATAACAAAAGTTTCTCAATACTTTGTTATATACCCTTTGTTGGCAATGACACAGGTCAAACGTTTTCTGTAAGTCTTCACAAGGTTTTCACACACTGTTGCTGGTATTTTGGCCCATTCCTCCATGCAGATCTCCTCTAGAGCAGTGATGTTTTGGGACTGTCGCTGGGCAACACGGACTTTCAACTCCCTCCAAAGATTTTCTATGGGGTTGAGATCTGGAGACTGGCTAGGCCACTCCAGGACCTTGAAATGCTTCTTACGAAGCCACTCCTTCGTTGCCCGGGCGGTGTGTTTGGGATCATTGTCATGCTGAAAGACCCAGCCACGTTTCATCTTCAATGCCCTTGCTGATGGAAGGAGGTTTTCACTCAAAATCTCACGATACATGGCCCCATTCATTCTTTCCTTTACACAGATCAGTCGTCCTGGTCCCTTTGCAGAAAAACAGCCCCAAAGCATGATGTTTCCACCCCCATGCTTCACAGTAGGTATGGTGTTCTTTGGATGCAACTCAGCATTCTTTGTCCTCCAAACACGACGAGTTGAGTTTTTACCTAAAAGTTATATTTTGGTTTCATCTGACCATATGACATTCTCCCAATCCTCTTATGGATCATCCAAATGCACTCTAGCAAACTTCAGACGGGCCTGGACATGTACTGGCTTAAGCAGGGGGACACGTCTGGCACTGCAGGATTTGAGTCCCTGGCAGCGTAGTGTGTTACTGATGGTAGGCTTTGTTACTTTGGTCCCAGCTCTCTGCAGGTCATTCACTAGGTCCCCCCGTGTGGTTCTGGGATTTTTGCTCACCGTTCTTGTGATCATTTTGACCCCACAGGGTGAGATCTTGCGTGGAGCCCCAGATCGAGGGAGATTATCAGTGGTCTTGTATGTCTTCCATTTCCTAATAATTGCTCCCACAGTTGATTTCTTCAAACCAAGCTGCTTACCTATTGCAGATTCAGTCTTCCCAGCCTGGTGCAGGTCTACAATTTTGTTTCTGGTGTCCTTTGACAGCTCTTTGGTCTTGGCCATAGTGGAGTTTGGAGTATGACTGTTTGAGGTTGTGGACAGGTGTCTTTTATACTGATAACAAGTTCAAACAGGTGCCATTAATACAGGTAACGAGTGGAGGACAGAGGAGCCTCTTAAAGAAGAAGTTACAGGTCTGTGAGAGCCAGAAATCTTGCTTGTTTGTAGGTGACCAAATACTTATTTTCCACCATAATTTGCAAATAAATTCATAATAAATCCTACAATATGATTTTCTGGAGAAAGAAATTCTCAATTTGTCTGTCATAGTTGGCGTGTACCTATGATGAAAATTACAGGCCTCTCTCATCTTTTTAAGTGGGAGAACTTGCACAATTGGTGGCTGACTAAATACTTTTTTCCCCCACTGTATATAGGGCAGCAGCCTCTAAGGTGCAGGGTTGAGTATCCGGGTAGTAGCCGGCTAGTGATGGCTATTTAACAGTCTGATGGCCTTGAGATAGAAGCGGTTTTTCAGTCTCTCTGTCCCAGCTTTGATGCACCTGTACTGACCTCGCTTTCTGGATGGTAGCGATGTGAATAGGCCGTGGCTCGGGTGGTTGATGTCCTTGATTATCTTTTTGTCATTCCTGTGACATCGGGTGTTGTAGGTGTCCTGGAGGCCAGGCAGTGTGCCCCCGGTGATATGTTGGGCAGACCGCACCACCCTCTGGAGAGCCCTGCGGTTGCGGTTGGTGCAGTTGCTGTACCAGGCGGTGATACAGCCCGACAGGATGCTCTCAATTGTGCATCTGTAAAAGTTTGTGAGGGTCTTAGGGACCAAGACACATTTCTTCAGCCTCCTGAGGTTGAAGAGGAGCTGTTGCGCCTTCTTCACCACACTGTCTGTGTGGGTGGACCATTTCAGTTTGTCAGTGATGTGTATGCCGAGCAACTTGAAGCTTTTCACCTTCTCCACTGCGGTCCCGTCGATGTGGATAGAGGCGTGCTCCCTCTGCTGTTTCCTGAAGTCCATTATCAGCTCCTTCATTTTGTTGACGTTGAGGTTATTTTCCTGGCACCACTCCGCCAGGGCCCTCACCTCCTCCCTGTAGGCTGTCTCATCAATGTTGGTAATCAGGCCTACTACGGTTGTGTCGTCTGCAAACTTGATTGAGTTGAAGGCATGCATGGCCACGCAGTCATGGGTGAACAGGGAGTACAGGAGGGGGCTGAGCACACACCCTTGTGGGGCCCCTGTGTTGAGGATCAGCGAAGTGGAGGTGTTGTTTCCTAACTTCACCATCTGGGGGCGGTTCGTCAGGAAGTCCAGGACCCAGTTACACAGTGCGGGGTTCAGACCCAGGGCCCTGAGCTTACATGATGACACATGATTGTGAAATTTAGCCATTATTTCCTGGGAATGTGTATTTGCCGTATCAGTTGTGATTACAGTGTCCTAGGAAACACATCTACGCTTAGTATACAACACATTAAGAACACCTGATTTTTCCATGACAGATTGACCAGGTGAAATCTATGATCCCTTATTGATGTCACTTGTTAAATCCACTTCAATCAGTGTAGATGAAGGGGAGGAGAGAGGTTAAAGAAGGATTTTTAAGCCTTGGGACAATTGAGACATGGATTGTGTACAGTCATGGTCAAAAGTTTTGAGAATGACACAAATATTAATTTTCACGAAGTCTGCTGCCTCAGTTTTTATGATGGCAATTTGTATATACTCCAGAATGTTATGAAGAGTGATCAGATGAATTGCAATTAATTGCAAAGTCCCTCTTTGCCATGAAAATGAACTTAATCCCCAAAAAACATTTCCACTGCATTTCAGCCCTGCCACAAAAGGACCAGCTGACATCATGTCAGTGATTCTCTTGTTAACACAGGTGAGTGTTGACGAGGACAAGGCTGGAGATCACTCTGTCATGCTGATTGAGTTAGAATAACTGGAAGCATTAAAAGGAGGGTGGTGCTTGAAATCATTGTTCTTTGTTTGTTAATAATAATAATATGCCATTTAGCAGACACTTTTATCCAAAGCGACTTACAGTCATGCGTGCATATATTTTTTGTGTATGGTTGGTCCCCGGGATCGAACCCACTACATTGGCGTTGGTTACCTGCAAGGAAACATGTGCCGTCATCATTGCTTTGCACAAAAATGGCTTCACAGGCAAGGATATTGCTGCTAGTAAGATTGCACCTATATCAACCATTTATCAGATCATCAAGAACTTCAAGGAGAGAGGTTCAATTGTTGTGAAGAAGGCTTCATGGCGACCAAAAAAGTCCAGCAAGCGCCAGGACCGTCTCCTAAAGTTGATTTAAGCTGTGGGATCGGGGCACCACCAGTGCAGAGCTTGCTCAGGAATGGCAGCAGGCAGGTGTGAGTGCATCTGCACGCACAGTGAGGCGAAGACTTTTGGAGGATGGCCTGGTGTCAAGAAGGGCAGCGAGGAAGCCACTTCTCTCCAGGAAAAACATCAGGGACAGACTGATATTCTGCAAAAGGTACAGGGATTGGACTGCTGAGGACTGGGGTAAAGTCATTTTCTCTGATGAATCCCCTTTCCGATTGTTTGGGGCATCCAGAAAAAAGCTTGTCTGAAGAAGACAAGGTGAGCGCCAACAGTAAAGCATCCTGAGACCATTCATGTGTGGAGTTGCTTCTCAGCCAAGGGAGTGGGCTCACTCACAATTTTGCCTAAGAACACAGCCATGAGTAAAGAATGGTACTAACACATCCTCCGAGAGCAACTTCTCCCAACCATCCAAGAACAGTTTGGTGACGAACAATGCCTTTTCCAGCATGATGGAGCACCTTGCCATAAGGCAAAAGTGATAACTAAGTGGCTCGGGGAACAAAACATCGACATTTTGGGTCCATAGCCAGGAAACTCCCCAGACCTTAATCTCATTGAGAACCATTAGTCAGGATGTGGCCCAGAAGTTAATTGACAGCATGCCAGGGCGGATTACAGAGGTCTTGAAAAAGAAGGGTCAACACTGCAAATATTGACTCTTTGCATAAACTTAATGCAATTGTCAATAAAAGCCTTTGACACTTATGGAATGCTTGTAATTATACTTCAGTATACCATAGTAACATCTGACAAAAATATCTAAAAACACTGAAGCAGCAAACTTTGTGAAGACCAATACTTGTGTCATTCTCAAAACTTTTGACCACGACTGTATGTGTGCTATTGAGGGTGAATGGGCAAGACAAAAAATGTGTGCCTTTGAACAGGGTATGGTAGTAGGTGCCAGGTGCACTGGTTTGAGTGTGTCAAGAACTGCAACGCTGCTGGGTTTTTCACGCTCAACAGTTTTCCGTATGTATCAATGGTCTACCACCCAAAGGACATCCAGCCAACTTGACACAACTGTGGGAAGCTTTGGAGTCAACATGGGCCAGCATCACTGTGGAATGCTTTCGACACCTGACGACGCCCGACGAATTGAAGCTGTTCTGATGGCAAAAGGGGGTGGTGCAACTCAATATTAGGAAGGTGTTCCTAATGTTTGGTATACTCAGTGTATAGGTGTGTCAAATAATTCAAGCACACACGAACATTTATGGAACTAGACAGACCCACCTAACACAGATTACTGGAGAATGATTTTCATATTTGCACAACAAAGACAACTCAAACAAGAGCTAGATATGGTATGCCATCAAAATAGTACTCAAATTATACCTGAACCATGATTTATAACAGTGTAAAATAAATAACCAACACACGGAGAACAGGGTTGTTTGTTTCCATATTTTAATAGTTTGAGGATTTTAGTTATTTCTGTTTGGCAACGTTAAAACTGTCCGTAGCAACTAAAACCAAGACAAAAACCCCTAGAAACAAACCTGTACCAGGCAGTTAATTCAACAAGGTTGTCACATTAAAATGATCACGTAGTTGAGCAGTTGGTGACATTCAAAGCTTTCAGTTACAGCTATACCGCATCCTTAGAACTCAAATTATGTTAACAGCGGACTTGACAGGATGATATTGACAATCCATAATTTGGTTGAAGTCCATAATTTGTTTGATACACTAAAATGACGCATGTCATCATTTGTTTGTTGTTGCAGGGAGTCCCTTAAGTTGCTTTGAGCTGGGGAACACATCAGGAGGAGTGGACATCTGGAGGATTAGTTATTAAAAAGATCGGCAAATAAAAGACACAAAGTGCAAGTTTTCAAAGACGCTTTGAAATCAATGAAAAAGGAGAGAGAACACAGGCTCTTTCAGGAAGTAGACAAACATGCTTCATCCACTCACCCTTTTGATTGGGTACACAACCAGGAAGGAGTAGGTCACCAACTCTTTCATAACACCTGTTGTGTCAATTAAGTCAAATCAAGGGTATACTCAGTGAAGAACATTCAGAGCTTTGCAGATAGAAATATAACAAACAGAAGACATTGTTTAGTGAAGAAAACTACATTGATCTCTTCTAAAACATTCTGAAAGCTCTGAACGTTGTGCTTTTCTGAACATAAAATCGGTCTGAGTAGCTTCGGTGCCAGTCTGAATCTGCTTTTATCCGACTTGAGCTTATCTAAGCATTATTTAAAGGTCCAATGCAGAATTGTTATCTCTATACCAAATCATTTCTGGGTAACAATTAAGTACCTTACTGTAATTGTTTTGAATTAAAAATGGCCAAAAACTAAAATTGTTTCTTAGAAAATAGTAATTTCTCAAGCAAGAATTTTGCTAGGACTGTCTGGGAGTGTTCTAGCTTTTATTGGCAGAGAGGTTTGGAACTTTCGTATTGGTCTATTAACTAATATACCAATTTAATGATGTCACCAGGCAGGCCAAAACTCCATCCCACCAAAACAGGCTGAAATTTCAGGCGTACTTTTCAAAGAGCGCTTACACTAAAAGGGCATTACCATCATTTTCACAATATTTTTCCATCCTGGGAGTGAAAATATATATAAAGCAGAGGAAAATCACATTTTTGACTGCACTGGGCCTTTAAATAAAATGGAGAAACAGTCCAGCACCCATGCTAGTCGAGCAAAAACCAACAGAGCTATGTTTAATAGATGAAAAATGGCAGAAATCCCAAGCAAAAGTAAAAGTAGCAGCAGACATCCCAAAGAAAAAGAACATGGATGGATGCAATGACAGGATCAACAGCCTGGGCCAAGTTGGGAGGACTGAACAGCGCACCAATGCAGGACTTTATTTGCGCGTCTTCAACGCTCGAGTCAACAGCCGACAACATTGTCACTTAATTTCATCCATGTTGAATCTGTGGTAGGAAAGTTTAACTCTGTACAACTCAACCCCTCACGGTACAGTAGTAGTCCAACGCCTTTTACAGTCATTCACATCCCCATTGTCTCACTACATTACCCACAATGCCCCACATCCAACCCCTGGGTACATCCACCAGTTACGCCACGGGTTGTCATAGGCCTAAAATCCTCCAATCTTAAGTCCTTCCTGGTTCCGTCAGTCAGCCCCCCCATGTTTCTCGTCTCCTCCTCACTAATGGTGGAACTTGAAGTGGTAGTTGCCGCCAGACTCGAAGGGGTTGAAGTGGAAGGGCCATCCCTGGCCACCCTGACTGCCTCCTCCCTGCTGACTCTCTGGGTCCAGGGGGTCCTCACCGGAGTCAAACTTCTGGCGCATTTCTAAAGGTTAGGGGTAGGGAGACAGGAGTAATGCACAACAAGTATCCAGCTATGTTTTCAACACAAATGTACATTCCAGAAATTAGGTCCGACAGGATGTCATCATACTGCAAATAGTTTACAGCTTCCTAAATACAGTCATAGATTTTCCAGTATGGGAGGGGTTAGTTAGTAGTGATCTTATCTACCAGCTTGATCAACACGATCAGGTACATATACAGTACATTACCTGGGTCGGTGAGCACCTCTTTAGCAGAGGCGATGTCGATGAACCTCTTCTCTGCCTCCTTCTTTTCCGACTCTTCTCTGAAGTTGTCAGGATGCCACTGTTGGGCCAGCTTCCTGTACGCCTTGATTATTTCCTGTTTGTTGGCACTCCTGGAGAAAAATAACATGTTGTTAAGGTAAAAGCTTGTTTGAATACAAGGAGCAAATACATCCCCATTTCCTTGAGGTGATCACAGATTATGAGAATGTTCAATATAATTAACTTGTCCAATCGCTTATAGATCACAAATAGACAGTAGATTATGCCAAGGAAGGAAGGAATTATGCTTTGAAGTAGTATTTGAACAGGGCTGCCTTCTCTAGGTCAGTCATACCTATTGACACCCAGGATCTTGTAATAGTCCCTCTTCCGGGAGAGCTTGAGCAGTTTCTGGGCTCGCTCCAGACCTTCCCTGATCTCATTGTTCTCCATGTCAAACTCCCTCGCTTCCTGGTAGTCCTCCACCCCTAGAGAGAGAGAGGGAGGGAGAGGGGGAGGGAGAGCGGAATAAGGAAAAAAAAGGCAGAGAGACAAAGATAACAAAATGGATACTTGACAAAGCTGGGTACAATGATCCAACTGGGATTTGGATGTGCAGTAATCAGGGCGGCTTTAGGACTGGCTCCTGTCTACAAACACTGTTTGTTTACGTGGTAGGTTTGAAAGCCAGTGTTTGAGTACTTGACGGAGGGGAAACGAATGCGACACAAAGTCTTATCACTACATGTCATCATTCTCTTTGCTACAGTAATACCATGGTGAAAGTACCTTTCTCGTAGTCCTGGTTAAGGATGAAGGCCTCAGCTCTGTCTCGGAGGATGTTGATGTTGCGTGGGTCTCTCTGGTGAGCCTCTGAACAAATGTCTATTGCCATAGCAGGCATCTTGTTCTGGTGGAGACAAATGGAGCAACGCTTATAAGCATTATCATTGGTTCCCATTCTATTTGTAATGACTTAATTAGTAATATCATTTTAAAGTTATGTGAAATCAGCAGTTGTAAAAGCAATTATGAGATTTTCGATACACTACCAATTGACTTGACTTCAGTAGAGGAATAGGTCATGCTAATATACATACATACACACACACACACACATACATGACTATGGCCATAGAAATGGTCCACTCCATGGGTTAAATGTGTCTATGTGATGGGACCCACCTTGACCAGGCAGAAGCAGATCCTCTCCTTGGCCTTATTGGTGTAGTAGGGTACATTAGGCTCTGTCCTCATCACTGACTCATACTTATCTATGGCCTCCTGATACCTGAAAACAAACATTCAATAATATTCATTTTAGGACAAGAGTTAAATAGAACCACCATACAATAGTCTTATCTAAAATCAACCAAAGTGGATACAAACAGGTTAAGTGATAAAACTGTCAAAGAAACCTGAGAAGAAACCTGAAATATAAACCTGTCGAGGAACATAATAATTGAAGAAAAAAAAAAACTCCCATAGGGATTGAAACATTGCCCACATAGGGATGGGATACCATATAAGACCACATAGGTAGGCAGGGATTGACCTTAAGGGTTGCCCTATTGCTTAGGGTGTATGAACTGAGCAGTCGCTCAAGTTGAGCCTGCTCTGAGGTTGCCCCATTAGGCAGGTGATTTAAAAAAAAAGGTGAAAACAACCAAAGAATTCCAGTAGCCTAAAACATACTGCATCTTTCTGGTTCCTCCCCATTGTTTAAGTGAAAGAGACAATTTAGGGCATTTATGGTAGTCGGGCAAGTTGAACCTTCTCCAATGTTCTCCAAAATACATAGAAATCCCCTATGTGTAGGTGAAAGGCAGGCAACATATGGTACCTCTGCGTGTAAATAGCTCATTTACATTTTCGGGCCAGTGATCATAATTTTCAGCCAACCAAAAAAGACTCCCGATTTGTCCGATGGGCAAGTGCATTTCATTCTTTAATGTCAATCCCTGGAAGGAAAACATAAGTAAGAGAAACCCAGACAGGGACTAGACTGCCATACTAGCTAGATGCAGTGGTACTGACCTCTCCTCCTGGATGTGCTCCTCGGCAGAGTCCAGCTGCTTGCTGAGCTTCTTCACTTGTTTGTAATGGGAGAAACACTCCTTGTCGTCCTGGTCCAGCTTCAGACAGTCCCGGATGTGACTGCAAAGGGAGAGGAAAGAGAGAGAGATTTACACAATGTAAAGCGGTTTGAGATTTTTGCCTGTAAAATAAATAAAAAGATAGTATTTAGTATGTTTGAAAGAGAGTGAGCATTCTTTACTAACTCTCAAACTTCAAGTGTCACAAAATCAACCACAGATACAAAACCACAAACCAATGTTGCTCTGAAGCTCACAACCTCTTAATTTACATGTATTTGCTTGGTAAATGTGGGTGGTTGTTTGTTTAAATCACTCCGCCCTATTACTAATACATGTAAAGTGTATCAGTGAGTGTACCCTAGTGACTCCTGGTGCTCCCCCAGGCTATAGTGCAGGGTGCTGAGCTTGAGGAAGGCAGCGCGGTTGTCGTTCCTCAGCCGGGTGGTGGGGGTCAGGTCCTGGATGGCCTTCCGAGGGTCTCCCAGACGAATGTAACATTCAGCCCGGAGCTCCCGAGACTCAGGGTCCCAGGGGGAGAGCTAGAAAGAGAGAAGGGTGAGAGGTAGGGAGGGAGAGGTCAGTGGTGTGCATTTGTCCTTTTTGTGCATTTATGATTTGATACCAAGACTGTTGAAGTATTGTGCACCACAGTTTGATGAAGGTATTGAGGATCAAGTTTAAGAGGCTAGGTGAAATAGAGTTCTCAATGATTAGGCCCTGTAGCAGAGCTAAGCCCTACCTTCATGACCAGGCCCAATGACTAGGCCCTGTGGTGGAGCTCCTCCCTACCTTCATGACCAGGCCCAATGACTAGGCCCTGTGGTGGAGCTGCTCCCTACCTTCATGACCAGGCTAGGCCCTGTGGTGGAGCTACTCCCTACCTTCATGACCAGGCCCAATGACTAGGCCCTGTGGTGGAGCTGCTCCCTACCTTCATGACCAGGCTAGGCCCTGTGGTGGAGCTACTCCCTACCTTCATGACCAGGCCCAATGACCAGGCCCTGTGGTGGTGCTACTCCCTACCTCTACGACACGGTCCAGCACAGTGATAGTGGTGCTGTAGTCTCCTCGGTGGTGGGCCGCGTGGGCCTCCTCCTGCAGCTCATCCAGCTCGTTGGCCCTCATCAGCTGGTCCCGCGCCTCGTCCTGGTCAGGGGAGCGCTGCAGCTGAGGAGGAGAAAATTTAAATTAAAAAGTTAACGTTTCTGAAGAAACTGTGTGACATAGCAATTATAAGCTTGTAATAAATATATAATAGAGCACTCATATCAGGTCTATAAATACATAACAGCACACAACAATTCAAATAGTGTATCTTTCAGATTCCCTTAACCTCGCCCACATCATATAATTGCAATAACAAAAGGATAATGAATTAGATAAAATGGCAATATGAGACTGTGATAGGATGCGATGATGGTATGGGCATTCGGAAAATACAGCAGTGAGATTTTGGTTGACAGACGGATAAGGTGCATCTAGACATAGAAATATAATTAATAGTATGGTAGTAGTAGAATAGTAGTTATATTTTTATGAATCTAGACTTACCACAGCCTCAAAGTCCTCACGGGCCTCCTGGGTGTTACCCTGCTTCAAGAGGATATTCCCTCTCTGCAGTCTGGCCTGGAAACATGGAGGCAGAGAGAGGGAAGTGGGGATGTGGAGGAGAGAGGGAGGGAGATAGAGAAAGGGGGAGAAAGATACAGATAGCCAGATTAAGAAACAAAGAGTTAAAAACAATTTCACAAAATTGTTGTTCATAACCGTAATTTATCATGATAACAGAGATTATGTTGTTGACAACTGTCTGTGTCCACTCACAGCGAGGAAGTCAGGTTTGAGCTGGATGGCTCTGGTCAGGTCCGGCAGGGCAGACTTGGACTTTCCCATAGCCAGGAACACAGCTGCCCGCTTGTAGTAGGTCAGATAGTTCTTAGAGTCGCCCTCTGAGGGAAGGGATAGGGTAAAATACAGTAGATAAGTATGAGAACACAATTGATTTCTACTTTCATGTGGCTATTATTTATTAGGCGTACATGGACACATTTGACTGAAAATGTGTAGTTGACTCAATGTGTTGACCCAAAAGAATAAGGGAGATAGAGAAAGAGAGATCTGAAATGATGTGTGACAAAGTCTGTAAAATAATCCATCACTTGATGGGACTTTGTTATGTGGAAGCCGCTTGACTTATTACAAACGGAGTACAGACGGAGGGATATAGACAGAGGCAGGGAGAAAAACAAACAGACTACATGGGCAGAGATGATGGAGATATAATGATGTGTGTGTCTGGTTGGTAACCTTACCCACTGCGGAGTGGTAGTGGGACAGGGCCTCCGCCAGTTGACCGGCAGCCAACAGTTTACGGCCCATCTCCAAGTGCTGCTCAATCTCCACATGAGTTGCCCCCAAGACACCTGAAACAAAACACTTAGTGTGAGCCTCTTGGAAGCCCCCATAGGCAATAGCTCACATAACCACATAGGAACTGACCTAAATGAAGGAAACAGAGACAGTGTAGCTATGTTCATGAATGCTGTGCCATTTTAACTGTAGACATTCCTCCCTCTAGATTTAAATCATAGGATTTGTTTGTAAAGGGAGTATATAAAAAAAGGTAAACCAATAGCCATAGGGTTTGGCTAGCCTAGCTAGCTAGCCTACAGTAGTTATCAAGTAGGGGCACAGCAAACCACCTGATTATCCTGTACAATCGGTCGTAGCATACCTAGCTAAGGAAATAACCTAATACGTAGTTATCGGTCTTTTTTTTATCAACAACTCTATGCAGACTGAACTATTCGGGCAAAAACACACTGCTGTATTGCTTGCTTGCTTGCTATCTATCTATCTGTCTGTCTGTCTGGTCTTACCGTCCAATTGGAGGTCCAGAATGACACAGAGCAGTGACAAGGAAGACAGGACCCCGCTGAGACCTTTCCGTCGGCCCGACTCCATACTTATATACTTCACACTTCCCCTGGAGTTGTATATTTCACGTCTCTGATAGAATTGAATTGCAAACTACGTACGATATCATTTAAACGGTCATTTTCTTCATTACGTCTTCATCGTTTTCCCCCCTGAACCTTTGAGGCTATATGTATTTATTGTCCGGTTAAGAAATAGTTCCGAGTGACACCGTGGACAGCCACTGGAAGGTTCCTATAATTTAATCGCGTAGGACAACGTTGTTTAGACACCCAGGTTTGAGCAGAAATATCGCATGGATCTAAGAAATTATTATAGTTGTCTCTACGTGGCATGACATTGAATAACTTCGGCAGCTGTCAACATAGGTGCTTGGTAAAGTGAAACTTCTCCCGGTCCCGTTTTTACCCCCTCCTTCATGGATTCAAATGCCCTACATTTCTGTGCGGCGAGTGGCCAGTCCTAGCAGCACACATCCTTGTTGCCTACCAACGTGGGGCGGTCTCATTGGATGAACTATTTTAGCTCGTAGACAACACTCCCATGTCCATGTATGGCACTGAACGCCGTCACTGTACAGGCAGTGGACATACCATAATCATCATAAAGGAATATAATTGATAGGCTTAGCCCTTCAGTGTTCTATCTGTGGGCCTACCATATGTATATTGTCTGTGATAATAATAAGCATATGGTTGATCATGTTCATTCCTCACTAGAAACCGTTACGCCTGCTACGTTAGGTTACTAGATACAAACCAAATAGGAATTTTAGTATTTAAGTAATACTTTTATTGGGTGAAAAACAAAAAACAAAAACGAACATTCATAATGGCATAGGACCGCGACTCCCATCTCAGACATTATAAAACTGTACAAACAATACAAAACACCTCGATGACAGAAATAGATATCAATACTTGAGAATCAACTGTCTTAATCTGCTGGTTTGGACATTCCCCTAGATCTAGACGTTTCATCAAATCATCCCTTTTCTAAAGTAGAAAACTGATTGTCAAAATGCCATGCTAACATGAGCCCATATAATTATGAAAATAAGATTATTGAAATTGACATATAATTCATGTTTCAGTCATTAGACATCTCAGCTATTGTACATTATTTTACAGGCGACATGTTTTCACAGTGCACCACAACAAAACTAACAGACATAACGTCTTCAATATGAGATGATTGATCCAATTATGAAATACATAATCCTACATAGTATAACATTTAATCTCCCTCAGCACTATAGATATCGTTTACACATCTTCAACAACTGTGCGATCAACAGTGAGTCTAGTTTGTAGGCATTGGACATGGTGGATAAAGGTGGTCAAACGTAGGCGTTCCGGCCATAGGAAGTGGCAGCCTGACTCTGCGATGGTGCAATGCCAGAGAACACTGTGCCCCTGGGCTGGTAGGGATAAGGTCTGAGGAAGAGGACGAGAGGAAGAGTGGGTGAGGAGGACACACATAGATAAAATAAAACCACCAATCGCCAACACACATGCATTAAGGATTGAAACACACACAGACACACACAGACGCACACAGTATCCACTGAACTCACTGTTTCTCAGACGTGCCCAGTTTGCAGGCACATGTCAAACAAGACCCCCCAACGATAGCAAGAATAGCAGAGCACCAGCCAATGTAGAGGCCCTCTCCAATCTCATACCTGCAAAACATAGTAGGTCCTACATTTAATCAAGTTCATAAACAGTAGGCTATTACGTGTTGGTTTGATGACTGCTCTTCTGTCTAAAAGACAGCAGAGGGCAGCAGTGTGCCAGTAGCCTAATTGCAGTAATTGGAATGGGTGGTAATTTCCTTCTCACTTACTTTGTCCCAGGATAGAATGGATCAAAGAAGTCCTGGGTGATGTTGAAAGCGTACCAAGATACTGAGATCATTGTACACAGGCCTGAGAGAGAGACAGAGTGTATGTATGTGTGTGTGTGTGTGTGTGTGTGTGTGTGTGTGTGTGTGTGTGTGTGTGTGTGTGTGTGTGTGTGTGAGAGAGAGAGAGAGAGAGAGAGAGAGAGAGAGAGAGAGAGAGAGAGAGAGAGAGATTATTTAAGTGAATTGTGCACAAGATAATTAAGAGTTGGCAGTTATGACTAGAAACAGTTATAGAAAACAGTTTGATAATATCCCTTTACCCTGAAGCAAGAAATGGACACCTCCAACACCAGCTATTCTACCCTTTAGAACCATGTTATCTCCAGCTGCTTTAGAACACTGCATCCCGATCAGGGTTGCAAGGAGCCCGATAGATCCGAAAATAATCGCAGCAATCATTAGTGCTCGAGACGCCTGGATATATCCTGCAGGACAGAGCATATGAATAAACACAAATGGTAACTTTTACAAACAAGATTAGTTGGCCTATAACATGTTTTTTTATACTGTTATAACAAATACGATGATTATTAAATTGGTTTCAAATGTGATTTGTACAGAAACATATTGAGTTCTACACATTTGTATAGCCAAATAGTAGCCAATAATTATGTTGATATTTAAGGATATGATCTATTGAAATGGAACTGCCTTCTGTTTTGTATTTAGTAGAGAACTAAATTGTGTAGCAAAAAAAGGTCTGATTTGAATGGTTCATCTCAACCAATGATTCACCCTAAATTTATTGTTTATTAATGTCATTCTTGGATGACCATATTTTAACCTTTTGACCTTTCAGACACAAATTAACAATTTCTAAGAAAAAGTGTAGCATATGGGCCTTTACATATTTGTTTAATTACAACAAAACAATATCAACACAGGCAATAAATCAATTTATTCCTTAACATCATTTTTTCTATCGAAAATATTATATTTCTCTAGGATGTCCATACCATTCAGGGCGAGCAGAGAGGGGAACTCACGACAGTTGTGGACACCTGTAGAGTCCGTGGCACAGGACATCCATAGGTTCTCATAGATGGTGGAGGTAGTGATGACGTTCCCGTCAACGGTGGAAACCTTCCAGTAACGGTTGGGTATAGCTATCCCCACCATCACCCATCCTATAAACCCAAGCAGCAAGGCGACGACCTCCACAATTGGATCCATTCTGGTTTTTTCAAGTATTTGGTGATAAATAAAGAGAGAAAAGGCTATAAAAAAAGAGAGAGAAAGAAACAGGGTATTTCCCTTCGTTAGGTTGTATCCTCTTTGATTTGATTCGATGAACTTATTTTTGTTTAGGATATTTGTGCTAAAAAACAACAACATATAGTTCACCGGTGCAAATGCTTTTGAGTGTCTGTTCCCCTTCTTGGACACGATTGTGTTAGGTTGCCAATGAGAAGGTTTGTTGAGAGCAACAGATATGCTCAATGATTTATCATTGCCTACCAGTGTTCTCTTCCCACCCCCTAACACACAGGTACACACACACATACTCCCACGGCCGACTCCCTGTGCTCCTCTTTCTCTGGTGAGCGCGAGCCTGGCGCTGCTCCTCTACTGGAGAGGAGAGCGAGGCTCCCTTCTGCGAGACTTGTCGAAGTGCGTTTAACTGCTCTCTCTCTCTCTTTCGCCTCTGCCTCTGATCCGTCTCTCTCCTCCCTCTCTCTCTCTCTCCTCTTCTCTCGCCGAGCGAGAAGCGAGGATCTCTACGCTCTCCCCTCTCGCTCTCTCTCTCTCTCTCGCTCTCTCTCTCGACTCTCTATCACGGGAAGATGTCGATCGCCGAGAGAGAAAGCTATATATCCCTATAGCTCTCTTGCTCCGTATGCTAGCTCTCTCTCGTCTATCTCTCTCTCTCTCCTTCTCTCTCTCTCTCTCGTCTCTCTATATCTCTCTTTCTCTCTCTCATCTCTCTCTCTCTCTCTCTCTCTCTCTCTCTCTCTCTCTCTCTCCAGGCCTATCTCCCTTTTGCATTTTATAGCCTGAAACTGAACAGGTGTCTATCAGGCGGCGGAGACTCACGAAAGTCCAATGGTTGCACTATGTCCTTTATCTAGTGTGTTTGCAGTATGTCTGAATACATGAAAGTTGACTTAGCCTACATTTATTTTTAGGAAATAAATAATTGAACATATTATAATGGTTGTACTAATGTAGACATTGAGATATTACATTGTCCAACATTACTTCCAAAATATGTATTCTCTTGTGATACAATTTATTTCTCCTTATTCTTAATTTGATACATAGCCTATTCATATTGTTTCAATATAAAATTCAGTTTCTGCATCATTGCATGTTGACCTATGCCAGGTCCACTAAAGAACACAGGCAACGTGATGTTGATGCTGACAAACTCCTTACTGGGCCAAGAGTCAGGTGTTATAAATTTGTGTTTTAAAGTGATGACAGGAGATCTGGCCAAAATGTGTTTCTCAAGTTATATTTGTTTAGGTCGTAAATTTCATTGCTTCAAGGCCAACTGACACAAGGTCAACTGACACATTTACCATCCCACTAAAACTGCCCAGTTCCAAGTAACACTCCCAACTCACATAGGCTACCATCTGTTGCATGGTTATTGTAAGTGTAACATAGTCACTCACTTCCTGGAACCCAGATCCCCACTGGAACCCAGACCCCCACTAATATGCCCATTCAGAACAATGTAAATCCTTAACCTGATTCAGTGACAGGGGGTTGAAGTATGAGGATAAAAAGTTGGTTAAGGGATCGTAAGTAAGCATTTCATGGTAAGGCCTACACCTTTAGTATTTGGCGCATGTGAATCGGTCAAAATACCAATTAGTGGGAAAATATCAGCCTTAATTTAATTACCTTGATGGACAAGGAGAGACTGCAATCCACAATTTGGTTTTGTTAAATTAGCCACTGCCACCAATCGCTAATATAAGCATTTTCTAAACAAACTACAGAGAAGGGCATTTAGATTTCTATATCAGTTTGACGGGAAATCCAACTTAGTTTCTCCATTGTCCATTATACCAGAGTAATTTATCAGATTACTGGCACCCACACATCCTGTATACACACACTCTTCTAAGCAGTGCCGTTATTGAAATGGTAATAGACAGGTTTTTTATTTTACACTTGCAGAGTAATCACATTTTAATGATGACAAATACCTGTAAAGAGTTAGGGAAAGTTACACACCCTTCAATAAAAAAAAATTCACAGTGAAAGTCATAACAACATGAAGAACTAATGGTTCGGACAACAGCTCAGAAGTCATGATGTGGCAGAGGGAGCCATAAAAGTAGGCTTTGGTAAACATGGCCACCCATAAAATGAGACGTTTATGACTGTGTATAAAACATCTTTCATCTCTCGTTTTCAGAGCAAGTGAACTCAGGTGCAGGCGGACAACAGAGCTAGCATGGTATAGGCTAGACTACATTTACTAGGTAGTACCTCAATACTCTAAAGAAGCTTTCTCTCTCATTTACTGACATGAAAGAACTGGACAGATAAAAAAACAATGTATAACAACAGGCATCTGTATCACTTTCACCTGTCCTTTGTTTTCAAATCAGTTCAGATGAAGAAGAGGAGATGAGAAGATAAAGAAAGGTAGCCGCAGACTATTGAGATGCAGCCTTAAATAGTGAGACAACGACCCAGTTCAAATATATAAAGCATGCACCCTTCATATGATATTCACTGGGTGGTGTTGTGTTGTGTTGTGTTTCACTTATTGGATGACACAAATGCATTAGTCGTTTCACTGTTCCAACACTAAAATCTATTTGTTAACCAGACTTTTATCTCTTTTCGTAATGACCGTTCCTGACACTTCATGAAAAATGTACCCATATTTCCAGGGAGGGTGCAGCCTGTGGCACCACTGCCTTGTCTCACTCAGTGTGTTCTTCTGGAGCGATTTTAAAGGCCCTCCTATTGTCCTTCCATGTAGTTTTCACAAATGTGTTTGCTTGTTTTAAATTGGATTATGTCTCCCTCTGCTACAGCATGGCTTCTGAGCTGTTGTCCGAACCATTACTTCTTCATGTTGTTATGACTTTTACTGTGAAAACTACTTTTTAATTTGATTTTTCATGGAAGGGTGTCATCATTAAAATGGGATTACTCTGCAAGTGCACTGGCTAAAGCTGCGAGCTAGGGGTTGGTTGGGCATAGATGTAGAGTTAAAGTTAGTCTAGACCAGGTTTTTTAAAGTACTTTTTCACCTTGAGACCCAATTGAGAAATTGACCGTCCTCCCGTGACCCAAATCATCCTCAACGACCCAAATTAAGAAGAAATAGTGTGTGATTATAGATGTATTCTCATAACTTAGGAATCACCTCTCACAAGCCCTGGTCTAGACCAGTGTTTCAGTGTTGGGACCCACAGGTCTATGTTGATTTCACTCCAGCTAGGTATCAATCAGGCACTAAGTACTGTATCTGAGTGGTTTTAAATTATTCGTTTTATAGCTGTAATATTTCATAACATTTGGACTATTTGATGGATCCTTGTGATGTCCTTGGTGTACTAGGTTAAAATAAAAAACCTGTCTAGTACCATTCCAATAACAGCACTGCTTAGAAGAGTGTGTGTATACAGGATGTGTGGGTGCCAGTAATCTGATAAATTACCCTGGTAGTTACTCTGGTATAATGGACAATGGGAAATTATTCTACCCGATGCTTTTTCATGGTGAGTTTCGGTCGTGTCGAAGAGTTAATGAGTAGCTAGCTATCGTCACTCTCAGCTGATAAAGCCTTCATAAGTAATAACCTATAATCCATAATCTTTAAACCTTCCTGTTGTAAAAGTATATCCACAGTGAGTGAATCCATTCTGGACACCAAACTGAACTAGGTCAGTGAACAGCCAAATCAAATGTTATTTGTCACATGCGCCGAATACTACCTTACCATGAAATGCTTACTTAAAAACCCTTAACCAACAATGCAGAGTTTTGTAAAAGTAAGAAACATTTGCTAAATAAACTAAAGGAAAAATAGTAACACAATAAAATAACAATAATGAGGCTATATACAAGGGGTACCAGTACCGAGTCAACGTGCAGGGGTACAGGTTTGTCGAGGTAATTCAGGTAATATGTACATGTACGTAGGGGTAAAGTGACTATGCATAGATAATAAACAGAATAGCAGCAGGTATGTGAAGAGTGTGAAGGAATGTGAATGTATGTGTTTGTGTGTGTGTGTGGCGTCAATATGCATGTGTGTGTGTTTTTTGTGTGTGTCCGTGTGTGTGTTGGAATGTCAGTGTAGTATGTGTGAGTGTGTGGTTAGAGTCCAGTGAGTGTACAACGAGCCTGTGCAAGAGAGTCAGTGCAAAAAATAATAATAAATACTAATAAAATAAGGGGGTCAATGCAAATAGTCCGGGTAGGCTATTTAACTGTTCAGCAGTATTATGGCTTGGGGGTAGAAGCTGTTAAGGAGCCTTTTGGTCCCAGATTTGTCTTTCCGGTACTGCATGCCGTGCGGTAGCAGAGAGAACAGTCTATGACTTGGGTGGCTGGAGTCTTTGACAATCGTTAGGATCTTCCTCTGACACCGCCTGGTATAGAGGTCCTGGATGGCAGAAAGCTTGGCCCCAGTGATGTACTGGGCTGTACGCACGACCCACTGTAGCGCCTTGCGATCGGATGCCGAGCAGTTGCCATACCAAGCGGTGATGCAATCAGTCAGGATGCACTCGATGGTGCAGCTGTATAACCTTTTGAGGATTTGAGGTCCCATGCCAAATCTTTTCAGCCTCCTGAGGGGGAATAGGCATTTGCGTGCCCTCTTCACGACTGTCTTGGTGTGTTTGGCCCGTGATAGGTCCTTAGTGATGTGGACACCAAAGAACTTGAAACTCTCAACCCACTCCACCACAGCCCCAACGATGTGAATGGGGGCGTGCTTGCCCCTCCTTTTCCTGTAGTCCACAATCAGCTCCTTTGTCTTGGTCACGTTGAGGAAGAGGTTGTTGTCCTGGCACCATACTGTCTCTGACCTCCTCCCTATAGGCTGTCTCAACGTCGTCGGTGATCAGGCCTACCACCGTCGTGTCGTCGGCAAACTTAATGATGGTGTTGGAGTCATGCGTGGCCACGCAGTCGTGGGTGAACAGGGAGTACAGTAGAGGACTGAGCATGCACCCCTGAGGGTTCCCCCGTGTTGAGGGTCAGCACGGCGAATGTGTTGTTGCCTACTCTCACCACCTGGGGGCGGCCCGTCAGGAAGTCTAGGATCCAGTTGCAGAGGGAGGTGTTCAGTCCCAGGGTCCTTAACTTAGTGATGACCTTGGAGGGCACTATGGTGTTGAACGCTGAGCTGTAGGCAATGAACAGCATTCTCACACAGGTGTTCCTCTTGTCCAGGTTGGAAAGGGCTGTGTGGAGTGCAATAGAGATTGCGTCATCTGTGGATCTTTTGGGGCGGTATGCGAATTGGAGTGGGTCCAGCGTGTCTGAGATGATGGCGTTGTGAGCCAGGAACAGCCTTTCAAAGCATTTCATGGCAACAGATGTGAGTGCTATGGGGTGGTAGTCATTTAGGCAGGTTACCTTGGCGTTCTTGGGCACCGGGACTATGGTGGTTTGCTTGAAACATGTGAGTATTACAGACTGGGTCAAGGAGAGATTGAAAATGTCAGTGAAAACACTTGCCAGCTGGTCAGCACAGTACACATCCTGGTAATCCGTCTGGACCTGCGGCCTTGTGGATGTTAACCTGTTTAAAGTTATTACTCACATTGGCTACAGAGAGTGTGATCACACAGTCGTCCGGAACTGCTGGTGTTCTCATGCATGGTTCAGTGTTGATTGCCTCGAAGCGGGCATAGAAGGCATTTAGCCATTCACGTTTTCTCTGTCTGACTGAAACTACAGTATATGACTGCATCGTTATACTGTACCGATAAGAGAAAAACATGCACATAAGCACAGGTACTAAAATATATACTGGTTCACGATCAGACATATACTGTAGTTTCAGTCAGACAGAGAAAACTTGCCTGGCTAAATGCCTTCTATGATTCATTTTCAGCACCAAACAGAAGAAAATGAACTGAAACAGGGAGGGGCTACATGAACTAGGGCTACCTGGAGTAGGCTACCTGAACTAGTAAGAAATGCTCGTTTTTGTTTTCTGTTTAAAAACTTTTTGCTATGGTTTGCCATAATGAACGCAACACTGGCTCATGCACATCAAAAGTAAAGATAATGTCAGACGTGTGAAAACAATGAGCAGTTCAGAGAGGGTTGAGGAGTGCAAACTGGACTTTGGTCGATCAATAGACAATCCCTTTAGAGAATGACTTTGATAGATTGAACAGACTGGGAGATGGCTCTACCAACATTGTTCATGCATGGCTCATGAGATGGAAAACTACACCAGGGCATGCGTACTAGCTATTCATTTCCTTCCATCCTGTTCATCATTTACAACAATTCAAAACACAACAAAGTGACTCACATGTGTGGTTGGTTAACACTGAAAATCTGCAAGGATTATGACAATGATGGACCTTATCTCCGATTGTGCATTCCAAATGTGTACATTAAGAAACCATACACAACTTCAAATGAATTTATTTACAATCAAAAGCTGAAAAGTCTTGGTATTTTGATGTATTACATTACACCAGATACAAAACAATGATATGTTAGTATCCTTTTACTATGATTACTTGAGTAAATGGTGTTATATTGTGGATAAATACTGTTCTTTTTACATGTTTTCTTGAATCTACACTGCAAATTAAAGACAAATTAATGATTTTTCCTAAGGGCTGCTCTACTCTCTTGCACTGTCTGGGTATTCATATTGACCCTATCCCTAAGGCAGGTTAGCAATTTTCATCATTAATCTTGTTCTGGAGGCAGCTCTGTAGAGTGGCCACTAGCTGCACACAGCCAAGTAATACAATCTGATTTTAAACATAACCCTAACAACACTGATAACCCTAATGCCTAACCTTAAATGAAGACCAAAAAGCTATTTTTTGTTTTCATGAATTTTTACAATATAGCCAATTTTTACTTCCAGTAAACATCAACTTGCATCACTAAGATAGGATGCCCCCTGTGGGCAATATGAGTGACCCACATCACAGCTGCCTAATTCTGACCCACATCACAGCTGCCTAATTCTGACCAACTACACCACACAATAGAGTCACTGCTACCGGCTTTGACACTTACCTCTAAAACTAAGACACTTCCCTAAACAACAATGCTTTCTCTTTCTAAATGAATGATGCAGACACCAATAATAATTGAAGTAACATTGCACTTTTATAAAGAAGTCAATTACAAAATCCACCACATGCTTAAATGCTAACTTGGAAATTATTTGCTCAGGAGGCATGCTAATTAACATACTGAGGGCAGTAAGTCAAGAAATGACATTCCATTCAGCTACATGTTTCATCAACTTTATTTACAAAGTATAATATGGAAGAAAACAAATTGCACAATATACTGCTGTATGAATATACATTGTCAAATTCACTGGAATCAAAACACCTGTTAAAATACAAAGACAATTTAAGTGAAATGAAGGCTATTATCAGAAACCAATATCCAAACATTATTCCATGGACAATATGAGTGAAGTGTTTTTGGGAGATGTTCTCGTCTTTGGAAACGCCAGCCATTTCCAACCTTAGTTGAATTTGTTATGGGGGAGAAGTTTAGAGAATGCGTGTCGTCAGTCTTTCTTTGAGGTGTGTTAGTAAAGCTAAGGCCCTCCCCACTCCATATTAGGACCTTGGACCATGACCCTTTGACACAGCCAATCCGATGAGGCCTGCTAATCCGGCCACGCCCAGGCCGATTCCCCCGACGATCGCCATGCCGACCAAGCCATCTGTGTGGAAAAAAGTGAACGTCAAAACACTAACATTGCCCTTTTACTTATACCTATCCAGCTTCTACCATCATGTCCTGCCACATCAGTGATCATGGAGGAAAGGAGACAAGGAAATGATTCAAATTAGAACTATTGCGACACAGCCTTGATAGATTTTTTACATTTAAGTCATTTAGCAGACGCTCTTATCCAGAGCGACTTACAAACTGGTGCATTCAACATATGATAGGCAGTTGGACAACCACCCTATTTCTTTTTTTTTTTTTTATGGGGGGGGGGGGGGGGGGGGGATACTCCCTGTTGAGACCCAGCCTTCATATATGCTCCCTGTTCTTCGCCACTGACCTTTCTTTAGAGCCTTGTCTATGAGCTTTTCCAGCTCCAAGGCTTGTTTGTTCCCAGGTTCATTCTTCAGGAGAGTGCGGATGTACTTCAGCGCTTTCTCATAATCCTGTGCTGATAAAGAGATATATGGAGCGATAGAGAGAGATGGAGTGAGAGAGAGAGAGATACAATTGAGTAAGAGGTGCAATGATATCTTCCGCAATCAACTCAAGAGAGATGGGAGACAGAGTAATCTATTTCATTACAATAAGTTAACTCTTAAAACCTGGGGGTAATATAGTAGTAGAGTGAACGTCACCTTAAGTTTGTAGTTGGCCACAGCTAGGTAGAACAGGAAGTCTCTGGCATCGTCCTTTGATCCCTTGTCAACCAGCTCTATAAAACAAATTGAGCAACAGTCCCAGTAACATTATTATAGGCGGGTTAAGTAGGCCAATGCATTTTACGTTGCATTATGTCAGCATTTCATTCCAAAAAGATGGAAATCCAATCACTCATGTACAGTGCCTTCGGAAAGTATTCAGACCCCTTGACTTTTTCCACATTTTGGTAGGTTAAGTCTAAAATTGATTCAATTGTTTTTTTTCTCATAAAATCTACACACAACACCCAATTTTTGCTAATTTATTAAAAATAAAAAGTATCACATTTACATAAGTATTCAGACCCTTTACTCAGTACTTTGTTGAAGCACCTTTGGCAGTGATTACAGCCTTGAGTCTTCTTGGGTATGACGCTACAAGCTTGGCACACCTGTATTTGGAGAGTTTCTCCAATTCTTCTCTGCAGATCCTCTCAAGCTCTGTCAGGTTGGATGGGGAGCGTCGCTCCACAGCTATTTTCAGGTCTCTCTTTGATCAGGTTCATGTCAGGGCTCTGGCTGGGCCACTCAAGGGCATTCAGAGATTTGTCCCGAAGCCACTCCTGCATTGTCTTGTCTATGTGCTCAGGTGTGTGCTTAGGGTCGTTATCCTGTTGGAAGGTGAACCTTTGCCCCAGTCTGAGGTCCTGAGCACTGTGGAGCAGGTTTTCATCAAGGATCTCTCTGTACTTTGCTCCATTCATCTTTGCCTCGATCCTGACTAGTCTTCCAGTCCCTGCCACTGAAAAACATCCCCACAGCATGATGCTGCCACCACCAAGCTTCACCGTAGGGATGGTGCCAGGTTTCCTCCAGAAGTGACGATTGGCATTCAGGCCGAAGAGTTCAATCTTGATTTCATCAGATCAGAGAATCTTGTTTCTCATGGTCTGAGAGTCTTTAGATGCCTATTGGCAAACTCCAAGCGAGCTGTCATGTGCCTTTTACTGAGGAGTGGCTTCCGTCTGACCACTCTACGATAAAGGCCTGAATGGTGGAGTGCAGCAGAGATGGTTGTCCTTCTGGAAGGTTCTCTCATCTCCACAGAGGAACTCTGGAGCTCTTTCAGAGTGACCATCGGGTTCTTGGTCACGTCCCTGACCAAGGCCCTTCTCCCCCGATTGCTCAGTTTGGCCGGGCGGCCAGCTCTAGGAAGAGTCTTGGTGGTTCCAAACTTCTTCCATTTAAGAATGATGGAGGCCACTGTTTTCTTGGGGATCTTCAATGCTGCAGAAATGTTTTGGTACCCTTCTCCAGATCTGCGCCTCGACACAATCCTGTCCCGGAGCTCTACGGACAATTCCTTCGACCTCGTGGCTTGGTTTTTGCTCTGAGATGCACTGTCAAATGTGGGAAATTATATAGACAGGTGTGTGCCTTTCCAAAAATCATGTCCAATCAAATGAATTTACCACAGGTGGACTCCAATCAAGTTGTAGAAACATCTCAAGGATGATCAATGGAAACAGGATGCACCTGAGCTCAATTTCAAGCCTCATAGCAAAGGGTCTGAATACTTATGTAAATAAGGTATTTGTTTTTATATTTTTTATTCATTTGCATACATTTCTAAAAACCTGTTTTTGCTTTGTCATTATGGGGTATTGTGTGTAGATTTCTGAGGATTTGTTTTTATTTAATCCATTTTAGAATAAGGCTGTAACATAACAAAATGTGGAAAGAGTCAAGGGGTCTGAATACTTTCCGAAGGCACTGTACATCGCTATTTTATGAGAGGCATTTGTAAGGATATCTCATTATCTTCTGAGTACAGAAATACTGTAGGCTACCCACCTTCCAGCAATACGATTCCTTTCTTGATGTCGTCTGAATACTTGCTTCGGATCAGACACCATGCATATTCAAACTTGGTCTCCTTCGATACGCCCCCCTTCACCAATTCAGCGTTGTACTTCTTCTCAAATTTCTGATGGTCAAAAAACAGAACAAATATGGGTACCTTTAGTGGGTTCAGGGTGTTGATGGCCTTTATTTTTTTTTTCACCTTTATTTAACCAGGTAAGCCAGTTGAGAACAAGTTCTCATTTACAACTGCGACCTGGCCAAGATAAAGCAAAGCATTGTGATAAAAACAAGACAGTTACATATGGGGTAAACAAAACATAGTCAAAAATACAACAGAAAATATATATACAGTGTGTGCGAATGTAGTAAATTATGGAGGTAAGGCAATAAATAGGCCATAGTGCAAGATAGTTACAATTTCGTATTAACACTGGAATGATAGGATAGATGATGTGCAAATAGAGATACTGGGGTGCAAATTAGCAAAATAAATAACAATATGGGGATGAGGTAGTTGGGTGGGCTAATTTCAGATGGGCTGTGTACAGGTGTAGTGATCGGTAAGGTGCTCTGACAACTGATGCTTAAAGTTAGTGAGGGAGATAAGAGTCTCCAGCTTCAGAGATTTTTGCAGTTTGTTCCAGTCATTGACAGCAGAGAACTGGAAGGAATGGCGGCCAAAGGAGGTGTTGGCTTTGGGGATGACCAGTGAGATATACCTGCTGGAGCGCAGACTACGGGTGGGTGTTGCTATGGTGACCAGTGAGCTAAGATAAGACTGGGATTTGCCTAGCAGTGATTTATAGATGACCTGGAGCCAGTGGGTTTGGCGACGGATATGTAGTGAGGGCCAGCCAACAAGAGCGTACAGGTCACAATGGTGGATAGTATATGGGGCTTTGGTGACAAAACGGATGGCACTGTGATAGACTACATCTAATTTGCTGAGTAGAGTGTTGGAGGCTATTTTGTAAATGACGTCGCCGAAGTCAAGGATCGGTAGGATAGTCAGTTTTACGAGGGCATGTTTGGCAGCATGAGTGAAGGAGGCTTTGTTGCGAAATAGGAAGCCGATTCTAGATCTAACTTTTGATTGGAGATGCTTAATGTAAGTCTGGAAGGAGAGTTTACAGTCTAACCAGACACCTAGGTATTTGTAGTTGTCCACATACTCTAGGTCAGACCCGCCGAGAGTAGTGATTCTAGTCGGGTGGGCGGGTGCAAGCAGCGTTCGGTTGAAGAGCATGCATTTAGTTTTACTAGTGTTTAAGAGCAGTTGGAAGCTAAGGAAGGAGTGTTGTATGGCGTTGAAGCTCGTTTGGAGGTTTGTTAACAGTGTCCAATGAAGGGCCAGATGTATACAAAATGGTGTCGTCCGTATAGAGGTGGATCCGAGCGTCACCAGCAGCAAGAGCAACATCATTGATATACACAGAGAATAGAGTCGGCCCGATAATTGAACCCTGTGGCACCCCCATAGAGACTGCCAGAGGTCCAGACAACAGGCCCTCTGATTTGACACATTGAAATCTATCTGAGAAGTAGTTGGTGAACCAGGCGAGGCAGTCATTTGAGAAACCAAAGCTATTTAGTCTGCCAATAAGAATGCGGTGATTGACAGAGTCGAAAGCCTTGGCTAGGTCGATGAAGACGGCTGCGCAGTACTGTCTTTTATCGATCGTGGTTATAATATCGTTTAGGACCTTGAGCGTGGCTGAGGTGCACCCATGACTAGCTCGGAAACCGGATTGCATAGCGGAGAAGGTACGGTGGGATTCAAAATGGTCGGTGATCTGTTTGTTAACTTGGCTTTCAAAAACTTTTGAAAGGCAGGGCAGGATGGATATAGGTCTGTAACAGTTTGGATCTAGAGTGTCACCCCCTTTGAAGAGGGGGATGACAGCGGCAGCTTTCCAATCTCTGGGGATCTCAGACGTTACGAAAGAGAGGTTGAACAGGCTAGTAATAGGGATTGCGACAATTTCGGCGGCTAATTTTAGAAAGATTGTCTAGCCCAGATGATTTGTAGGGGTCCAGATTTTTCATCTCTTTCAGAACATCAGCTGTCTGAATTTGTGTAAAGGAGAAGCGGGGGGGGGCAAGGGCAAGTTGCAGCGGAGGGTGCAGAGCTGGTGGCTGGTGTAGTAGCCAGGTGGAAAGCATGGCCAGCCATAGCAAAATGCTTGTTGAAATTTACTGGTGAATTTACTGAAGGCAGTGAGAATAAACAATCTCAATTGTTGTGGCATACTTCAAGACTGTATTCCTGTCATAATTAAACCTTTTTAGAATAATGTGGAACCTTTAGCAATGGAAGTTTGATGGTGATGATGTTAACAGTACAGTAGCTACAGTAATGCAGTCTCATGATGCGTCATGGTCACGAGTGTTGTGCAGACAAGCCAATTAGTCGAACATCATTCAAGATGCAATATTAAAAACACAACAATGCGCTGAACACTTGGCTTTTCAACTTTTCGTTGGATTGAAATAGCAATTAAAAGGCTTCATACATATTTGTATACTGTGTAGTTAGGCAAAATTACCCAACAGAACGCTGCTAGTGTAAGTGATGTGTAAGGAATGACAGCTAACGTTAGCTAGCTAGCAGCAATATGGCTAGATAACGTTAGCTAGCATATGTTTCACTTCTACACCTAAACTGTTGTAAACGTTTGATCAAATATTAACAAGTGTAGCTGGCACGCTGGGTATCTCCGACACCGTTTTGTCTAAACATGACCACAGCCCTGTTATAAATCAAGAGAATTATAAAACGTTAACCTACCAAAAGATCTTCGGGAGCTACCAATTCACTCACAACAGCCTCCATGTTTCCGGAAGCAACTTCTTCTTCTTCTGTGGGTTTTATGGCATCCTACAACCATAAAAGGTGTATTGCCGCCATCAACTGGATAGGTTGAAACCAAAACAAAGTAAAAAGAAATCCATACATAATAGGGAAACTAACAATCCACCCAAATAAAAATAGTACATTGACAAAAAAAAACTCCCACTTCTTCCTTCTTTCAAATCTCAATATCTCCCTTCTCAGGCTGTAGTGCCTGAGAGGGTGGTACGGCTTGTGACAATATTCCATGTAACTCCTTCCCCGAGAAATCTTTCAGCCCCAGGAACCGCTCCGCCGCATCCACAATGACTTCGATCTTCCTGGACCTTCTCTCCACCTTGGCAGTGCCATTTATCACCATAGCTATAAAGGCCACAAAGTCCACCTTCTTAACCTTTAAAATGTCAGGATCCTGCTGGTGAAAGTCAACCCCTGCAGCAAAGGCCTATCCACCACAATGGACTCTTCAGGTGCACCATTCAAACCCTCAACCCTTTTAACAGCTGCTGCATATGAAATGTTCTGGACAGCCCTGACACCTCATTCTCGTTCACTCTTGTGGGGCATTTGAAAGAAGTGGCTTCATGGTTCCCACCACAATTGCAACATTTCACATTTTCATCACATTTATAACACATATGATATTTTCCACAACTTAACATCTCAGCTTCTCCTTTATGTAAACACTTGAAACATGTCCAAAAGCATTACAATGGTCACACTGCATTGGTCTTGGGATAAATGTTCTAACTCTAGTTTATACACCCCAACTGCACTTGAGTAGGGAGAGACTCCAGATACATAAGATATACTTTTTCACCATTCCCCACATGATTCATCCGATGTGGATCAATCACTCCAGGAATATTTTTAATATCTTCAAAATCGACTTCCCACGAGACCCCAGATATAACCCCCTTGATGGGTGCCCTGTTCCGAAGAGACAAACACGACACTTCAAACATATACAATCGGGTGAGACGCATACTCCAATTCTCCTTGATTCTACCGCCACTGGTTTCAGAATCCACTTCATCGTCCGCTTCCGCCATTTTTTCCCGGTTCAATCCGAAAATGTCCCCTCCGGAAGTAACTGACTGGAAATACCCTCTTCTACCACGTGACAACAGCCTCCACGTTTCTAGGTTGAAGATACTGCATATTTTCGACCTAGCCATGTTTCCGGAAGTAAGTGACTGGGAACTCCCACTTTTACCACGTGGCAACTTAGCCATATCATTCTAGCAAACATTATATTATTTCCATGTTCCCAATGGAAGACATTTTTGCTAAATCATATGCGAATACAATAGTAATAAATGAAGACACAAAAACGTTAAAATCATATGGTTTAATTAATGCAAACAGTCATTTGAGTGTAGTTGAACATAGTTGTCTTTTCTCTTCAGAAAGAAACGTTTTATATAATTTTTCTAAATATAAATTTTGCCTGGCTGTACCACTAGGCCTAGACGGAATGTGGCGAGAAGAAGTATTTTGAATGTGAAATAACATATCTATACCATGTGAATTACTGTAACTGTGTAGGCTAACTATGGCTATGTCCACGGCTGTGTCAGTTAATTTCCTAGGTGGGCTGGGGAGAAAGCTAGAGGGAGCAGTTCTTTGAGGCTGGTTTCTTTGTATGATCCATCTGGTTTAGTCAAGTACACAACCCAATCTGTTCCAAACTGGGGAGAGAGAGAGAGAAAGAGCGAGAGAGAGAGGAGTGACTTATAACACAGTTGACTATTATATCTATATTTATAATGTAACTCCTACATAAATGTAGTAACATTTTTATAAAGATTTAAAGGCACATTGTGTACAAACATAATCTTTGCCTGCTGCCTGTGGATACTCTATTATATTTTGTTCTGTTAAGATTGTGAAATATCAGTGGTGACCTTACCTCAATGAGCACCTGCCGACAAGCTCCACAAGGTCCCACAAAACTATCTTTGATGTCACTACAGAACACACACAGAGAGAGAGAGAGAGATATTATTGCGAGGTCTGGGGTCCGCTCACCAACCAAGAATTCACAAAATGGGACAAACACCAAATTGAGACTCTGCATGCAGAATTCTGCAAAAATATCCTCAGTGTACAACGAAAAACACCAAATAATGCATGCAGAGCAGAATTAGGCCGATACCCGCTAATGATCAAAATCCAGAAAAGAGAAGTTAAATTCTATAACCACTTAAAAGGAAGTGATTCCCAAACCTTCCATAACAAAGCCATCACCTACAAAGAGATGAACTTGGAGAAGAGTC